CTTGAAGGACTTTAGTATATTCGTGTATCCGAGAGTATCCCACAATAATGTCCACTCTGAAATCTCTGGTAGCTCTGACAGTATTTTCCTACTGCTAAACCTCTCAAACGCCTATAGAAGTAGATATAACATCCCAGCGTAGCTGAGAGTTCAAGGACTTCCTTCCTACACTTGTAGACATCGTGGGAGGGGGCACAAAGGCTCCATTTTGGCCCTGGCTTGCTCTCCAATTGTCTGTTTTTTTATAGGATGTGTGCGTGTGCGTGTGCGTGTGTGTGTGTGTGTGTGTGTGAGAAAGACGGGGGGGGGGTTAAATGGCATCTCTAATTGCCTGGGTTCCTGGCTTTTGGCCAGAGCAACACAGTCCCTCTTGCTAGCATTGTTAGCTGCGAAGCAGAGAGTCTGTTTCCCCACCTGAACAGGTTTTGTTACCTTTTGTTACACATTGACCAATGCTCGGAATAGGTGACCCATTATTTGGGCGTTTGCTGGGCTTTCAGCCGTCTGATGCCCGGCCTTCCCTCCTGCCTTGCTGGGTTTTGCTCTGCTTCTCCTTATGCTGGGGGAGGAAAGGGGGGGGCTACAAAGCAGCAGCATCCCACATCTCGCACAAGAGCGTGGACGTCAGAATGAAATAACAATTGTACTTCCTTACTACCCCTTGAAGTGCCACGCCTGACTCGGCAGCTGCCACACAGCCTTCCCTTCCCAAGGCTGCAAAGCATCTCCAGGACCGCTACTTGATGAGTAACAGAGAGCGCCGCTTCAGCCGAAATTAGCAACTCCCCTTTGATCTCCTGGCTTCTGGCACTCATCCTAACCCTGCCCAACAACAACACCCAGCGGCTCCAGCAAAGGAGGCTGCCCAATTCGGCTTCAGGAAGTTGAGCTTGGCTTGCAGGATCAAGAGAGCCAATCAAGCCTTTCCCATCTAGGGGTTGTCCCCAGTCAGTGTGTGTGTGTGTGTGTGTGTGTGTGTGTGTGTGACTCGCTCCATGAGTTGCAGGACCCTGGAGTGTCAGAATGGAAGGCGGCTGGGCTGAATCTATCTAGGCTCAGAGGGTCCGTGAGGGGACTATGGGGCAGGCAGAACTTGGGAGATGCCCTCAAGGCACCCTTTGGGCAAATCCTGCAGTTCAACTGCAGAGCCTGATTTTCCTCTTTCGGAGAGGAAGGTGAGGAGGTCAGGGTGGGCCTGAGAAAGACTCTGCCCCAATTCTTCTTAGATTGGCGGAGAACCACCATCCGCTGGCCCTCTCCCTCTTGCAACACTTCCAACTGCAGAACCAGGTGGCCCTCAATTCCCATAAAGCCCAGGCAGTCTGGTCACTGGGAAGGGATTGTGGGCGCTGTAGTTTAAGGCACTACGTTACCTCCCACTGCACAACTGTGTTTCCTACTTTGCTGATTGTTAAGTTGGGCTTAACAGGACAATTTGTGCTGCCAGATTTTTCAGTGACTGCAATCTAGTGACGGGAAACACAGCAGCCCAGAGAAGCTCCTGCCAATGAAGGGGGGGGGTTTGCTCAGCATATGGTTGCTACATGCACCAATACGGTATTAGCTTAATGTTCTATAAGGAACTTTATGAAAGCTGATGGCTACTTCCAAGTGGGATTTTTTTTCATCCTAAAGATTCCAGATGTTGAGGCCCAGCATGGGGGATAGCAGGAAAGACCCAAAGATCCTGATGGGAGACAGGAAGCTGCCTCCATCCTGTCTCTCATCAGCTGTGCCCTAGGGACAACTTTCACAGCCACCCAGAGAAGGGACACCATTGCTTCTTGGAATCACCCGTGATCAACTGGAGATGCCTCTTCATAGAATGACCAACTTGAAAGGGGCCACCGAGGACACTGAGTCTCATCCTCTCCCGTAGGAGCCCCAATTATCAGCCTTCCCAGAAAATGATTCCCTGGCTTTGCTTGACCGCCTCCAGCAAAGAGGTGCCTCTCCTTTCCTTGGTCACTGGATCCTACCACTCTTATTTAGAACAGAATAGAATAACAGAGTTGGAAGGGATCTTTATTTATTTATTATTTATTTATTAGTTCAATTTATATGCCGCCCTTCTCCGAAGACTCAGGGCGGCTTACAATGCACTTATAGCAATAGCCTTCATTCTTTTGTATATACCTGTTTATTAGGGCTTTTTGGCCCCCCCATAAGCGGTGTTTCTACAAAGTCAGCTTATTGCCCCCACAATCCGGGTCCTCATTTTCCCTACCTCGGAAGGATAGAAGGCTGAGTCAACCTTGAACCTGGTGAGATTTGAACTCACACTAATTGCAGGCAGCTGGCAGCTAAGTGCTACATAACAGCATTTAGTCCGCTGCACCACCAAGGCTCTTGGAGATCTTCTAGTCCAACCGCCTGCTTAGGCAGGAAACCCTACACCACTTCAGACAAATGGTTATTAGTCTAGAGGAATTGGAATATTCTTCCCCTGTCTTAGATCCTGCACTCTCCTTTCGGAATCCTTTGGCAATCATCTTTTTCACCAGGATAAACTTTCCCAGATCTTTCAAGCTCTCCTGCTCAGTCCCTCCATTTCCACTCCCCTTCTTTGCAACCAGCGCCAGTTTCTCTGAGCCCTCCTGACAATGTGAGGCCCAGAAGAACCCGATCAATTATTGCAGTGAAAGAATAACAACTTCAGCACACCAAAAGCAAAACCATCAGCAGCAGAAACGTGTTACCAAATGTGTGAAGGGCGGGCCACGACGGAGGCAAGCGTACAATTAAAACCAAGCTGACAGACAGGAATGCCACATTTGTTCTTGGCCGCCACATAACCAACTGTCATTTTGCCTGGCAGAACGGAGGGCAAGGAAAGAAGAGGGTGCTCCTTCCACAAAGCTGGCCCCAGACGCTGCCTCCTTTGTTAGCAAAACGCTTCCAGAGAAACGATGATGGAGCCAACGCTGGCACCAAACGCTTCTCTCAGCAGCATCAACCGGAAGCTGCCAAACAAGATGCCACTGAAAGCTGCTGTGAGAAAAACCAACCACAGAGATGTCTGGAACCGCACCTGCATATTTTAGCAATTAGTAAGCGGTGCCCTCCAAAAGTATGTTGGAGAAACTGCTGGAGTTTGTTCAGCAGGGATCAGCGAGATTAAGAGAGCACGTTGCACAAGAGTCTGGGGGTGAGTGAGGATGCAGAAGCCGTTTCCCAAATGAAACACGGGAAAAGCTTCACCTGAGCGTCAGGCAGGTTGTGAAGGCAAGCCCTGGATCACTTGTTTTGCCCTCCCACTGACCCCCCAAAAGAGCAGCCTCCTCCATGCCTGCTTTAGAGTGGGGTACTGGCTGCACAGCCCCAAGCGAAGTTCTCCGGGCCCCAGTTCTGGCACTGCAGCATTTGAGACCCATGGACGTGGGGCACTCCGACGCATGTCCAGAAGTTCTCTGACAGCTGCTGGACATGCATCCTGAAAGGCTGCAATCAAATGCTGAAATTGTGGGAGGGGGTTTTAAGCACGTGTGTCAAGCAGTTTTCTGGAAGCCCCGCAGGCGTGTGTCTAAAATGCCTCCCCCCACTTCATATTTCATTGTTAATAGAGCAGCTTTTAAATTTAGGATGAAATTCTCTCATAAGACAAAGAGTCAGGGAGTTCAGCTTAACTTCCGAGCCCCAGATATTTCTGGAAGAAGAAATGTTATTTTCAGAAAGACGACTTCCTCAAAAAGAGAAATTCCTCTAGAGACAGCCAGAAGAACTCCAGAAGGACCCCAGACACGTGCTAAGAAATGAGCCAAGGCAGAAACGAAAGAGTACAAGTAGTTCTCGATTTATAACCATAGAATTAGCGACCACTCAAAGTTACAACGGGCCTGGCTGCAACACAATTCCCATGGTCACATGTTCAAAATTCGGGGGCTTGGCAATTGGCATGTATTGATGGGAGTTGCAGTGTCCCAGGGTCACGTGGTCACCATCTGTAGCCTTTCCAGGTGGCTTCTGACCAGCAGAGTCAACGGGGGAAGCCAGATTCACTTAATGACTGCAGTGATTTGTTTCACTGTGGCAAGAAAGTTGCAAAATAGGACAAAACTCAGTTAACAAAGGCCTTGCTTGGCCATAGAAATTTTGGACTCAATGGTGAAAAGACAAGGACCATACAGTAGTCCTTGGCTTAGGGCAATGTATACTAGTCCAACCCTTACACCCTCACGTCAAATGCTTGTCCGGTTTATTCTTGAAAACCTCCCGTGATGGAACAGCCACAATTCTGGAGGTCGAACGGTGCCACTGATTGACTGTTCTCACTGTTACTTCTAGGTTGGATGGCTCTTTAACAAGCTTCCACCCGTTCCTTCACTGTCCTGCCTTCAGGTGCTTTGGAAAACAGGCGGGCCTTTTCTCTGCCACAGCTCCTCAAGCCCTAGAAGGCTGCTCTCATGTCACCCCTGGTCCTTCTCTTTCCTAGACCAGGCATACCTAGTTCCCTTAACCATTCATTGTACCGTTTAGCATTCAGACCTCTTATCATCCTTGTTGCTCTTCTCTACACAGTTTTCAAGGTCTCAGTATCTTTTTTGTATTATGGTAACCAGAACTGGATGCAGCATTTCCAGTGTGGCCTTAGCAAGGCATTACCAAGCGGTTCAATCACTTCACGTGATTTTGATGCTATCCATCTGTTGGTGCAGCTAGGATTGCATTGGCTTTTTTGGCAGCTGCAGCACATGGCTGGCCCATACTGAAGTGGGAGCAGAGGCTGATTCACAAACAACCCCACCCCACTGCAATCTAGGCTATACAAACCAATCAGAGGAAATCAGCTGGGGCCCCCAAGCACGTGGGGTTATAGCCTTCCCCACTTGCAAGTGGCCACAAGCCCAACGCAGCTGGAAGGCCTCTGGCTAGAGAGGACTGATGTCCTCCATGTAGCCAAGCCGCAGAGTGGCTGATGTTAGCACACAGCCCCACCCGAAGAGAAGAGCAGTTGCCGGTGAAGTTTTAAGACCTTATATCCTGTGATGCAATAAACTCACCCCTCAAGGCTGATGTTGTGTTCTCTAAGGCATGGCACACCGCCAACAAAACACCTACAAGAAGAAAACATCCAGGTTAAAAACAATCAAGCAGCTAATTGGAAATACAAATTGACTTAAATTTTGATTGTACGACATCACATTGTGGCAACATATTTTAAGAGCTGTTATTTGGGTCTGCCAGACATAAGTAGAATTCTGGGAGTTGAAGTCCACACATCTTAAAATTTTCAAGTTTGAAATCCCTGTTCTAGAGCCCAGTCCCGTTGGCGGCTGTGAGCACACCCAGAAAAGAATGCCTGTTTCTGCATCCACACGCAGCACACGCATTCTCTTCCTCTGAAATACGGGTGAGGGGAAAATTATATCGACATTCAGCACATGAGCAAATCTGCTTGAAGTCCAAATAGCAGCTCTTGCTGTGACCTACTTTCCAAAGTAGCCTCGTATTTGCAAAACCAGTATAGTTATGTACATATTATGCATACATTCCAACCATTTTTCTGGGTCCCATTTGCAGTAAGAAAAGAGACTTGTAATTTCAGCTGGGGAATGAGGGGAGGGAGGGAGTGAAGGCAAAAGAGGAACATGTGTCAAGAGCTGCTATGGGTAGCTGCAAGGTACCCTCCGTGGCTACTTGCTGTAGAACAGACATACGGTCCTTATGCACCACCTGACCCCCGGCTAATGAGGCAACCCACTTTCTGCAAAACCAGAAGCTTTTAAAACAGAGTTTTTCAGCCTTGCAACTTTAAGATGTGTGAGCTTCAACTCCCAGAATTCACAGCCAGCAGGCGGCTTTTAGTAGATTGCTGTTCTATTGCAATTTGGGGGTTAGATATTCATCAATATTTATACTTTGCTCTGAGGATCTAGTTCAGTGATGACTAACTTTTTCTGGAACGGGTGCCCAAAGCGTGTGCGTGCCCGAACCCCCAAAATGCAATGCGTGTCTGGACCCCCACATGTACCCCGGCCCCCGCATATGCGCGGTGGAGCTGAACTGGGGCAATGGCTCGCGTGCCATAGGTTTGCTATCATGGATCTAGTTGAAGTGCAGACATCTTAAAAGTTGCAGAAGGTTGAGAAATGCTGCTCGAAAGAATCGTAGAGGCCCAAAGTCTTAAGATGCCCCCTTTCCAGTCACACACTGAGGGCTTTCTTCTTATAAAACCCTATCACAATATTTGTTTTCTTGTCCACCGAAGTCAACAGCCTATAAACAGAACCGCCAGGGGAAATCCAAAATGTTGACATCCAAGCCCTAAGAGCAGTTCCAGGTAAGGTTCTTCCCCCCCCGGAGGAAAAGTCCTTATTCATCTAACCTTCTCAAACACAGGACCGTCCCTGGAGGAATTTTCCATGTCAGGGGCACACTTGGATCTATTTTCCTTCCCCCATTTATAAATGCCCTGACTGGACACCCAGAATTGGATCTTCAACAGAATACAAAAAATGTGGCCTCATTTGAGACAACTGAAGCAAAAACCTCTTCCTCCCAGCTTCTCCCTACCTCGCTGCAGTCGGCTGGAACCCTGGGCTGCCGGTGCATTGTGCAGTTGCCACAGATGGCTCTCAATGCAACCGCTGAGAAACTTCTCCTGCAATCCCCCTTACCTTGCAGAGTGCAAGTCCTCAAAGAGGCAAACCAGTGGTGAAATCCTACTGGCTTGCACCGGTTTGGGCGAACCAGTAGTTTATAAAAAGCTACCGGTTGGTCCAAACCGGTATTTCCGATGATCAGCTGTGCCGCGTGATTTAAAACCACTAGAAAGCAGGCAGGAAATCCTGCCTTCTAGTGAATCTAAATCGTGTGGCAGAGCTGTCCTCCCCTCACTGTTCTACTTACCTTCCCAAGCCTCCGTTTTCCACGCGCAGCATGCGTTTCGTGCGTAGTGTGCATGTGTGCATGCAGTGAGCATTTGGTGTGCACTGTGCATGCACGCACAGAGCACGGGCAGCGAACTGGTGGCAAACCGGGGAGGATTTCACCACTGAGGCAAACCAGTTAAAAAGCGAAGAACCTTCCCACAATGGCCCCGAATATCAATAGGCACAATGCAGCCTCCTAATTCATGTCCTGATGCATTCTCCACTCAGCCAAACGCCAATCCTCAAAAATCCAAACATCTGAAGAGATCCAGTCAATTACTGAATGAAACTTGACTAGCAATAGCCAGGCCTCAGCTTCTGCCGTTTGATAAGGGGGTTTTCTCTTTTGTGGAAGGACTTGGCCTGCAGGGGACCTCAGGGCCAGCCTGGCATTGCCTTACACCGAGTCCCCTCTGACAGGACCGCAAAACAGAAACCGGCGTGACTCCATAGCGGAGGAGAAGGAAGAGGTGCAACACATCCATGGTCCAAGCCGGCATATTCCGGTTTCCGTCTGGAGAGGAGGAGGGTGTGGGCAGGGCGCTCTGCCACAGGCTGAAAGAACTTAGCCAAGGTTGCAGGGTTCGGCTCTCCGGCTACGCTGCCCTGGCATAAAAAGCTGTACTTTGACCCCCCTCCCCTCCCTTAAATTCTATGCCCATGAGTCACCGTGAGATGGCAGGGAAGGAACCAACACCCCCGGGCTGAAACCGTGACCTGCACATCACGTTGTGTTTGTGGGCTTCTGGGAAGGCGCAGAGAGGACCGAGGTGCAGGCTGCGCAGAGATTCATTCACCCCAGAGGGCTTCCAATCGACTGCAGCAGGGAGCACGTTGGCACCCCTGGGAGGGAGGAAGCGCCTCCATCAAACCACCCACCCACCGGAGGACGGGATTCCAAGTGAGGCCATCAAAGCCCAACCCCGGGAGAAGCGGAGCAGCATGAAAGGAGGCACGGGGTGACCATGAAGGCAGAAGAAACACGTCCCGAAAAAGGCCGCCCTCCCTTGATCCACAGTCTGATCCGGGGGAGCTCTCCACCGGCTGCCACAAGGGGGCAGAAAGCGAAGCCAAGGGGAACCCCCCTGTCTCCCCAGCCATGGAAAGAAGACACCCAGGCAGAGGAAATCATCAGCCGAAAGCAAATGTTTGCACATGCTTTCTCTGGGGAAAGGAGACTGCTGAGGGTCTGTCCTGGGGGCCCCCAGGAGCCCCTCCCCCATTCAGCAGAACGGCTAAAATGTCTCTTTCTAACCTGGCTTTAGCAACCCCTCCCACCCCATGGAGGTAGACAGCCACATCTCAGTCCTCCAATAATTTGGCTCCTGATAAAACAGGTTAGAAAAAAACAAAGTTCATTTCGATTTTTGAAATCAAGCCACGTTTCTGATGGCTAGCTCCTTAATACTACACACGACCCCCAATCTCTGTTAGGTTTTCCAGGTATAAAGGCTACCTTTCCTTCTTCAGCCATGAAATGAGCTTCCTTTTCAAGCCAAGACGGATTAGGCCTCAAAGAGGGCGGCCACATCAATGGCAGAGAAGGGAGATGTTGGACGGTGAGGCTTCTGCAGTAAGAAAAGCAACCCGGGGAAGATATGGAAACTCCTCCAACCTATGTCCAATATACAATCCCTCTGAGCAAGTGTCTCTGTGATCAGGGATTGTTATGCAATTGCATTGTTTCTCACCGTACCACCCGCTCCTTCATCCCATGAAGGTTAAAAGGGGCCAAGTGAGCCATTAAGCCCAAAATGCCCGATTCCATCCTGAAGATCATCCATTGTGTTCAGCTTCAGAAACTCCCTCCCTCGCCTGCCCCCCCCACCGCTCTCCCCAGGGCAAGGCCTTTTGATGAGGGGGTAACAGAACGTGGCCTGTTTTACAACAAGGAGGCCATCCAGGGATTGCAGGAATCCAGCAGGCTGGAGCAGAGGTGCTTTACCTTTACTGGGTAAAATTATTAAGCACCGTTGACTATGATCTAACTCACCACACGATTTTCAGACTTTCTGATGGGTCTAAGCAGCACATATGATGACCAAGGCGTAGCCTCTCCTCTTGATAGCAATGTCAGAAGATGCTCAGAGATGGAAAATGATGACTACACATTTCTAGATTTCTTGGGAAAAGGGTGTGCTGCTAACCCTTGTCCTGGACATTTGAGTTTTGTTCTTTTTACGCCTTAAACAGTTGCATAAGAAAGGGGCAAAGCATCATGTTCCTCTTTTCCTTGAAAACTATGGAAGGAACTACATTTTTCTGACCGGGAAGGACTTTATGGTAATATCTGATATGGTTGCAACTAAAGATACAAAATGATGTTGTATCTCATGATGAGGTTGTCATGATGAGCTGACTGTTTGGAGTTCTCCGGGCTGGGCATCCTCCACCATACGGCAAGCACCATGCCAGATTAAGCAGGAGCAAAGAGCTTAGCAATAATGATCTTAATGGAATCTCTCTACACACCACAACAGCCCCCAGAACAGTAAAACAACTGAAAAAATATTTCCCTTACATTCCACTTTTTCATACAAAGGGGTGCTTTGTTCCTGGCCAGAAACTTTAGACACCCCCCCCTTATTTCTTCTAAACAGGTGGCAACTTTGACAAAGGAACTGGATTATTTAGAAAAGACAACACAGAATATAGAATCATAGAGCTGGAAGGAACCTTGGAGGTCTTCTAGTCCAGCCTGCTGCTCGAGCAGGAGACCTTATACTGTCCCTTCCAGCCCTATGTTTCTATATCATAGAATCATGGTCAAATAGTTAATCCGGAGGCCAGTCGTTCCACTAGTTAATTGTTCTCACAATTATCAGGAAATCTATCCTTAGTTCTAGGTTTAATCTCTCTTTAATGATCTTCCACCCATTACTTCTTGTCCTGCCCTCAGGAGTTTTGGAGAATAGGTCTGTGGCAGCTCCTGAAGTATTGGAGGACAGCTATCACGTTATGCCCCCTAATCCCCTTCGTTAGACCAGGCCTAGTTCTCTTAACTGTTCCTCATATGGTTTGGCCTCCAGGCCCTGGATCATCTTTGTTGCTCTTCTCTGCATCCTTTCTAGGGTCTCGGCATCTTTTCCCCTCTTCCCTTAAAAAGCTGCCGTAGAATCCACGCCATCGCTTCAAAAGAGAAGACTGGAAAATGCACAAAACACAGAGATCTGGCAACGGTGCTGACAGCCACCCAAATAATATCGGAAGGCAGTTAATAGAGGATGGCTGCTTCCTCCGAAGGCTCTGAGGGCACTTCTAGGCCATGTTTTTGGGCCTCCTTCAAGGCAAATATCTACGCGGGTAGATCACAGCCCAGTGCAGGTGCTTGGGTGTAGTTTTGGTTAAAATAGTTCTCCAACATCAGAAGTAAAACAGCAGCTAAAAAACAGCCATCGCCCAGGAAAAGGATTTCGGTCCCTTCGTTCTGAGGTGATGTGGATCGGCAACACATGCCTCCCCTCAAAGTCCTCCGAGGCCAAAGACATTTTTTGAAAGCAAAGATGTGGCCCCGCCTGAAATACTCTCCCTGTCCTGGCTTAAAAGGGACCCGGCTGCCATCTTTGCTTCACCTTGGAGCTCCATCTGTTGCAGAGGCCATAGCACCAGGTGACTGCCAAGACCAGAAGCCCCCCCCCCATGTCGTGACATGACAAAAGGGGCTAATTTGCTTGAAGAATCCAGGGAGCTCCTCCTGAAATGCTCCACCACCAACCAGGCAAGCCAGAGAGAGGCCTCTTCAGCAGTGTTTAAGAGGGGTGGACTCCATCTCCCAGAATTGCCTAGTTACCCGTGCTGGCTGGGGGATTCTGGGGATTGGAATCCACCCATTTTAAAGGCACTGAGACTGAGAAACACTGCTCTGCAAGGTGCAAAAGAAGGCATTCTTAGGACAAGGCAGACTGAGTCCTCGTCATCCCGCTCCCCTAATTGTGGAGCCCATCAACTCTGCCCTCCCACTAGCAAGCCTGCTAGGAAAGAGGGATCCATGGGCCCTCAGCGTCCCAGCTCCAGACAACTCTCTTTAGAGTCATCAGCAAGAGAAACCAGGCAGTTTCGGTGGCAAGAAAGAATCTGCCAGCCAAGGGTGGAGTGGTTCATTCCAGGTCTCTGAGGACCAAAAAAGGTGAGCCAGAGAAAAAGGCAAGATTCCCACAACAGGTTTTTCAGCTACACTTCCTCATAGCCAAAATCAGGAATGGTTCCTCTGTTGAAAAGCAACAAGCGGCGTTCAAATTCCTTGCAAACTGGAGAAGCAGTGGAGAAAATGGACTCCTCCTGTTTGTCAAGATATTTTCTAACAGATGAAAGAAGTTCCTTAAAGAAAATTAAAAATAAGCCTAAGGTGATTATTACAGATTGCTCTTGTTCCCTCTTGCCCTTTCTGATGCCCTCAGAAGCTGGCCCTGCTGGGGCCATTCATGCTACACAAAAGCAGCTTTTCCCCACAGCCCAGCTGAAAGCAACTTGGCCCTTGGAAACACAACTGGAGCTTCCTCCTTGAGCACTGGGGGGAAGGGGGAGTTCTTCCTTGCAGAGGGGCCAGAGGCCTTCAGATCTCCCTCGCAGCCTTACTGTGACTTTGGCAGTGAGAAGACAGAGGCGGTGCCTTGAATTGCTTAGTATATGGCTGTATATGAAATTACTCGGACTTGAACAGTAGTTGAATTACTTTAATGCTTTCCCAACTGAATGAGATTAAGAGGAACTAGCCAATTCCAGATAGTCCTTCTCAAATAACCAATTTGGCATCTATGCTCTACCCTTTAATCTTTCTTTGGACTCCCATATCCAGGGGTTCTCTATATGTCTCCTCTATTTTCTAATTACTGCATCATCTGAATTTGTTTGTCAAAACTGGGGCAACAATTTGGGGGAGAACTCCAGCTGGCAGCTGAAAAGTAGAGTCTGTGGCCCAGGAGAATCGCTGGCAGAAGAGAATAACTTCTCTGCAAGTTCAGGCATCAGAAGTCTGAGACCCAGGAGCTTTAAGGAGTTTGGCTATCTATCGATCAGAGGATTGCACAGTGAATGGTGCAGATTATTTCAGCAGCACCTGTAAAAACATTGCTAGACTCTGGCAGGGCCTTACCTGTGCAATAATCTCACATGGTTAAAAAGCTACAGAAGCCAACAAGCATTGACAATTAGGGCTGGGCAGCTCTTGCATCTCTAGAAAGCACCTGTTCACCAATCTGCAACACATTAAAGGAGCCATGACTTTCCCTAGGATGGCTTCACTGCCCGCTGTGGCAGATGGGCCACACCAGAAAGGTGCGGCTGCTTTAAGGTGTTCGCAGGCAGGTGCCACATTCCTGCTCCTGCATGCAATGAAGCCTTTGCAGAGATCAGACTGAGGCCCTGCCAGCCCTGCTGAGAACTACAGGGATCGGTGAGAGGCACCCCAAAAGTTTGCAAACCAATACAAGGAGATCATCATCTCGGTTCATTCTCTCATGGATGTGTGTCCAACAGAGCAAATGCATGGATTTCAACTCTCAGAATTCTGTGGTTGATAAAAACAGCGAGCGAGGAGTCCCCCTGCAAGGAGTAACTGCTTCCAATGCAGATCTCTCTGCTTGGCCTTTAAGAGGAGGAAGGGAAATGATGGCACTCTCGGGATATCTGAAGAGACACCACACAGAAGAGAAGGTGCACTAACACTTATTGGGAAGTGAGGTCTTCCTTGGCCATTGCCTGGCTTCTTGCTCACCCAGGCATTATCAGGAGACGAGCAGGAAACCTCTTCCCAGAATGGGCCCTATAATATTAGATAAGTGCATAACTCCCTCTAAAGAAGGTGCAGCCTCTTTATATAACTATTGAGCAATTCTAGCTCTAGAAAAACATGCACTTGATACCTGAACTCTCTAAGAACTACATCCAAACAACGAAGGGACCATCTTGCATGTTGCAAAGGCATCTGATTTAATCTACTGCAATGGGGGTGCTCAGGAGGCGATGGTGTTCATAATACTTGGCAGTTCTTCCAACAGAATATCCCAACACTCCTTGGGGTACTAACACGAGAGTCTTCAGTGTTGGGCCCGAGATCCGTTGGGAACACAACTCCCAAAATTCCAGTAAGCCCAGCCACCATGTCTAGAGTCGGAGGAAGCCGGAAGCTGCTTTCTACCATCTGCTTCTTACGGGAGATTCATCAGATGATTATCAGGCCTAAACAGTCCATTGCTGACAAATAGTTTTCAAATACTTGAAATACTTGAAAAAGTCCAACTAAACCTCGTCTCAGATGGCTATCATCCAATGATGGATGAACTTGGAACTGGTCTGTGTGCGCATCTGAAAACCGTTATACCACCCCAAAAGATTTATGAATTCCAGAGCTAGACCAGCTTTGTTTTAACCATGATTAGCTAGCATCATTCCACATCACTATCCTCTGGAAGACAACCGGCTTCCCTCAAGACACACATAAGCAGCCTGCTGTGGGGACAAGAGCAAAGGGCATTTCCAGATGGGCTGGCTCTTGAACTGTGCTTCTCTCCCCAAATCCTGCCTGACAGCCCCACTCTGCCCATCGGCAGCCATGCTCAGGGCTTGTCAACAAAGCAGCCTTCTCCAGCCTGTAATTTTGCAGCTAGACCTGAAATGTGTTTACTCAAAGTAGTTCCCACTTAATTCAAGGCACTTAGGAAGTAAGCAGGCTGGTAAGTCTGCATTAGGGATGCTTAATGAGGGTGCCTGGAGGCCAGGACCGGGAATTTCTCAATTGCATTGCTCTCCTACGTCCTGGGCAAGAATGGCATCACTCTAGTGACTCAGGGCAAATCTATTTTTGTTGAAAGCTCATTAGGGGAGAAGTTTCCAAATTATAAGGAAGTTTCTAGATACAAAAATATAAAAAAAACAAAACAAAAACAAAAAACAGCCAAACCCTGAAAGGAGAGCTTGCCTGGAACAGAGCAGGACCATCCAGGGAACGTTTGGAAGCTCTGCCGGAGCCCAGCCAGGAGACTTTTCCCAGCGTGGGGCTCTCTGAATGGGTTGCCACCGTAAAGTCCAGAACTTCCAGCGGCACAAGTGGGGCACGGGCATGGGGATCTCCAACCACCCAGAGTCCCTGGAGGTAGAACATGTACCCAGGGTTTCTGCCTTCCCAATGGAGTTGCAGCTCCCCAATCAGAGGGAGATACGAGTGGCCCAGAGATGTGGCCGACTGGAAAATAATGCCAGCTAAAGCTTCGATGGCACATGCCAAATGCACCACAGCATTGCAGGGCCACGTCTTGATCTGCTGACTCCAAAGTGCCAGAGAGGCTGGGATCCTGGGGGGGTCTCTACTGCAATTTGTGAAGGTGGCTTTCTTCACACCTTGTGAAGCAATGAGGGGCAACTGAGAAAGAAACGCTCCGAAACGCTCCCTGGTTTGCAAAGTTACCTTCGAAGGCGTTAAAGGGGGAAAAATTACTAGCGATAGCCAGAAAATTACCAGGATCAAAACTCTTTCCAATATCAAATGATTCAATTGCCAAACTTTATCAGAAATTGTACCACACATCATGTAGGAAAAATGAAGATCAGCCGCTCGCTCGAGCGCTCTCTCTCCCACACACACACACACACACACACACAGGAAACACAAACCTAGCAAGCTGATAAGTAAATAGTTATAATTCACCTAGAAGTCAACTTGGTACCTACAGATCCCAGAATTCCAATTAGCTACGGCGGGCCCCAGATTGCAAAAGGCTGGAAAGCTCTGAGCGCTTTCTTTCAAGAAAAGCAGACAGTCCTCATTGAGGAGGGAGATTCTTGGCTCCCCTTCCCGGCTCTTCCCTGGCTGCTTCAGCCGCGCCGGCCGACCCACCCGGCTCTTTCCTCCCAGGCTCCCGGGCGGGCGGGCGGGCAGGGCAGCGGAGGCTTCGAAAGCCGCCCGTCCCGAACCCGAGGCGGAGACCGCCAGCCCCGAGGGGCCCGAGCGGCCGCCCGGGAAGAACTTTCCTCTCGCGCCCCTCGGGCCGGGCGGCGGCACTTACCGAAGGTGAGCAGGGCGAGCTCGGCGGCCGCGCTGGCCATGGTGCGGGCGGTCTGGCGTGGCGGGCGGGGAGCGGCTCACCTTTCCAGCCCGTGTCCGGCTGCGCCGCCCAGCATGCCGAGAGCGAGGCTGCCACCTGCGGCTCCGGAGGCTCCGCTCTGCACGGCCGGCCGGCGGCTCGCAGGTGTGCGGCTCGCCCCGCCCCGCCCCGCCCCTTCGCGCCCCGCCCCCCCCGGCTGGTTGGCTGGCTGGCACGCCCACCAGGGAGGCCCGGGCGGCTGCAGGAGCGGCGGGGACCGGCAGGCGGCGCCCTTCCGAGCTGCGGCTGACACACAAATGCACCGCGCCTGCGCGGATCTCCCGTCGAGAAGGGCGCTTTTTTTAGTTTTATTTTCTCTCACTTAATGGACATCACGGCTGCTAATGTAGTTACTGCCGTTGTAGGCACTTAATTTGTTGAGAGCCTTCCTTCCCTTCTCTGGAATGTCTTCCATTCTTCTTCCTTTCGCTTGATCTCATCCCAAAGAGCTCCCGCCTCTTCTTAATTTACACTGTTAGGTTGTGTGACACTTCTGATAAAAGCTTCATTTGCACCCCAAAGCATTCTGAAATCCTTCATCTAAACCGTGTTCCATGCCTTTTCTTTTTAGGGTCTCCCACCGTTGCTTCTCCCTACGGTTACATTTCATTAAGCCTCAGTCTAAAAGGCCAGGATTTCCTTTCATAGACCAAACTTGGATTATGATCCAGAGAAGTCCTTGGCAACAGCTCCATTTGAGAAACTGGTCCTTTGAAATCCTCCTCCTCCTCCTTGTGTCTGCTTGTGACTTTCAGAAAAATGGCCGGACTCTCCTGAGTTGCCATTTTTCTGTCTCTGCACGTCCACAAATCCAAAATTGCCCATCAAATCAAAGAAAACTTTGGTAATCTGGCCTGATATTTTTTTCAAGGAAGCCTGAAGGACCGATCGATCATCAATCTTGCATGTTTTGTTCACCCTTTCTGATACCACTTTAGTTCAGCAAATGAGGATCTGCCTTTCTTCCAACAATGCACTCATTGGACTGAAAGTGGTTTAATTTGCAGAATAAACAAAACCAAACCTATGGCTTGTTGTCCCACAGAATCATTGAAAAAGGAAGGTGCCTCCAGGGCTTTGGGTGAACTGAGTTGCAGAAACCGCTGTGATTCAGAAACTCTCACCAAAATCTTATGAGTTTTGACAAAACTTAGTCCTTTGTTTCTGTGTACTGAGCTGTTCCCATATTACACCACCAATGCCATGACTAATGCAGCCAAGAAGCCCGAAAGGCAACAGCCCTCCTTGCCTCACATCTCCATGCATTTCCTCTACATATAGATCACATTTATTGCAAAAAACAGCAGGCATTAAAAAAAAATGTTTGCTTTCTGATTGGGAATAGGCTTTCTAAGCCAATGTTTATTCTGAGACAGATTAAAATAGGATTATGGCCCTGGCTTGATATAGTTGTGACATTTCAATGATGGCTTTGCTTAATTAGCAAATTAAACTCAAATTAATCATCCAAAAGTGAAGAGCCATCTGCTTTGGGTCATTGTTTCAGTTCTAAAGTGTGAAGTTCTGTCTTCTTAGAGATGAGCTGTTTTCAGTCCCAAAAGTTGCCATTTTGTAGATGCGCAACTCCCCACACCCCCTCCCGGGCTCGAACTATGGATTCAGAAATCAGGAGGATCAGCAATATGGTAAATGTCGTGGGAATGCAACCTGGGACTTCTTCAAGTTGGAGAAAGCACTTGGATTTCTGAAAATGTCACTCGGGGTGCTTCTCAACTTCAGTGACTTTAAGATGGGTGGACTTTGACTCTCAGAATTGCCCCCTCCTTGTGTTGGCTGAGAAACTGCCACGGGGACTCCAACCTCTGGGTGCCTGGCTGTTTGTCCGGCCACCTACAGACAGTCTGGCCGAGAAAATGGTAGAGAGGCCAGCAACTGGCCCCTGAATTCCCAGATGAGCACCAGATGAAGAAAAGCATTTCCCTCCATTCCTGTGCTAAATCTCTTGTTAGTTTCTGCTAGATTTGTTACTGTTTTGTGTCTTCTATCAAGTGGGACAATGTCTTCTCACTGATGCTCCATTCATGCATTTCAAGAGGGCCCAAATCACCTGATATACCAGGTCTCCTTAAGGCTGGACAATTCAATCTAGACCAGGGGTCTCCAACCTTGGTAACTTTAAGGCTTGTGGACTTCAACTCCCAGAATTCCTCAGCCAGCAAAGCTTGGAGGCCCCTGATCTAGACTCTAGACCACCCTTAAATGCATAAAGGTATAAATGACATTGCCTGGCCCTCACCTCACTTTAAGGATTGAGTGAGGACACCATGCCAATCTTGGTCACCGAATGAAGCCAGAAAATGGCATTGAATCCTAACCATAATGTATACTAGGCAGCCCAAGCTCTGCAGGGTCATGGTTTCAGAGACCTTTTCTTACCTAAGCAGAGAAACAGAATGACCTGGGGCTGCACCTTGGATCTGCTCCCTCACCTCCTCCTCCCCCCCCTCCAAGATGAAAGGTAGTGCTTCTCCATTCAGCTCCTCCCTGGCTCTGGAAGCAGAAAGGCAAGCCTGGGAAATCCTGTCCTTTCCTCCCCACCTGCCTCAGGTGTGACTGGGCTCCCAGGAATGTCAGGTATTTGGCTGCTGGCTTGTGGGAGGCTGTTCCGGCTTTTGGTATCTGGGAGACCACAGGGAGTGGGTGGTGCCCAAGTGCACCCCTCCCTGCCCCAGTTGTGGCCCCGGAACAAAGGACTTTCTGGGCCAGATATTTCCTTCTGGGGGTAGCCCAGGCCAAGGAGCAGCTCCCCAACCAGTTACCTCATTAAATCCCCAACAGCCAAATTATGGGCAGTTTGATCCCGGGTGGGTGGAGGTAACACTCAAACACTCACCCACATACACAGGCACACCCAGGAGAACGGAGGGCCACTTGCACTGTTTCCCTCACTAAAGAGGGAAGATGTATCTCAAGAGCACTAAAGAAAGAAAGATGCACCACGCAAGGAAGGGAAGGAATTCCTTTGGGCACAAAGCAGCCACAAGAGGGAGGGAGATGCAGCCCAGTGCCCAGAACGCTGCTGGGTGCCGTCAAATAAATCCCCCCTCCTACTTTCCCACACACGAGAAGGTGGCAGCTTGGAAGCTTCCAGCCTAATATGGCTTCCAAAGCTGACAGCATCTGTACTGTGGATTACAGGTGCTTAAACTTTCCTTGCAACCGAGGATGGATAGTCCTGCCAATTTGCCCAGGCCTTGTTCTTGCCCTCGAGGGCTGCTGAACTGGTCTTGAGGCTTTCATCCAAGGAGTCTTGATGCTCCTGGGTTCCCAGTCCATACAGTCTGCATGACGACATCTTTAAACTGTGTCCCCTTTTCAGAAGAGCTGCCTGCAAGCATTGAGCTGCCAGAGAGTTTTTCATTCAATCCACTTTGGGAGAATTGGTCTGGGCATTGTGGACCATTCACTGATTTTCTGAGAGCCCTTGGTTCCTTATAGTGTACAGGGGCTACATGGAGCAGCGCCTGGCCTGGCCTGTGCGCCTCAGTTTCCGACACTCAGCACCTGGCATGGGGCAGGTGATGGCCAGTCTTTAAAGTCACCCTGACATGCTCTGACCTAGTTCCATTTTCACACACCCCGGCTGCTGCCGCCACTGCCAGGCCAAAGAGGCTGGGGACAGTGGTGGCAGGGACAGTGGTTGGGGCGGCAGCAGAGAGGCAGCAGTAGCCAGGGGCATCCCATTTTCACACCCACCCACCCACCACCGCCACCACTGTGACACCAAGCTCCGGGCCTAAGGGGCGGGGAGGGCGGCGGCAGGGGTGTGTGAAAATGGGAAGCCTCTGGTCACCACTGTCACTGCTCTGCACTCTGCCCACCCGCTTGCTCGCCTGCCTGCCCGCCTGGCTATTCTCCCGGCCACCTTCGGCGAGTTGTCCCTGTGGCCATTGGGAGTTCCCCTGCGGTGACTTGGCAGTGGTGAGTTGGCAGAGGTGAGTTGGCGGTGGCCAGCTGATGGCAATTAACAGGCCGCACTGAGTTGGCTGTGGTGAATATCTATGGAGGGTCTCAGTCCTCCAGGTCCTGGTTGTCCCGAAGGTGCTTCTTCAAGAGGCAACTGGACTTCCTTGATTTTTCCTTGAAGACATTTTGCTTCTCCTCCAAGAAGCCCATCCCAACAAAACACCACTGAAAAAGAAAAACAAGAAATCCAAGGAAAAAACCCAGCACGGTTGCACAAAGATCTCTCTGACAAACTGGAAGACAAAAAGGATAAGTACAAAAAACGGAAAGAGGGACACATAACGAAGGCAGAGTATCAGCTGATAGCTGAATCGGCAAAGACGAAATCAAGAAAGCAAAGGTTCAGAGTAAACAAAGACTTGCAACAAAAGTCAAAGATAATAAAAAAAGTTTCTTTCAATATATAAAAAACAAGAAAAAAAGTCAAGGAATCAGTAGGTCCACTTAACAGAAGATGGCAAGGAAGTAACAGGCAGCAGAGAGAAAGCAGAACTGCTTAACTCATTCTTTGCATTGGTCTTCATGCAAAAAGAAACCGTAGCCCAACCTACCAAAAACCTGACTGTAAAAGACAGACTAGAAATAAAAATTAAACTAAGCTAGAAAATGATTAGAGAACACCTATCTGATCTTGGATATAAATCACCGGGACCTGATGGATTACATCCCAGAGTTCTGAAGGAACTGGCAGATGTTATCTTAAAACCATTGTGCAACATCTTTCAAAAAAGAGCTGATGTGGTTCCCATCTTCAACATTTTATTTTCCAAACCACCAGAGGGCAGGACTGTAAGCAATGGAGGGAAACTCATCAAGGAGAGAAGCAACCTAGAATGAAGGAGAAACTTCCTAACAGTGGGGAAAATTAAGCAATGGAACAACTTGCCTTCTGAAGTTGTAGGTGCTTCATCACTGGAGGCTTTTAAGAAGGGACTGGACAGTCACTTGTCTGAAATGCTATAGGGTCTCCTGCTTCAGCAGGGGGCTGGACTAGAAGACCTCCAAGGTCCCTTCCAGCTCTATTCTGATTGAACTAAGATGTTCCCTAGTGAAGGTTGCGATGCCTATTTGTCTTCCATTTGGCGATCCTGAAAGAAAGATTCTCCCTATCTTTGCTGAAAAGCATGTTGGGCATCAATCCATCCAAGAGCGGATTTTGTGCTTTGGTTCTTGTACTTCGAAGTGCGCAGCGGCTCCTCCTCCCTGCCCCTTATTTGGAATACCTTTGGGCCCTGGGCCCACTGAGGATGCCTGCCGGTTCTAGGCCCCTCCTGTAAATTGCTGGAGAAAAGCAACACTTATCGTAATTATTTCCAGGGCTCCAGCGAGGGGAACTTTTACTACAGAAGGTCACTGCATGGTAAAGAATTCCTGGTGGTTTTAAAACTGTCCTTAGCGGGGACAATTTGATTCTCCCTCAAATGCCTGGAGGTGCTCTCCGGAAGGTCTCTTCCCCTCCCCCTCTGCCCAAGAGCTACAAGGGAGGTGCAGAGAGGCAAGTGAGATGCTGGAGCAGCAGAGAAGGGAGAGAGGGCCCCCAGAGCTATGGAGGAAAATCTGCCCTTCCAGTTATCCATCCCTACCCCCCAAACTGTAGCACTTGGAACTAGGCCTGGGAACCCCAAGAATGGCCAAGGAACTAGGGAAGCAGGAAGGCGCCATCTGGGCTGAGACCGAAATCTTCATGGGTGGCCCCAGAATTCACCCAATACTTGTCGGGCGTTTAGTCCCCCGGAAGGTCCCCCCAGTAGATTCTGAGAAATCCCGACATGGTGTTGAAGGACACCAGCCTGGTGGTGGGACGTTTAACGGATCCAAAGCTGCCAAGGCTTCCCGGAGAGGAGAATTTCAGCCCAAAGAGCAAATCTGCCTGTTGATGCTGAGCGGTTTTCATCCAATACGGTGGTGCAACTTCAGTGAAATTGAGGCGGCGCGGCTTCCGCTCGGAGCTCCTGGCCGGTGAGACGCCCCCCCCGTCCGCGGGCTCGGGGCTCCGCCAGGGTTCCGGGAAGCGGGGGAGGACGGCCCTCGACCCGCCTCGAGGCGACCGCCGCGTCCCGCCCCCCGGAGGCCCCTGGAGGGCGGCGAGCTGCCGAGAAGCAGCGGGTCCCGCCTACGCTCGCCCCCGGCCGGCCAGAGGACGCTGCTGGGGCTGCGCTCGGAGGACCCAGCCCAGGTAGAGGCGCCGCCGGTCCGTTCCCGCCGCTGCAGCTCCCCTCGCCGGCCATGGTAAGTGCTTCGACGGCTGCCTCTTCTCAGCCGGGCGGGCTCGCGGGCTCCTGGGCCTGTCGAGCGGAGCGGAGCCCCAGATGGGCAGGGGCCGTGCCATGGCTGGCCGGTGTCCTTGAGGCGTCCCGGCTGCCCCGGCCGAAGAGGCGGTCTGGGGCTGGGCAGAGGCCGTCGGGGGGGAACCGGTTGCCGGCCTTGGAGCTTCCCGGTCGCTGCCCACGGCCCCCTCCCGGAGTGTTCAGCGGAGCCGGCTGCGAGGGCCTTCCTAGACGGGGCGGTCCGGCTGGCCTTGCCCCGGAGGCCCCAGGGTCCGGGCGTAGAGCCGCCGAGGCGCAGAAGCGGCTCCTTCCGAGGCCGCTGCTGGGGAAATCCCCCGCCGCCTTTGGAGGGCGGAAAGCCCCGCTGAGCAAGCGCGTTTGTCGGCCTTCCGGGTCCCCTGGCCAGGAGGAGTTGGCGTTCGGCCGCTCGGGCTCCATGGCAGGCGGGCAGCCGTGTAGGGAGCCCCTCTCGCTCTGGAGACCCAGGTGGCGCCCAGGCCCTCGGGGTGAAAGCGGCCTTTCGCTTCCTCCGCTGCACACACGCCCGCAACCCCCGGGAGACTCGGCTTCCCGCCCCCCCCCCCCCCCCCCCCCCGGGAAGGAAGATGTGGGGCAAGAAAAGAGGCGGTGGCCAAATGCGGAGCTCAGCCCCCTTTCAGACCCCCCCCCTGCGGGGAGCTCAGCCTGGAGCCCTAAATCCCACTTCCAGGAAAACTGCCTGTCCGAATTACACAGGGTTCCAATGGGCGTCAACGATAATCAATTTAAATGAGTTTTAAGTAAACTGTATTGGTCACGTTCCATCCATTGTCCCAGTCCAGACCATTGTGATACCAGCTTTCAGTCGCCACTGCTTGTCCACTGCCGCTGCCCTGTGGAATCGGTCTCTGCCCATCTCCAGGGAAGGGAGCCTGTCCAGCCAAGGAGCAGCTTCCCTGCCATGAGCCTGCCCCCCCCCCCTTCTTTTTTTGCCCTTTTCAGAAGCGAAGCTCTCAGGGCTGCTGCTTCTCTGCTGCCCAGTTGCTTCCTCGCTCCAGGTCCTCTGGGAGGTATCTGGCTGCCTTCAAGTTAATCTCTCCTGCCCTCAGGAAGCCACTGCTTCCTGGCACGATCTCCCCAGAGCTTTCCTTGCCTCCTGCTAGCCAAACGCCCCAGGAGTTGGCCCTTCCTTCAGAACAAGGATGCGGGTTCCCAGGGGGAATATTTGAACAGTTTCTGGCAAGGACTCTTGCACGCACTTTAAGGCACTTGGAAAATGCATTCTCTGCTAGGCAGCACAAGAGGAGATCACAAAACAATGTTAAATCTTGCTCAAATCAACTTGGAGAAACAGATGGGGGAGCCATGCCGCTAGCCAAAGTTCTTTTCCTTGGAAAGCCCCAGGCTCCAGGCAGGCTCCGAGGCCTCCCAGACTGTCCTGCGTCATCTCCTCTCCTGCTGCTACTGCACTTCAGCCTTGGCTTGGCTGCCCGCTCTCCTCTGGCTCCTGTCCACATGCTGCCAAGGAAGACTTAGGAAAGGCCGGGGTGTCAGATGACCAATGCTAGAGAAGGCTGTGGTCTTCTTCCCAGAGTCCAGGCCGAGTGTCAGTCACAGGCAATCAGTAAATACTGATGGGTGTTTGCAGCAAGGAAGCCAGGTGTGTGGATAAAGGGGGGTTTCAGAGGGAGCACCCTGGCAGAGTTAAAGGGAACCGCAATGGCCGGCTGTGGGTTCCAGAACCCTTAGGGTGACAGTTCACCTGCATTGCAAGTGATCGGAGAGTGGGGTGCCCCTTCTCCTGCCACCAGGAAGGAAGGAAGATTGGCATTCTGATTTCCATTAAGCCTTGAGTTTTACTGGATTTCTCTGGACCATAAGTCAAAAACCGTTAAGTTTATTGTAAAGACAAATAGATAGTGAGGAAAGAAACAGGTTTCATTGATTTATTCATTCTTTCATTTATATCCCACCTTTATTATTTTTACAAACAACTCAAGGCGGCAAAGTTATCCAACACACCTTCCTCCTATTTTCCCCACCACAACCCTGTGAGGTGGGTCAGGCTGAGTCAGTCACCCAGCCGGCTTTCACGGCTCAAGCGGGACTTGAACTCACAGTCTCGTGCTTTCTAGCCTGGTGCATTAACCACCAGAACTGGCTCCCAAATGATACACGTGTGGTACCTGGAGCACTCTAAGGGAAAGGTAAATACAAGAGATCAAGAAGGAATGTATGTCTGGGATGTTTAAAGGCTCTGCCTCCATTGCCTTGGCTCATCATCTACTTCAGAAAGAGACGCATGTTGGCCCTCCAGCAGTCTCTCTTTCCAGAGAAAGGTACATTCTGGAGCATGCCTGGAATGCTCACCTGGGGGTGCAGAAGTGCCTGAGCACACCTGGCTGCTCTCTCGTGAGTCGCAGGGTCATCCGAGAAGACAGTCCAGGGCCATCACATTGGTGTCAAAGAGGCGCCTTCCAGCTAATCCGCTTGAGCCTCCCTGGCACTGGGCAACTAGGCCTTCCTTCCTCCTTGTGTCACAAGGAATCTTCTTGTACCAAGCTGGGGGAATGAGCCCCAGTCCCACCTGTGACCAACCTGTCCCCTTCTTCAGGCTGAGCACCAGCTGAAGCGATGCCAGCAGGAGGCTGAGGAGGTGACAGAAATCATGCTAGACAACTTCACCAAGGTGCTGGACCGCGAGGGCAAGATTAGCGAGCTGGATGAGCGGGCTGATGAGCTTCGTAAACAGGTATGGAAGGTGATGTGGGGACTGGGTGGGGCAGGCAGGATGACCAGCCAGCTCTTTGTTCAGAGCCTTGCAAGGGCAGCTGGACAACCAGTCGGGCCTACCTGCCAGTTGGAATTTCAGTGGGGTCAGGCCCAAGGAATATAGAACAAGGTTGGAAGGGGCCTCGGAGGTCTTCTAGTCCAACCCGATGCTTGAGCGGGCAGGAAGACACCCACCCATTTCATTCTTGAAAACCTCCAGGCAAAGAGCATCCACAACTTCTGGAGGCAAACAGTTCATTGATTAATTGTTCTTACTGTCAAGATTTGCTTCCTGAATTCTAGTTTGGATGATCAGGTGACCTTGGGATGTTGCGGCAGGTTTAAGTGTTGAAAAGTCACTTTTTCCAGGACCGATGTAACTTCAGAGAGTCACTAAATGAACGGCTATAAATTGAGGACTATCTGAATTCATCAGAATGAGATTGCAATTGTCTCCCATTGGGTTTTTTTAGAGTTCTGCTTTCACCAAGACAACAAAGACGCTGGCCCAGAAGAAACGCTGGGAGAATGTGAGATTCAAGGTCATCCTGGTGGCTGTAGTTGTGGGGGTTGTCCTGCTCATCGTCTCAGCCATCATCCTCTACTTCACTCTCTCTGGATCTGGGAACCAGGAGGCTCCAGCACAGACCAACGCTGGTGGCGACTGACCTGCTGATCCAGCTCACCCTGGAATCATCTTCCCAAGACCAAACTTTCAGGGGTGCCGGGCATCGGGGCTTGGCTAGGACCTGGCAGCAGCCTTGACCCCTTCATTCCTCATCATGGCAAGCAAACCGATGGAGAAAACGGAAGCAAAAAGCACAGCCCCCTTCATGTTCACGACCTCAGCGCCAAGAAGGACTCTCTGTAGGTGTGAACAAAGGAAGGAAGGAAGGAAGGAAGGAAAACCCTGCCTCCCTGCTTGTGTACTTCCTGCTCCATTGTCCCCAACCAGAGACGTGATATTCCCATAGCAAGGCATTGTGCACCGATGTTCAGTCTTGGGCTTCAGCAACTAAACTGGGGCCAAAGTCCAGGCCTTGCATCTCCTGTTTTCGGCCGTTGGGTTAGGAAAGGCTCTGCTCCCAGGCCAGGGACAGAGCTTTCTACCTCTCCAACGCTGCTGCCGCCCGCCCCAGCTATGCTTGGTGAAGGGGGGCTCCCCATCCTCTGCCCCTAGGCGGAAGGTCTATCCCGCCACCACTGACATTTGCAATCTGTCACCTGGAGAGGCTTCTCCCCAATCTCGTGGAGGAGACAATGGACAGTCCACTTGCACACATTTTGGTGCAGGAAAAGGATTTCTGAAATATTATTAAGCCTCTTAGGGTTCATTCTGCTCTTTCTGCCTTCACCTGGTGGGAAACTGGCCCTGGGGAGCCATAACTGGCCTGGGGCCCAAATGTGCCCTCCTTGGGACAGGAGCTTTGGGGTCCCTTGTCGTCTGAGGCCCCAAAGTGCCCACCACTCACTTGGCTCACTCACACTCCAGAACTTGCTAGAAGCAGCTGCAGCATTAGAGGAAGGGGGGGCTTCTCCTTGGGGGCGATCTGAGTACCTGGGAGCTGTGCTGCCCCCTCAAACGCCCCGCCGGCTGGATGGGGGCATCCCGGCTTAGCTTCGCTGGCCCAGAGGGAGAGATGCTCCGCCGGACGGGGCTTCAGCAAGCAGAAGGCAGTCCCCTTGCCTGCGGACTGGCCCCTCTCCTGCCAAGTGGTGCCTTCAGAGGGCCTCGGGGGCGCCTTCTCTGTGGAGCGGAGATGTCCGTCCGGCTCAGGTGGCGCCAGCCGAGATCCCGCCACCAGGTCAGTTGCAAAGCCGAAGTTTTCTATTTGGCAACGCTATACTTCAAACTAGGGCATACAAAACTTTTGACAGCCCTATACTTGAATACTGCTCACCTGCCTGGAACCCTCACTGTATTTCCGACACCAATCCATTAGAGAAAGGGTCCAGAGATATTTTACTAGGAGACTCCTCAAATCCTCTGCTCGAAATAAAATTCCCTATCCCACCAGGCTTGAAATTTTAGGCCTCGATAGCCTCGAACTCTGCCGTCTACGTTCCGACCTAAGCTTAGTTCATAAGATTATTTACCAAAACGTCCTACCTGTAAATGAGTCCTTTAATTTCAACTGTAATAACAGAAGGCCTATCAGTAGATTCAAACTCAATGTAAATCGCTCTAATCTTGATTGTAGGAAATAGGACTTCTGCAATAGAGTAGTAAACGTCTGGAACGCTCTACCTGATCCTGTTGTTGGTCTCTCTAACCCCCAGACCTTTTGCCTTAAACTCTCTACCGTGGACCTTCCATGTTTCTTAAGAGGTCCCTAAGGGGGGGGGTGCATGAGCGCATCAGGGTGCCTCCCGTCCCTGTCCTACTGACCCCATTTATATGTACTCATTCTATGTGTTTATGGCTGTTTTGCCTATTTATTTCCTTTTATTTGCGCCAATTTTTTTCACGTGTCCATGTCTGTGTCTAGACTGTTACTTGTTTCCTTGGACTTGTTGAGAAATAAATCAATAAAGCGGGAAGCTGGACGGGGCGGGACCGCTTAGCCTCCCCCCCCCCCATGCTCGGAGACCTTCGGGCCCCCGCGGGAAGGGGGCGGGGCAAAGCTCCCGAGCGGGGCGGGGGAAGTGCCGGAGGCCGTCCAATGAGGGCGCGGGGCGGGGCCTGCCATCCCGGCAATGGCGTCGTACTTCGAGGAGCACGACTGCGAGCCCGGAGCCCCGACGGGGGACCCGCTGCCGCCCGCCGCGCCCTGCTGGAGCTGGCCAGGTCAGGGGGGGGGGGCCGGGGGGGGGGGGGGGGGGGGGGGGCGGCGGGGGTCGGGAGCGCCGCGTCCGGTTCCCCGCCTTCGCCGGGCTGACGGCTCCCCTGGCGCGCCCGCAGGTCCCTCTTCCACGGCCTGGAGATCGACGTGGGCGCCCTGCAGGGCGGCGACTGGGACCACCGGCTGCCCCCGCCCGCCGCCAGGAGCGCCGTGGAGGGGCTGCCCGAGGTGCGGGTGGGCGCCCCGCAAGCAGGTGGGCCGGGGCTCTCCCGGGGCGGGGCGGGGCGGGAGCGGCGAGGGCTCCGTCCGGGGCTTCCGGAGAGCGGAGGCGGAGCTGAAGGCGGCGGCGGCTCCCGGCCTTCCTCAACGGGTCCCGGGCGGTGGGGGGGGGAGGCGATGCAGCCGGTTTGACGCGCTCCTGTTTCCCGGCGCTCAGCGAAGGGGCTCCGGTGCCCGGTGTGCCTGCTGGAATTCGAGGCGGAGGAGGCGGCGAGGAAGATGCCCTGCCAGCACCTCTTCCACGCCGGCTGCCTCCTGCCCTGGCTCGGAAAGGTGAGGCGCAGCCCAGGGAGGGGGGAGGCAGCCCCCCCCGCCCATGCAGGTGCTGAGCGCCCCCCTCTCCTCCCCCCTGCCCAGACCAATTCCTGCCCGCTCTGCCGCCACGAGCTGCCCACCGAGGACCAGGACTACGAGGAGTACAAGGAGGAGAAGGTGAGGGGGGGCTGCGGGGGGGATTCAGGCTCAGCTTCGAAGGGAGGGAGAATCGGTGGGGGAGACTTCCGCCCTCTCTGCCCCCCCTCCCCCCCGTTTGCGTGGCTTCCCCTTCTAGTGCAGCAGGAGGCGAGGCGGCGGCCGCGGCTCCCGGCTTCTCTCTGCTGCAGGGCCCGGGATGGGGGACGCGCGGAAATTTGGGGTCCACGGGACAAAACGCCTCCATTTTAATCCTCAAGGTCCGGAGGCAGCAGCAAGTGCACCGGCTGGAATATCTCCATGGCGCCATGTACACGTGACCCCCACCCCACCCCCCACGGTTGCCTTGGCCACCTGGGCCCGGTTGCAAAGGGGGGGGGCAAGAAAAGCAGCACTCGCACCTGACGCTGTGGGTCCCCCCCCTTCCTCAAATAGGCAGAGCTCAGAGTGATTTTTGAAAAATAAAAATAGCACAAGTCTTTGTTATCACCGCTGAGGTCGCTTGGCCTTGTTGGGGCAGAGATGAGGGCAGCCGCCTCCCAAAATGGGCTCTGTGCAAAAAATAGCAGCATTCAGTGTGTTTCTCTCCACCCTTTCCCACTTCTTATCCTTATGTCACGTCCAGCCAGATTAATTCCCAGAAGTGGCTGCAGGCAAGAATTTAGGCTGCGGCTGCTTCTCCCTGAAAGCTGTGCCAACTGAGCAATTACATGGGGGGGGGGGGGGGGGGGGGCGGCAGAAGGCAAGCTGCCAAGGAGAAAACCCTTGTGAAGGGCTATCTATCTAGGAAACAGATAATAAACATAAAAACAAAATGTTAAAATACATCGTAGGACAACCTATGCATTTCCCAGGATCAAGAAGCCGCCTTTTCCCAAGATCTGCCTCTGTTAATTAAATTGCATTGCAGAGATGTTGATTTGGGTACGTCTTAATTAACCTGGCATTTGGGTTAATTTAGGGCAGTGGGTAGGGCTCTTCAAGTTCCCTCCGAGGATGAGTTTATCTTGACCTGGCCAGCTGATCTGGAGATGCCCGACAATCATCGTGGTCCAGAGAGCAGCAAGTTGTAGCACTTTTACCAAGCTTAGAGACCATCTTATATCAGCAACACTTTTGTTTCTCTTACAACCCTTCTAACTTTGCAGAACAAGGAATGGTTCTGTCGCCCAACTCTGAATCCAATATGGGCAGCAGGAGGAATTTCACTGTTAATCTAGGTCACCAAGACGGGGCATTTTTCTGGGCAAGAGTACGAGTGGGTTATAACGTCTGTGCACTGCCCAGATGTTGAGCCAACTTTTCGTGGGCAACATCTGCATTCCAGAATAGTCCTGGAGGCAAACTTCACTTGACTTTCTGCTGCTCTGGGGTTTTGTGGCAATGGAAGTCCTTCCCCACCCCCACAAACACAGAAACACCCTTTACACCACACGGCAGTCTTCCTCCGATAGCTCTTTTTATATAGGCAAAGATACAAAAAAGTTCTACAAAATATCAAGCCCCTTTACCCAGGGCTGAAGAAATGAACTCCGTATGATGTTGGGGGTGGGGGTGAAAATGGCGGAGGTGCTCTCTTTCTCATACTTTTATTTTCTTAACAAGAGGAGGGGTGTATTTCCACCAGCACGGGGCATCCCCAAATAAACTTGCTTCTGCAGCTTAAGCAACTCTTGCCTCGAAAGAAGACGGGGTGGCAGTGAGGCACAATTTTTGCCAGAGCAACCTGGGTTCTTGGGTACCCCAGTACACAAGCACAAGAGCACACTTTTGGCTTTTAGGCACTCCCTGAAGGGCGGCAAGAGATCCAGCAGAGAAAGCGCTTCAAGGTGTCCTTACGCAAAGGCTGGGCAAAGAGATCCTTGGAACTTCTCTGAATATTTGGAAAACGAACAACTTCTTAGAAGGGCTAGGCAGCAATATATTCTTTAAAAAAACAATCCTGGTATAAAAATTGCCAGAAGAAAAGACAGCTTGCCAGAGCAGCGGAGATGGTGGGGTGAACCTGCCCTCTCCCCACCCCAGCCCCCCTGGTTATATCATGGCAATGCTCTCCGGGTGGCAGTTCAGGTGGGTGGAGGTGCTGCTGCTGCCCGGGGACTTGCAGCCTCGGCCGCTGGAGTGCTGCAGGGCGGCCACCAGGGTCTCATTGGAGATGGCACCAAACTCATAGCTGAAGGTTCCATAGAAAACGAGAATGTCGATGACAAAGACCCACTCGCAGATGGCAGCCAGGTGCTGCAGGAGGAAGCTCTCGTGGATAAAGAAGATGCCACCTGGAGCGGAGTCAAGGGAAGGTCAGGGAAGAAGATGGCCTTGCCCGGGGAATGCCAGGTGCCCAAGCACATAAACTGAGGGTGGCACCGATCCCAGGGATTGGATCTGGGCAGGACACAGTTCTTCTGCAGGGGGGGAGATGGGTGCTTCTGAGAGAGCACGGGAGCGAAGGTTGAAGGAGAAGCAGGACAAGGGGGCCTCTCAGCTTCTCCCCAACCAGCAGGTTGCCAGAAAAGGATACTGAAGACAAGAGAGATGAAGGCCATGGTGGAGAGGAAAACGCGTAGATAGGCCATCCAGAAGTCCAGGGCAGAAACCGCCATGTGATAGGAGAGGAAGCACTGGAGGCAGATGAAAAGCAGGCCGGCTGGGAAGGCAACGCCAGCTCCGATGTAGTGAAGAGATTTGGCATAATCCACCTAGAGGCAGCGGGAAGCCCAAATAGGATGGTTCCTCTTGTGCCTCTGCGAGCCAGCTTTGCCTCAGCAGCCCACTGGGCAACTCAGACAAGGGCTGAAGTGGGGGCTTCATGCCCAGGATGAGTCTGGCTCCAATGAAGCCACTGAGGCAAAAAGCAGCCGTTGCCTCTCGGAGAACACAAACCTCTTGCAACATCAGCACGAGCAACGCAGCAATAGCTCAAATGGCCAACCCAACCGACGCATCCACTCCACCCTGGCAAGGCCGAATGGCCTGGCTAAAGAGGAGTTCAGGCTTGGCAACTTTCTGGCAGCTCTGCGTTTGCAAAAGCCTCCCTTGTGGGATGTACCAGACCGGCTTTGGCTGCTAGAGCAAAGGCAGTATTACAGTGGCAATTATTGCCATCTTCAAGCTGAACGAGTTCCCTGCCCAAGCTTTCGTTGAAGAATGGGAACTAATCTGCTGTGGGCTTCTCTCTGCTCCGCAAAGGCCAAATAGCCACCCAGGAGGACCCTCGGGGCCCGGAAGCAAAAACAAGCCTAACCTTGGAGACAAATCTTCTCTCAACCAACCTGAAAATTTCCAACCACCACCAGGCCAGCCGCGTTGGTGCAACCGGTGACAAGGGCTGCTGTGTTCACCCTGGAGGCCCGTCTTTGCTCCAGGAGTTGCCCGTAGCGCAGGAAGCAGATGATGGCCACTGGGAGGGGAGGGGAGGGGAGAGAGAGAGAGAGAGAGGCGCGTCAAACCCAGCATGCAAAGCAGAAGGACAAGCGCTGGGCTCTCTGGGGAATGACATTCCTAAGGACAAAAGTCCACAGGGACATGCACAACATGGCATTCAAAACCAAGCCTGCCATCATAAGCCTTAATACGTTATATGAAGCTAGCTGGCTGACTTATCAGGACAAACTGAAACTTGGCACGTTGCCAAAACCAGGTCAGGCAAAAAACATGACTGCAGATTTTATGACTTTGAATTTCAATGAGCACAACATTCCAGTGAAAAGATAAATGGGGCGGGGGACTTAGAGAAGGATGTGGATGCACAAAGGGGGTGTTTGAACTATAAGTTGCCAGCAACATGTATAAGAAATGATACAATTGATCAGTTTCCATCCATTATTCGTTGTCTGGCCTTCGGGGGCTTTGGAGAATAGCTTGACCACCTTCCTCCTCTCTGTGGCAGCCCCTCAAATATTGGAACACTCCTACCGTGTCTCCCCTGGTCCTTCACTAGACTAGCCAATTCCTGCAACCGTTCATTGTATGTTTTAGCCTCCAGTCCCCTAATCATCTTTGTTGCTTTTCTCTGCACTCTTTCTAGTCTCCACATTTTTTCGCAGTATGTGTCAAAAGAATCTGAGTATCTTGATCAATCAAAACTTGGACATGAGCCAGCAGTGGGACACAGGGCAAAAAGAGCAAAGGCTGCATCAATAGGCATAATGTCAAACTTAAGAGAAGTTATTGTAATGCAAATCCAGAGTATTGTGTCCAATTCTGGGCACTGCATTTTGGCAAAGACTGAGGAAAAGGTGGGTTCCCGGAAGACAGCCGCAGAGGAGGAGGTACTTGGAAAGCTTACCTGATGGAGAGAAGATACCTGCTGTTCCCTCACCCCACTTCCTGCACAGCCCTGACCCTGATGACCTTCAGGAAGCCCCCAGAATGCTAAGATGATTGAATTAAGGGTGTAAGTTTTGTTTGGAAAGTCTCGCTGCCTGGGATTGGCAGTTGCTCACTGAGTGGCAAGTGGGCAGTGGCCACCCTGCCACCGGCTTCTTCGCTCACGAATGAAACTGGGAAAAGAGGGAAATGAATACTTACCCAAGAAAGCTCCAATGTTCCCAATAAGGCTGAAGAGACAACTTTCAGGAGGGTAAGTGCCACATTTACTAAAGGGCAAGAAAAGAGCATTAGCACAAGATGGGAAACCAGCACCTCGTCCTACACACTTGCTTTGAAACCGCCCAATTTGGGAACTGCCTGGCACCGTTTCATGAGGCCACATCTGGAGCAGCAGATGCAGCCGCTGGCTCATCCTCCACAAGCTTCTTTCCACCTCACCTGATCAAAGGGACATCTTCCAAGGTGCAGCAGCTTTTGGGGTAGCCGTGCTTGGTAGAATCAGCAGAACAAGACTCGTTGTACGACCTGCAGCCATTTGGATCAATTAAGTGGCATTCTGAGATGCTCCAGGAAAGAGAGACCCCGTGCCCTCCTTTCTCCCACTGCCCTCCCGCTTTCCAGCACAACTCACCAGTTCTCAACAGGGCACACGTGGTGATTCATGACTGCCATGGCATAGCTAGAAGCAGCAAAACGGAACAAAGTAGATGGTAAGACAGCAATAATTGGGTAAGCCTGAAAATAAGCACTGCAGTTCCCTAATGTTTATGGGAGTCTATATTAGTCTCTCTCTCTTGGCTTTCCAACAGATTTTTCAAGGTTCTCAACCAATCAAAGCAACAATATCAAATCAGTTGAACAAACTCCTTTAATTCCTCCAGTATATCTTTAAATTCCACCGAAATGGCAGAGAATGCAGCTTTCTGGCAGAGGCCTCCTTGTGTGAAGGAAATCCCAAGTGGTTCACATCACCAGGCCCACGACGTGTTTAGAAGAAACCACTTCCGCTTCTCAAGTGCCAATTTAGAGAGACTGAAGTTTACAGAAAACGGCCACAATTAGGGCACGTCTCTCATTCACCTGCAACTGCCCACTAGGCACCGTTCCCTGGTCTTTCCCTATAGGCCTCCCAATCCCTGGCCCACTAAGGACATATAGGCAAGATTCAGGACAGTCCATTATCTAGAGACTGGAAACCTCCATTCCTGAAAAACAAGAATATTTTCAGGAAACCACAAGACCTTCTAGAAAGAAATGTCAGTCTCAACTGAGTTGGGCCATTTGCTCAGAAAACCGGCCCAGCTGGAATGAACACTGAAGCCGCCACCACGCTTTCCAAACAGCCTTCAGGAGACCAGATACGAACGGGACCTTTGCCTGACACCCCACAGCCAACTTTGATTGCTTAAATTTGCCAGATTAGTCCTTTGAAGCATGTAGGTTAACAATAAAAAGTTCCACATTCAGGTTCTTTCCAAGATGTGCACTAAAGATTTTGGGCTTGGTCCATTTGAAATCTGGGTCCAGAGGAAATGCTTTAAAAAACCTGTTGCTGTAATCACCACAAAGTTCTCCACTGGGCTTGCATCATTTGGTTTCATCAACTCTGCATTTTGTCTCCCAAATGTAGAGCTGTGGAGCACCCCAAAGCCATGAAGGACTTCTTGAAGGGAAACCAACACCAAACCTTTGCACTGTTTTGTTCTCCCTCAGCCATCCTTTCCATATCATTCAATTACATCAATGCAAACATTTTGGACCAGCTTAGAAATAATTGATGCCGAATAAATAGAAATGGGAGTTATTGTCTGTCTCACCTTGCTGATCTTGGCTGACCTACTATAGAAAACTAGGCAGTTAGTCCTAGGGAGTCCTTTCAAGCAGTTGGCTGGACAGGATGTGCAAGACAGAAATGCAAACCATTTACTGGATGGATTGCAACTTAGAGACCCCCAAAGTTGAGCCTCATTTTTTGAAATATAAGTTATTTCTCGCCATTTGTATTTTGGCAACTGGTGTAATAAGAGCCCCAGGGTTAGGGTTCCTGACATCCTGTGTAAATGTTTACTAGTGACTTAAAACAAAGAGAGACAAGGATGCATTTACAATGGTTTTTCCCACAGACAAATTAGTGTAAAACTACAAGTTTATTTCAGATATGATTGCAATTAATTTACAACGAACCACAACAAGAACTTTATGCTCCAGAAAATCTTTTATGTGTTCAAATTTCACATACATATCTTTTTAAAAATATTTCTTCATTAAAAAATCAGTAACAATATTTAAAAGGGCTTTAACCCTCTTGCAGGGCTGGGTCAGCCTATGCAACTATTGTACTCACATACCCTCAAGAGCATCAGAATAAATGTAGCCCTGATGTGGACAGGTGAGCCACATTAGGCCACCTGGCACTGAAAGGTGGCCCACAGAAAGCGTGGGCCCTCCCAAGGGAAGCTGTGGCTAAGCCAGGCCTTGAGGCTGCTGGGGCAGGAGGAGGAAGTGGCCACAAACAATCCCTTCCAGAGGAGACACGAGCTACGCTGCTCTGGCTTTCGTCTCTTTATGGTCTCCAGCGCCTTCAGCACCAGCGCATTCAAAAGGCAGAAAACCACCACGTTCCTCCGTGTTTGCAGGTCATGATTTGGCAACACATTTGCTAAGTCGCCTTTTGGGAAAGGATCCTGCCAGCAGGTACGCAAGAGAACTGCTGATACAGCCCTGGAGCTCAGGGAATAGCAGAGGAACCTGATGCTTCTCTGCAGGAGGAAACAAAGCATGCCACAGGCTCCACCCCTCGTGTGTGACCCAGCCACAATGCACAACGGCTCTTACACAATCCATATTCCAGTGATTGAGAAGGTAGAGAGGCTGATGGGGAGGATGATCCACGCAGTCATTAGTGAGTGCAGAAGGGAGACCCTTAAGAGGGGGAGGGGGGAAGGGGGGGGGGGCGGGAGGGGAAGGGGGGGACCCAGCTATAGCCCAAGGCCTCCAGCTGCAACCGTCCAAAGGCACCTCCTAGAAGAGAAGCAGGAGAAAAAGAGGGTCAGTCAGTGTCAGCCCTTCCAGGAAACGGGACGAGAGGAATTCAAGAATGCCACCCGAGGCCTTGCAGGTTTTGCCCCAAATCCCAGCAGAATCCCTTCCTGGTTCTCCCAAAGGGCCTTTTTCAAGAGGCAGCTGAGCTTCCTCCTCCAAGCGGTTTCTTCAGCTTTCCCACCATCCAGTCAGAGCCTCTTGGAGGAGGAGGGAAATCTCTTCAGAGCAAACAATGGAGGCGGGGGGCAGAGGAGGCAGTGGCCAAAGCCATCCCGAGGGAACAAGGGGGCCAAAAGCGGAAGGGAAAGAGACCCCCAACTGAGAGCAGCTCCCCAGAGGAGCCAGGGGCGACGAGGCGCCTTCTTAACTGACCGATGCAAAGAAAGAGAGGAGCGGCCCGGCTCCCTCTTCCCGCGCACCGGCCCATGGCGGCGCTCCACCCTGCCGGCCGGCCCCGTCGCTCGGCCCCCGTCCAGAAGGCCCCTTCGGCGGGCTCCCCACTGCCGGCGCCAGGCCCCGCCGGCTCGGCCCGGCCCCGACGCGGGAGGCGCCCCGCCGGCAGAGGCTCCGCGTGGGCGGCGAGACAAGGGCGCGGGAGGCTGGCCGTCCCCCTAGCCGGCTCTCGGAGGAAGGAGGCAGGGATGCCGGGCGGGGGCTCGCTTCCCTTACCGCTCGCCGCCGCCGCCGCCCTTGCCGGACGGAGCGTTGGAGGCCAGGCCGGTCCCGGCCACTCGCTCGCTCGCTCGCCGCTTTCCCGGCCGGCCGCCCAGCTGACCAGGCGGGGCCCGGGCTGCAGCCGGCGGGGAGGGGGCGCGCGCGGGGCGAGCTGGGAGGAGCCGCCGCCGCTCTCCCGGCCGCGGCCTCGGAGCCGAGCGGGGGTCGGCCGGGGGCTCCGGAGGGGCTCTTGCTCGGCCGGGCAGCCTCGGGGCCGCGCCAGGCAGAAGCTCTCGGGACGCGCCGCGCTCGGCCATGGCGAAGCGGCCTCGGCTGACGGACCGTGGCGGGGCAGGCGAGCCCGGGCCTTGCCGGACCAGGAGCCGGAGCCGGAGCCGGGCCGCTCGGCTGGGGAGGATGGGCTCGGTCGTGGATTGCAGCCTGAGCGTCGTGAGGGGCTGCGCGCGGGTTGGTCGAGAAATCGCCCTCCAGCACTTTGGCTTCTGCGCCGCTTCGGTCGGCCGCTGCCTCGGACTTTCCCCGGAGGGGGACGTGGAGCGCTCGGCCTCTTGGATCCCCTTCGGGCAGCTTCGGCTTCGAGCAAGCGAATGTGGGGCCGCGGCAGCCCCGAGGATGTCCGGGAGGGAGCGCCCCCACGGACCGGCCAAGCAGCCCCGAGCCGGGACTAGGTCTCCTTGTAGGGGAGCTCGAGGTCACTCCTACCCACCCCCGAATAAGGTAGGTTGGGGGGAGAAGGAGGGGGGGACCGGTCCCAAGCTGCCCCCCCTCCCCCGGCGCCTAGAGCCGAGCCAGGGGCGCTGCTGCTCGCTCAGGGTGGGGCTTTCCCAGCTGCTTTCAACCCCCGGTCAAAATGTGCTAAAACATGGTTTGTTTATGGGCATCCAACTCAATCAAGTGCCTGTGGGTGGCTTACCGTTCTAAAATTATAAAACAATGTAAACGACATTAAAAAAAATAAAAACTTCCATAAAATAAGTATAAACGGCAGCCCTGGGGACTAATCAATGAATAGTGCAGAGGAATAACGGGGCCCTTCCCACCTTCTGAGCCCCACCCAGAGCGCCAAGATTCTTGGGAAAGGCCAACGGGGCCTCTTAGCTGTTCTAATGGGAGGGGGCCATATTCCATCAGTCAGACTCAGGGCCCACAGTAGAAAAGGCCCCACCACAAAGGCATTTGGCTGATGGGATTTGCAGCCTGGCTGTTGGATCAGATCCGATGGGTAGAAACTCTTGGAAAAAAACACCGGCCCTCAGGGAGCCATTACAATCAAAAGTTGTTTCCTTACCGTTTGTGGGAAATGATACAGCAGGAACTTTCATTTTACTCAAAAGTTTGATGTACAACAGGCGTGTTTGTGGGCCTGTTCTCTCTCCTGGCATGGGTTGCATAGGGCAAAGAGCAGGAAGTGACAAGAGAAGGCAATGGATATATTGTATCTCTGGAAACTGACATTAAAGGATGTACCAGATCTGAAGGATCTTGTGGAGTGAAAGTGAGGAAAACCTGCATGGAAGTGGGAAGGTGTATGTTTAATTGTGAACAAAAGGCCTAAAAGGAAGAGCAAAATCTTGCATTGTGGGGGTTTGTGGGGGCACTTCAGTGAATGGTGATAATTGAAACCAAAACCAAATAAAAGGTTTGAGGAAAATTGTGGAGCATTTTGGTGACTGGATTCAGAGGAACAAATTCTATCAAGTGATGTGAATGGATGGATAGAAACGAAAGGAAAAAAACAAGCAAAAGTTATTGGACTTTTCCAAAATTTCAGAAAGGAGCAGAGAGAGATCGACACCACCCAAATCGATTCTTAATACGGGCCTTACATTATTTTGCTTCAGATGCCCAGAAATAAAAGTCCAGGAGAGGGTGTTAACGAAAAACCAAAAAGGAATCTGGTAGCATTTTTTCCAACATCTTTTATTAAAAGGTGAGAGTTTACGCCTTTCTGTAAATAAATAAACCATCCCCTCGGATGAGCTTTTTAGAAAAACCACGTATCTGTTTTGCTCCAGGTTTCCCCGGAACACATCCTGGGCCTGGCTGAAGCTGAGGGAGGGACAAGTCCTGACTCGGAAACCTCCCAGTCAGGACACTGGCAGCCCTGGAACTCAATCACCTGATTTCCTAGGCTGATTTGAACTGCGAAGGCTTCGCCCAAATTCTACCCTTCTGGAGATCTCCTAAGCCCCTTAGATTTTTTTTTGTAACCTTGATACAAAGACAAATTCCTAATGTATCAGTGACTGTTCTGGGAAGGAATCTAGCCCAAATGTTTCTTCTTCGAGGGAGGCGGCTTGGTAGGATTACTGAATAGAATGACTCCTTTTCAGTGCCCATGGCCCCAAATGGCAGGTGTGCATGGAGGCAGGGATGCTCTCGGGGGGGGGGGGGGGGGGTAGGAGTGTTCTGTTCACCCCAGGGGAGTCCAGCCTTGTAACTTTTCTTTGTCCTTTTAAGCTCTAGATCAGTGATGGCTACTAACCTTTTTGCCATCGCGTGCCAAAAACGTGAGGATGGGGGTGGGTTTGCATTCGCGTGTGCCCACACCCATAATTCAGTGACACTCCGCACCCCCACACATCTGCACGTGACGCCCTGTGCTACCCCCACTTTTGGCACATGATGGCAAAAAGGTTAACCAATAGGCCCGGTTGGTCCATTATTTGCCCTCCCCAGACTCCAGAGGCTTTCTTGGAGCCTGGGGAGGGTGAAAACAGCCTTCTCCATCCCCACCAGAGGTCCTCCGGAAGCCGGAAACGGCCCATTTCCTGACTTCCAGTGGGCCTGGAAGGCTCAAAAATCAGCTGGCCGGGGCACACATGCGCGCTGGAGCTGAGCTAGGGCAACGCTCACGTGCCCACAGATATGGCTCCGCGTTCCATAGGTTCGCCATCAGGGCTCTAGATGGTCTGGGAGGAAACTGGCTATTTAGATCTATTCTAATTCAGGTTTTGGAATGAAAAATTATTTGTGTGGGAGTTGAACCCTGCTGTTCTGCCAAAAGTCTCAGGGGTTTTGGATGCCATTAGTGATGTCCTTCACAGGTCAATCCCTAAATCAGTTTCCTTTTTTGTAGCTCAGTGTGTTGTGTCTGTTCCTGAATAGGATTATTTCCCAGAATTACACAAGAATATAAATGCAAGTCCTTTTCAAAGAAGCAGAGTTCAATTCTGGATCTTCTGCCTCCTCCCTGCATTGTTAACTGACTCGAGAACCTTATCCTGGGGCAGGAAGAGCAGGGACAACAGCGCCTTCTTAAGCACCAACAATGTTTAGTCAACAGAGGGGTCGGGTAGGTTTTCACACAACTCCACAAGCATTCAGAACAAATTCCTGCACCAAAGAACTATCACGGAAGAGCAGGTTCTAGGTCTTTATTTACAACCCTATGCCACATTTCTGAGAACCTTTGCTGGCAGGAAGAGGGCAAGGCAACGACCTCCAAGAGAGCCCTGCTGGTTCCCATCCTCCCCACCCCACCCTTGGGTCAGCCCAGCGGTCTACTTTCTGCACGAGGAAAGGTCCTTCTGGCTGATCTACCAAAAAGCTGCACATCTAGACAAGGGAGCAGCTCCCTTCAATAACCAATTCACAGCAGCCGCCTCTACCCTCAATCCAAGACCCTGAGAAGTTGGGTCAGGCAGCTGGCAACACCCTGCTGCCTCCGCCTGGCTCTGGCGTCCAAGCAAACAGCAGGCTCGACTTGGATGTTTGCAAGAGGGGGAGGGAGAGGCAGACCACTACAATACAGAGCCAGCCAGCAAGTCTGGGTTGCAACAATTTGGCTCGCTTTCTTTTGGGGCAGCTCTGTCAAAGGATGGGCTGTAGGGATTTGCTTCCTTCTGCCACTGCTCCTGATGGTACCCTTGAGCAGCATAAGAGGAGCCCCCAAGCCTGGTCCTGTGTGCTGGTAAGCAGGCCCAGCGCCATTTCCCCTAAAGCATTTCTCAATCCCTGCAACGGCTCTCAGCGCTTCACTCGCCGCTTCTCCAATTCCTCTTGTACTCGTTGCCGAAGGGCCTCGTGCAAAGCTGGCTCCAGCTGATTCTGGGCACTGACCTTCTCCACCACTTCTTCGGGGTCATTGTCCTGGACCAAGAAGCAAAAGAATCCATGAGGAAACACCCTGCTCAGATGGCCAAGCGTAAGCGCTCCTAAGCAACTCTTTTGGGATTATAAAACACACTTTCATAAAGCTTCCAGGAGCTTAATATATACCTTTCAGTCTTTTTAGAGGTAAACAATGAAAATGGATGGTTTTGTTACCAAACCTCACTGGTGGAAACTTCAAGTTGGGTTGGTCACAAAAAGGGGGATAAAACTCACTCGCTGCCAGCTTGCTGCTTTTAATTTAAAAAGCAAAAAACCCAAACACAGCAGTGGAATAATAAAAGCTTGATGGAAAGTAAGAAAAAATCCATTTACTGTCAGGAAATATAATATATATACAGCAGCAGCAGTTTTGTCCAAATGCTTCCTAAAACCACCAGTTCTTAGCTAAGAGCTGAAAACTCCCATTTCTAAAATGACTCTACTCCCAAGAGGCAGTTCAGCAATGGGGTCAAACCAGATGCAAGCTGGTTCCAAAATGCTAATTTAAAAAACGGATGTGCTGTTCACCTGATGACTGAAACAACACAGCAAAAATATTAGCTCCCTTTAAAAATCAAAAAACACAGCTGTGGCCTTTAAAAGGGAAAGTAGTGTTTTAATGCTCCTCTTAAAATGTAGTGAGAAAGCTGACCCCCCCCTTCCCCATTGGCCAGTCCTTCCATGTCCAATATATCCAGGAGAGGCCCACAGGAGGAGCTGGTCTAAGAACTGGGAGTACAACGCTATAAAAGTGGTTTGAGCGTGCACCCTTTTTCCACCATCATGAAGTCCTGACTTTGGTTTGGAAGACAGTTCACAACCTGTGAGATTACCTGGGCATGCGGAACCCCCGGGAGGTCCACATCATCACACTGCTGTGTTCAAGGGCTGCCCCCCCAACCATAATCCAGCCAAAATCTGAGTCTCGAAAGCCACGTCCTTCCCCTCAAGTACAAAGGCCGACGAAGGGCTCGCATTGCTGCTGGTGGGTTGGGGCTGGTTGTGACAGGCCCCAAAGTGGTCTTTGGTTTTACTAAGAATATTCTGGGGGGCTTCATTTGGTTTGTCTACTACGCTGACGCCATGTAGTTTGCTGTAATAGTCTGCTGGGGGTTTCTGAGACCGTTCAACCCTGAGCTACAAATATTCACTAGAGGAACATTCATTATATGTAACCGTTTAATTGTTTAATATTTATTACCCATTTTTGCAAAACCTGCTTGAATAGTATGCCCGTGGTGCCATTGAGGACGGGACCGTTCCAGCCAATGCAGCGTTGAAAACACAAAGTGGCCAGGAAAATAAAAAATCAGTCTTGGGTTCTGCTATGGAGTTCCCCGAGTTTTGCCCAGAGAGTAGCCTTTCCAAGCATTCAAGCTATCTGATCTTTAGCACAATCGGTAGAAACAACAACAATGCACTAAAATGACCGAAGCCCGGCTGGCCTTGAGCTGCCCAGAGAGCATCTGGAGGCTCCTCCTAAGCCAGCCAGCCAAACCTTCTCCTGCCCAGCCTATCCCAGGCTCATCCGCACTGAAGGATAGGAAAAGGGGGGGGGTTTGGCAGCACCCCCGGAAGAGCGAGGGGGCCCTGGGGCGCTTCAGCTGAGGCAGCGGAGGGGAACCGGGCAGCGGCCGAAGCTGCGGCTCCTCCTCGCCCGCCCACCTACCTGGTAGACCACCACCGAGGTGACCTGGCCGCCGTCGGCCTCGTACTCCAGGCAGAAGAGGGCCGGGCCACGGGGGCACCGCTCGCGGCTGCTGGAGCTGCTCCCGCTCGACGCCTCCGACTCGCCCTCAACGCCACCCGGGGCTGCTCCGGCTGCGCCTGCGAGGCAGACAGAAAGAGAGAGAGAGGGATGGAGAGAGAGAAGGAAAGGGAGAGGGAGAGGGATGGAGAGGGAGAAGGAGAGGGGGTGGAGAGAAGGAAAGAGAGGGATGGAGTTAGAGAAGGAGAGAGAAGGAGGGAGAGAGAGAAGGAGGGAGGGAGAGAAAGGGATGGAGAGAGGAGAGAGGGGGATGGAGAGAGGGGGAGAGAGGGAGAAGGAGAGAGGGAGAAGGAAAGAGAGGGATGGAGAGAGAGAAGGAAAGGGAGAGGGAGAGAGGGATGGAGAGGGAGAAGGAGAAGAGGGGGTGGAGAGAAGGAAAGAGAGAGGGATGGAGTTAGAGAAGGAGAGAGGAGAGAGAAGGAGGGAGAGAGAGAAGAAGGGAGAAGGAGAGGGGGGGGAGAGAAGGAAAGAGAGAGGGATGGAGTTAGAGAAGGAGAGAGGAGAGAGAAGGAGGGAGAGAGAGAAGAAGGGAGAAGGAGAGGGGGTGGAGAGAAGGAAAGAGAGAGGGATGGAGTTAGAGAAGGAGAGAGGAGAGAGAAGGAGGGAGAGAGGAGAGAAAGAGGGATGGAGAGAGAGAAAGAGAGGGAGAGGGATGGAGAAGGAGAAGAGAGGGGGTGGAGAGAAGGAAAGAGAGGGATGGAGTTAGAGAAGGAGAGAGGAGAGAGAGAAGGAGGGAGAGAGAGAAGGAGGGAGAGAGGGAGAAGGAGAAGGAGAGGGAGGGAAAGGGGGAGCCAGGGGGACCCTCCAACGGCTACCGACCACTGGACTCACCTCTGCGGCCGGCGCGGTAGACCTGCTGGTCGGGCCTGCGGGGCCGGGGGGGCGCGGGCGTCAGCCTCCGCCGCAGCTGCTCCTTGGCCTGCTTCACCTGCCGGTCGTAGTCGTCCCTGCGCGGAAGGGAAGAGCCGGTGGGAGCAGCCCCTCCCCCCCCCCCCCCCCCCCCCCCCCCCCGGGCCTCGGCCCCCCCCCCCGCCCTCCCCCTCCCCTCCCGCCTCCCCCGCCCCACCTGGCGATCTGGTTGCGCCGGATGTGCCGCACGAAGCCGTGGCTCATGTCCAGCCGCCCGCCCGGTTGGCAGCGCCCCGCGTCCATCGGCGCCCGCTCCGGCCAGGCCCTGCGCCTCCCCCGACCGGCCGCCAGGGGGCCCCCCCGCGCACGCACGCACGCCCCCCCCAGCCCCGGACCCACGTGTGTCGTTGTGGGGGGGCGGGGCCGGGGGAGTGGCGGAAACGGGGCTGCGACGCCGGAGTCCGCCAGCAGGGGGGCGGGGGTTGTCGCTCTCCTCTCGTGACGACATCAGGGCGCGCCGAGCGTCGCCTTGGCGCCCGCGGAGATGGCGGCGCGCGTCAAGCGGGAGCCTCGCAGCCCCCAGCCGTGGCCGGGCTGTCCGACGGTCGCGCCTCGCGCAGCGGCGGGCTGGTCGCGGGTGAAGCGGGAGCCCGCCGAGGAGGTCGCCATCAAGCAGGAGCCCGAGGAGCCGGAGGAGGAGGAAGAGGAGGAGGAGGGCGGCGGCGGCAGAGGCGCGGAGCCCACAGGTGGCGACCAGGGAGAGGGGCCGCTGAGGGCGCCGCGGTCGCTTCCCGGGGGGGGCCCTCTGAGGCGGCTGAGGCGGGCGGGGAGCGATCCCGTCCTGGCCGCCAGCAGGGAATCCCCGGCGGAGTGGGTCCCGTGGGGGAGATGGCGGCACAAACGTCCCATAAGCGAAAATGAGCGATTCCTCCCTTCCATTCCCGTCTCGCACCTTTCTTTCCGTCCCCACGCTAAGCCTTTTTGGTTTATTTCCCTTTTTCAGTCAAGTACGGTCGATTTGATCCAGAAGATCGCCGGAGCCGGCATTGTCCCTACCTGGACACCATAAACAAGTCAGTGTCAAAATGAAATTGTGTTGGGGGGGAAATCAGTGAATGAATAATGGTACAAAGAAAGGAGTCAATGCAGAGACTCAACAAACACATCAGGACCCTGTTGGTAGGACGGCCAGTTGGTGTCCCATCTGAAGCCTCCCCTGGCAAAAGGCTCCCGTGAAGGGCTGGGAAAAGCACTCCTGGGTCGCCCCCTCCCCCAAATGCCTCGGCCCATCCCTGACTATCCCTTTTCTGTGGCAGAGATTCCTCAGACAATGAGGGAAACATCTCTGGTCTGGCCCCACCGCCCAGTCCCTGCAGTTACTTCCCTGTGGTTCTCCCTCCTTTCTCCCTTCCTCCTCCCTGGCCTGTCACTCCAGAGCTGGGGAAAGGGCTCTCTTGGCTAGAGAGTGGAGCCTAAGAACTCCTGAGCCCCCTGAGTGGGACGCCCATGCTGAGATGTTCTGCCTTCATCCAGGAAAGTCTCTGCTTCTGGGTTGGCATCAGAGGCTGAGGGTTTTATTTCCACCTTCCCAGATTTTAGAGAATCAAATGTTTGTGTAAATGGAAACAATTTTTTTCTCTTAAGAATATGTTTCTTGTGAACAAAGGTTCCTTTCTTATGCAGACACAAATTAAAGAATCTGAAGTAGGCAAGAATCCTTGAGAGTGGCACAAGTTTATAGAATAGCAGAACCTAATACAATATTATTTCCAGTTTTTATTTTAAGAAAAGAAGTCGTTGGGAGAAAAAAAATCTAGTTTTCGTCTCACAGCTTTGAATCTTTCCTCCTCCTCTTTGGCAGAAAAAAACAATGTTTTACTACATGAAATACTAAGATGAGACAGGAAAGGTCATCCCTAATTTAAAAATAGTGGACCCACTACCGTGAGGCAGTGGTAGGGATGATATTTTGTTCCTCTACATCTACAATCAGGTCCTAGAGTTTCCCTCTAATGCATTATTTGCATATCCTAAATTGATTGGCATGGTATTGATAGTTGTGTGTTGTTAAGAATCCCATCTTGTGCCACTGCAGGAGCGTCCTGGATTTTGACTTTGAGAAGCTGTGTTCGATCTCACTCTCGCATATCAATGTCTATGCTTGCTTGGTGTGTGGGAAATATTTCCAGGGTAAGCCTGTTTCAGTCCCTTCTCTTTTTCGATAGTTGGCATAGGAACACACATGTGATTCTTGATCAGCCTAGTAGAAAAATTTTGTGCATACAATCCTGGTGGTGGTGGTGGTCTTGCCTCACCTTGATGAGCTTAATCTCGAGCAGGTATTACAGCTGATCTCTGACATAATAGGCATGAATGAGAGATCAGCACTTTGAAATTCAGCCTCCCATCCTTTTCCATAAGGGCTGACAGATCAAAATATTGTAGGGCTATCAGCAGCCTTGGCCGGCTGACACTAACAGTTGATTCCCCTTCAAAGACATGACTCCCTCCCTCCCTCCCTCCTTCCCTTCCTGCTTGTGGTGCACATAGTAGGCAGTTCTTGCTCATGGGGTTGCTCTGCCTCCTGTCTTCTCCACAGGTCGTGGCTTGAAGTCCCATGCTTACATTCACAGTGTCCAGTTCAGTCATCATGTGTTCCTCAACCTTCACACCTTGAAGTTTTATTGCCTGCCGGACAACTATGAGATCATTGACTCTTCTCTTGAGGATATCACTGTAGGTGGCTTTCTGGTGAAGGGTGGAGGGGAGAGGTGGGAATACCCAGCTCAGTTCAGCTCTTAATATTTAAAATGTCCCTTCTCAGACTTTCACCCCACCATCTATTGCTGCAGAAGGGCAGCAGAGGGGAGATTCTTAACCCCTCTCCAAACCTAGAGTTCATGTCCAGGATTGTAATGCTGCATTTCTACATTCTAAACTGTTAAGACCTATTTACCCTCTGAGGAGAGCCAAACCGGGATGTGCTGATTGACCCCTCAGTGTGGCCTGGGCTAAGGCTTCCAGCAGGCCGTCTCCTCTCTTGCTTCTTCTCTCCCCTTTTCCAGTATGTACTGAAGCCAACCTTCGCCAAGCAGCACATCACCAATTTGGACAGGCAGGCCAAGCTCTCCCGGGCCTACGATGGCACCACATACCTTCCGGGCATTGTGGGGTTGAATAACATCAAAGCCAATGACTATGCCAATGCAGTTCTCCAGGTACTGTGCCGTCTTTGAAGTGAAGAAGAGTAGGAAAATCCACTGCAGCCCCCCCCCTTCCTCAATATGATACAATACAGCACAATGAAATGCAATACAATACAGGTAGGCCTTGTTTAGTGACTGCCTTGTTTAGTGACCATTCACAGTTAAGATGGTGATGGTGTTAGTTAAGACAGTTAAGATGGTGATGAAAAACTTTATGACCAGTCCTCACATTTATGACCTTGACAGGTCTGAAAAACAAAGGAAAGCAGAAGGAAGATCATAAACACTTAGAAACCACTTTGCTTAATCAAATCATAGAGTTGGAAGGTACCTTGGAGGTCTTCTAGTCCAACTGCCAGCTCAAGCAGGAGACCTTATATCATTGCAGACAAATGGCTATCCAGTCTCTTCTTAAAAACATCATTGTGTGTTTTGTTACCGATTGTACTTATTTATTTGTTAAATTTATTTCCCATCTGTGGGGCTACTTTATGAGAATAAAAGGGAAAGTGAAAAGTGTAAACAGAACAAAAGTAAAATAATAGAACCATAAAATAAACAATGATAAAGGAACACAACACACGTACATCAATATGATAACAAAAGATGGACGGGTGGAGAGCAGAGCTGGGGGTGGGTGGAGGTGGAGGCCACCATCAAGCCAGCAATCACCCCCAGCCTGGAACTTCCCCATTGAGTGCCCAGGCTTCATTATTGTTTTCTATTTGTGTGTGTCATGTAGGCGTTGTCAAACGTCCCGCCCCTGCGGAATTACTTTCTGGAGGAAGAGAATTACAAGAATATTAAGCGTCCTCCAGGGGATATCATGTTTCTGCTGGTTCAGAGGTTTGGAGAGCTGATGAGGAAGCTGTGGAACCCCCGGAACTTCAAGGCTCACGTCTCTCCCCATGAGATGCTGCAAGCTGTGGTTCTGTGCAGTAAGAAGAACTTCCAGATCACCAAGCAGGGTAAGAGACTGGAGAGAAGTTCTGCGGCTGAAAAGAACAGCCGGGAAATATCCGTGTTGATTTCTCAGTGGAACCGTGATCTGGGCCATCTGGTCATAGCGAGCACATAACCATTATGCATCTGAATCTGGAGTATTCACCATCGGGATATCTAGATCCATGAAGGGCAGCAAAGGGCTGTTGAGGGCGTCAGTAAGGGGAGGGGAACAATACTCCTCCACGCATGATCCCCTTTTGAAAAGCTTTAAACCTGGTGTGAAGGTTCTGCTTTAATCATGGAGCCTAGAGGGAGGTTATAGTGATATAGCTCAGATGAACCTTCCCTTTCACGGCCTCTGCCCTTCTCTCCCTTGGCAGGTGATGGCGTTGACTTTCTTTCCTGGTTCCTGAATGCCTTGCACTCTGCTCTTGGGGGCACAAAGAAGAAGAAAAAGAGTAGGTGAAAGGCGTCGATGCCTCTGATAAGTTATGTAGCCTTTTGTAAGACCACATCAAGCTTCAGGGTTTTGAATGAAGCCCTCCTCAAAGCAGCTTCCTGAAGGAATCATGACCCTCTCAGAGTTACCCCAGAGACGATCTGCCTTCAGCTAGGTTGAAAGCAGCTTTCCGATGCAGGGATGACCAAGGAATCTTGACAGTATGACTGCCTTAGTGCATTAGAGCTCTCCGGGGGTGCTGCCTTGGCCACCCCTCCAAGGCCGCAGGGGAAGAACTCCTGGCTGATGCTTCTTGAGGCAGAAGAACCATAGCATTGTCTGTTACCAGCCCTTGCTGGCCAGAAGTCTCAGCCAGCTCATCGTGGTATTGCCCTCCACTTGCTTCTCTCCATTTCACCATTCAGCACAAAATCCCTCAGGACCCCTGGCCTTCCAGTTGTTTTTTTCTCTTCCTCCTGTCGAGCTCCCCAGGCAGACGTTCTCTGCCCATTTAATGGAGAAGCACACATGAACTAATCTATCCCCTTGCATTGGTCATATGTTAATTATCAGTCTCTGGCCCTTCGAACCTTTTCATACCCTGGACGGGGTTATTGTGAGAATTGCCTCTTTCTAATTCACCCTGCCTGAGCCTCCTCTAGGACCCCATTTGTGGACCAGGGCAAAGCCGCCTTTGGGGAGGTTCTGGCAACTGGGAAACACAATCTATTTCTCTCTGTTTGTTCACATAGACAGTTACAAATAAATGTCTTCGCACTTTTAAAAAAAATTCTGTAGTCAATGTAGAAAATGTTGGAAATCTGTTGATGAAAAACATGGAATATAGGACTGTGAAAAAGTTGTATTCTCTTCTGTTCTCTCCCTCTGGTCTGCAGCCATAGTAACCGATGTCTTTCAAGGCTCCATGCGGATATTCACCAAGAAATTACCACACCCTGACCTGGTGAGTTGGGGGCCTAGTTGCCTTTTTTGCCCGAAAAAGAAGAGAACACGGGAAGAACACCTGAAGTGAAAAAGATGAATGCTTACCTTTGCTAGGATAGTTAAATGAGAACCTCAGCTATCCATTGGCATGCTGGAAGTTGAATCTTACACTTGGGCACTTGACCCCACGAAAAGGCCCTTTGGCCTGTCCAGGCACCCCACCCCACTCCATCACTTCAAGTGTCTCTGGGGCAGGCCCGGATTTCCTCACCTTTTGCTTATTCGGCTGATAGTGTTGCTCTGTTCTAGCCTGCAGAAGAAAAGGAGCAGCTGCTCCAGAACGATGAGTATCAAGAAAAAATGGTGGAGTCCACTTTCATGTACCTGACCCTGGATCTCCCCACCGCCCCGCTCTACAAGGATGAGAAGGAACAGCTCATCATCCCACAAGTTCCGCTTTTCAACATATTGGCCAAGTTTAATGGGATCATGGAAAAGGTATCTCCTCTGCTTTGCCATCTATTGGGCACGTTACGGGCTCCAAAAGCCCCAACTGGGACCAAGCCCCGGTTTCGGCAGGCAGCCCCAGCGGTCTCGGCTGGCTTAGCTCTACAGACGCAAACCTTGCGTGGAGTGAATGTCTCCCATTTTCTTGATTGGGTGGGAAGGGAAGGGCCTCATCCCCAGGGAGCAGCCTTTTCCATGCAGGCAGGGAGACCAAGGATCCTTTATCCAAAGGGCTTCAGTCCCTTTGCTGGATCAAGAAATCTCTCCCCTTCCATGGAGGGAAAGAGGGCCGATGAGCAGGGGGCCTGGGTCCTCCTGGCTGCCTCCATTGCTGCATGTGGCTCCCATCTAGACCTGTCCTAAACAGGGCATGGATTGACCGAAGGGGGCTTCTGGACACTGGTGAGGGCAGCACTAAAGATACCCTGGCCTGTGCCCTGTCCCGTTAATATTACACGGCTGAGTTCATATGTTCCTGGGATACAAGACAATAATTGGCTGTATTTAAAAGGGTCTTGAGCTGGAGAGGTAGCAGCTGTTGCCTAGTGTTGACAACTAGACCCTGATGCTTGCTGGGCATAAACAAACTAAGGAAAATAGTTGTATTTTAACCAAAGATGTCTCAGCTTCCCTGGGAAAGTGAAAAAAAATCTTTTTGCCCTTCAGGAATACAAGACATACAAAGAGAACTTCCTGAAGCGCTTCCAGCTCACCAAGCTGCCTCCTTACCTTATTTTCTGCATCAAGAGGTTCACCAAGAACAACTTCTTTGTGGAAAAGAATCCCACCATTGTCAACTTCCCCATCACGTACGTGTGGCCCTTCTCCAGAAGAAACGGCGCTGCCTTGGCAAATGCCGGAGGCCGATGTTGGGATTTGAGAGGCCAGATGGGTGGGAGACTCGGAGCCATGCAGATCAGTCCTTAGAGGAACCGTTGGGTGTTCCCGGTCGATCCGATGGCTGAGAGGGGCAGGCTAAGTGCCAGCAGAGGGCCTCTTCCAAGGGACTTTTGGGGACCTTTGAAAAGGAGGCCAGTCAGCAGGGCTGCATTGACCCCGGTCTGCCTCTAGGAATTTTCCCCCCCTGGGTTTTAGGCCTGCATTTTGTTGTAGCGGTGAGAAATCACAAACACCAAAGACGATGGAAGGCTTAGTGGCAGAGACATCCATGTTGCCTTAGCGTCAACATGTCAGAAGCGCTCTGCCCCCTGAAGCCAGTTCCACTTCTCTGGAGGGCCACAAGGGAAGAGGATCCTGAGAGATTCGGTCCTCAGAGCCTTCATGGCGACTTTTCTGCTGCAGGAACGTAGATCTCCGGGAATACCTGTCTGAGGAAGTGCAGGCAGTGCACAAGAACACCATCTATGACCTCATTGCAAACATCGTGCATGATGGGAAGCCTACGGAAGGGGCCTACCGGATCCATGTGTTGCATCACGTGAGTTTTTGCCTTCCCCTAAGGATTGCCCTGCCAGCCTTCAGCCCTGGGCGCCGAGTCACCCCGGGGTCTCCCTCTTGTTCTTGGGCGATGACCTCTGACTTGGACGGGACTCTTGCAGGGCACGGGCAAGTGGTATGAGCTGCAGGACTTGCAGGTGACCGATATTCTCCCCCAGATGATCACGCTGTCTGAGGCTTACATCCAGGTGAGTGCTTGGTCTTTCCTCTGCCGCCCACCGAAAACCACAGGGCTAGGAGCGGGCCCTCTCTTCCTAATACGAGTTGACTTCATTTCAATAGATCTGGAAAAGGAGGGACAGCCAAGAAGAGAGCCACCAACAAGGAACGTGAAGGAGGAACTGTGTGCGGAACAGGCCCGGCTGAGGCTGGAGCATTGCTGCAAAGACCGGTTGTTGCCTGGGTCCTTTGGAGAAGCCTCTCCTTGCCTTCAGTTTTCTTTCTGCAACTGGAGAGGTCCTTGCTGGCACTTTGGTCCTGATGCAACCCAGCAAACGGCTCCTCTGGGCACCAGAAGTACAACCCTGTTTCATCCTCCATTTGGAGGTGGTCTTGCAGGGAGACGGGCGCTTCTGCTCCTCTCTGGGCATTAGACATGCATGCTGGTTTTCTCTCCCCCCCCTGCCCCCACCCCTGCTGTTCTCCTGCTCTCCTTCCCTCCCTGCCCCCAGGGAAGGCGTGATTCAAACCAGGCATCCCATCCACAGAGGGTTTTTGTTAGACGCATTCATATTGTTTAGATGCTGCCTTTGGTTATACGGGAACAAATTCTTTGGAGATACGCGGAAACTGGGGGAAAATCCAAACAGCCACATAATGGAGTAGTTAACCATCTAGCAAGAGCTTCTTCACCAGGGGAGGAAGGCCTCCTGGGGGTGCTCCAATTGTAAAACCTGACCTACCAGGAAAATAATACACTCCAATTGGAAGACCCACACTGGTTGCTTGTTATTCTCTCGGCAAAATTTAGAGGGGTTGTGTTAAATGTTTCCTCTCCTGAATGATTACCTGAAGGACTGTGTAACTCGAGGATGCCTGAACAGGGAGGTGGGGGGGTGGGTGGGAATCATATAAGATGCCAGCATGTCTAAAGTTGATTTGACCAGCCCTTGGGATAAGGAGATGGCTATAAATCAAATAAATGATGTTTAATCACTCTCCTGCTTTCTCAGGAAATGGGTGGGAGATGAGCAGATGCACAGTTCCAGCCTTACATTGGCGCATCTCTGAGAGATAAATTCATATTTTTATTACTAATAAAAGAGGGCTCTGCTGTTCTTGCTTAGTTTCCAAGGTTCAGTAATCCCTTTTTCTTGAAAATCTGATTGACGAGAGTGTTCCTTGGTTGTGTGCTTGGATGTTCAGGGCTTGACAGTACTGAAGCACAAAGGCAGAACTTGACTTGCTGCAGCTGTGCAATCCTAGAAAACGACACAGCTCCTTTAAGGAGTTGGAGGGTGCTTGGCTCTGTTCCAAATTGATTCCAAGCCACTGCATGGCCATATCCTTTACTACCCTCCCCAAAATATTTCTAATATTAGCTTGGTGGAATTCTCAGTGGTGTCTCAATGGATAAAAAAAGCCTCAAGAATTCTCAAGTGATAAAAGGTATAGACTGTCTTTGTCTATACTCCAGGTTTTGTCTTGTACTGTATCACATCTACCTATAAATGCACAAGGAAAACACTTCATCCATGTGATCTGGAGGTTAATTTTAATAGTTGAGATTATTTTCTTCCTCAGCAGTCAAAGTGAGAGAAGCAGGGCTGTCCTGCCTTAAGCCGGACTCTCCTTACTCGGTTACAACCATACGTGATCCTGGCAGTGCTGTGTAGCCTAGAGGAGGATGGGGGAGAGAGAAATCAGATCCTGGCCCCATTGTGAGCCCCTGCGACATTCTGGGATGAGGCTCCTAGCACCGAAATTCATTTGAAATCCATCCTTTTGGGTTCACGCTGGTTCCCAATTGTGTCCTCACTGAATTGCTGGGACTGAAATAGCCCTGGGGAGCTGCTGGCTGTGCAGAATGGCCGGCTTCGGGGGCGCCAGCAGAGAGCAGAAAGGCCCAGTCCTCACCTTGCATCGCTTGGCTGCACTCAAGCTGGAGCACCAGTAAGTGGGTCCCTGGGCACAAGGAGTGGCGCTTGGGAAAAGCTGCTCAGCTCTGCAGGCACCCAGTTCCTGCGGAGGGACAAGAGGAAATGGAGACCCCGTTTGGGTAGCCTCTGGATAGGAGGACCACCTTCCCTCTTCACGAGAGGACGGGGGAATAGGCCACCCAAGTGTCTGTTATCCAGGGGTCTTAAGGCTACCCATCCATGCTACCCCCGTCTCCTTGAAGTGACCCATTTGCAGGCAGCAGCTCTCCGCAAGTGGGTCGGCTCTGATTCATTCATCTGGAGAAGCAGGAAAGAGCAGCCGCCGCCCTCGGATTAAACCTGGTTTCTTTTAAAACCTGGAAGGGCGGGTCCCCCTCAGAGCAAGGCTTGCAAGGTCCCTTTGGACCAGAACAGAGGAGCCTTGATCCCTTTTCATGCTCGGCTTGAATCCCAAGGAGATCTTTGCGTCTGTGCCCTTTTCCTCCCTCTTTGCTCCCCCAGTCCACCATATATGGCTTGGATTGTAAGCACCTGTCCAGGTGTCTTCCTGGGGCGCATGCCCTGTGTTTGGGCTCCAGTTGCTTTGCCTCTTAGGATTAGTTAGAATGGCACACCTCAGTTGGCTGTCCCCCCTTTTCCTACCTGGCAGGTAGTTTGGGAGTCCCACGGCTTCATTAACAGTGCGGACAGCTTTGGCTGGTGCTGGTAAAGGAAGTGCTTGCACTGCAAAAGAAGAGTTAGGGGTGGGGAGACAGAAATGCATTTTCTGGGCCAATGGCGGTCACGTGCCCAAACCCACAAGCTGAGCAGAGGAAGCGCAGGTGGAAGGGACGAGGGCCAAGGCCAAAGGGTGGACCTCTCTGGATGATCTCACTGATCTCCCTGGATTTTTAAGAGCTTTTCCAAAGCATTGGGAGCTGCCATTGCTGGAGATATTGAGGAGGTGTGAAAGAAATCTCTCTGAAATGACCTGGCGGGCCACAGATTGTCTAGTTCAGGGGTCTCAAACTCGATTTCATTGAGGGCTGCATCCGGGTTGTGTTTGACCTCGAGGGGGGATGGGCGTGGCCAGCTCAACATCACTCGTGTGGGGGGCACCTGTGGTGGCCCAGGCGGGGCTGGGGGGATCCATTGTCTCGGGGGAGGAAGGCGAGACCAGGGAGAGCGCCAACCCTTGTCCTCCAGAGGAGCCTGGCCATCTGCTGATGGCCAGGGGCTAAGGCAGGACTTCCCCTTCCTTCCTTTTCCTTCCCTCTCTTCTTCATTTTCCTTTCTTCTTCCTTCCCCACTTTCCTTCTCCTTTCTTCCCATCTTCCCTTCTTTTTCTTTCCTCTTTCCCTTCTTAGATGCTCAAATGCAAAAGGGGAAACATTTCTCCTTTTGTTTTGCTTTTAGTTTGTTTTGCTAGCCCTCTGCCAGCGAAAACGGAGCCGGGGGTGTGTGTGGATGGGTCTGAAAATGTTTGTTTGAAAAAGACGCAGCTGTCATTAAAGATGGAGGTTCTGGTTTTTATGCAGACCTAGTGACTGACACCAGAATATTAATGGTTTGGGGACACCTTGCCTTGGTATAAGCTAAGTCCCATGTGCTAGTCAATATCCCATCATATCTGCTTGTGTCACACTTACAAAAAGCAAAGGTTAATTCTGGGAAAGATGGCATGCTAAGATTAAGAGCACAGCCGCATTCCTGGCCCGGGAGCCTCACCTGAGGCCAGGAGGGAAAGGAAGGGCCACAGGCTGTGGACAAGGCTGCCTCCACTGCCCTCCTGGTGTGGTTTCCCCTTAGAGATGTCTTCACTTGGTCGCTGATCTTAAGGCACGTCTGACATCCCTCGGCTGTGGCCGGCAACAGGCTCTCTGCAGAGAAGCACAAAGTGATGCTGAAATTAGACGGGGGGGGGGGGGGGGGGGGGATGGCGGTGCCCCCAAAGAAACCCCTTCCAGCCTCTGCTTCCCTGGAGGGGCATCGGCTGCAGCAGCAGGTCCCCTTTTCTCAAAACTCTCCCCTGCATGAGAGTTTTTCCATAGGCCTTGAAGGCAAGCAGAATTTCTTTTCTGAAATACTTAGAGAAGCTGCTGTCTTCCAAAAACAGATTTCATGGGAACGGATCCCAAAGAATGTCGGGGTGATCCAGCCATGGCCGCCTAGCAGGGTTTCATCTTGATATTGAGGGCTGGCTCTTCTGGGGACCAGTCAATCTTTCTCGTGCCATTGAGAGCACCTCCCTCTTGAGCAGCCTTGCCTTGCTGGAGACCCAGCGTGTGCCCCCCTCTCCTCCTGCCTCCTCTGCACTGGGCTTGGCCTACTCTACTCCCCACGGGCCCATTGCTTGCTGGGTTGTCCGGTTGGCCATCACCTGGCCTGGGGAAGAAGAGAAAGGGAGAGGCTCCCTTGTACCTGGACCACAGTTTTCCTCTGAGGCGCACATGAGCATCATTCCGCATATCAGGCGTGGCCCCAGCTTGCTCACAATTGTGTCCACAATGATGACCGTGTATTTCTCCATCAGACACTGGCACATGCCCTCAACAACTGCTGGCAGAATGTAGCAGACTTTGGACAGGGCTTTGCCAATAGCGGCCTGGGGAAAGACGGGATAGGTGAGCAGGGGGGTCAACACACCCACCGCTTCCATTACTCCCTTTATAGGGATGCTTTCCCTGCCCCGGCTGAGCAATGGGACCACTCCCAGCGGCCAGGTGGGCGTGGCCGATCGCTCGAGGGCCCAGCCGCTAACATGGCAGGCCTGATGATGCCGTACCTTGGGGACGACAGACTCAGCCTTGGCAATGAACGTCCTGCACAACCAGCAGAGGGGCAGGGGGATGGGCCATCGCTCCCGGGGGGACTCCTAACCAAAGAAGAGCTGGTCACTCTCGCGCCACACGGAGCCTGACCTTGACAGCTGCCCAGGCGTTTTCCAGCAGCAGCAGCAAAGCCCATCCCTCCCCAGTTCCTCACCACATGGACCCATTGGTGGAACCCAGATCCTCCCCTCCTGCCTGCTCTTTCTTCACCCACTTGCCGGTGAACCACTGTGCCTCTCGGTCTTTGTAAAGGGTTTAAAAGAGAGAGCTTGAAGTTTGGAAGAATAAAGGCGCTTCCGAAGAGCGCATCTTGCCTTTCCATTTTTCCAATGGAGGGGCCCCACAAGCCCTTGGCATGGGGCTGTGGGCACTTGGAAGCCGCCTTTACCTGAGTGTGGCCGCTGGGCAGGATGGGTATCTGGCCTTGCAGCTGTGGAAGGAGCTGCTCTAGCCCTCTGAACAGCTGCATCAAGCCATCCTGGCTTCCCGGAAGGTCAGCTGGACAGGCACCCAGCTGGGTGCAAACGATGCTGGGATCCTAATGGGGAGAAAGGGCGCGGCCTATATAATGGCCAACGGAGGCAGCTGGGCGGTTGGACCTGAGTGGGAAGATCTCTTGCGTAAGCTCCCCCGTGGTGTGGTACAAGAGTCTTACACAGGAAGCCTTCCCAGGAGAGCTCAAGTGGCTGTCAGAGGCTGCCCGGCCATTCCGGGAACTCCCAACCCAATCCTTACGTATCTTGAGATGAGCCATCCGCCCTCCCCAACCCAGAGACTGTTTTCCCTGTGAGATTGGAAGAGGAGGTCGCGATCAAGACGTCTGCCCAATCACAGGGAGTCCCTACTTACAAGTTGTTTTTCCAGGCTGGCAATTAAGCGGGCATAGTAGTCCTTGACCAAGGCCTGGCACTGTGGGATAAGTGTCTGAAGTGGCAAATTGGTACATTCATGCTCCAAATACTCCTGGAGAGCTTTCTGTGGAGAGATGAATTCTATGAAGGGGATTGAGCAAGAGTCAGATTCCCCACCCCTCCCTCTTCAGCTGGGAGCCGCTCGGACCAGTTGGCTCTGTCCACAGCTTCAAAGTCAGAAAAACATTGACGCAATAGAAGAATAGCAGAACAGCAACAGAGCTGGAAGGAAGACTTCTAGTCCAGCCTCCTGCTCAAGCAGGAAACTCTAGACCACTCTAGGCACCCATAACCTCTGGAGACAAGAAGAACAAATAAACGGCACATCTGAGTCTGGAGAAACTTAAGAAGACTAGCAGGCACTCCAATAGTCTTGTTCTATTCTATCCATAGAGCTGGTAGATTAATGAATTGCTTTGTCACCTTAAAGGCTGATTCCTTGACCATGCGCACCAGGATGGAGATCAGTTGTTTGCAGTCTGCACACATGTCCTCCTGGAAGAAAAAAATGATTCACCCTCTGAGAACCTCTTCCCCAAAGCCTTTGCTCACCCATCCCAAAGTATTTCCTCTTCCCTGCACTTCAACGCATTGACTTCTGAGCCCTGGCAGTCAAGGAGACCAGCGGATACCGTTAGCCCTTCGAGGTAAGAAACACCAACCATATAGTTATAGATATTGTAAGATTGCATTAACAGAATCTTTCAAGACTATTTCTCCCCTCTTCTCTTTCTAGTCTCTGGAAAACTAGGAGAGTCCCTTCAGAATGTCTCTCGTGCTTCCCCCCAACCTCTGGACAGAGATGCCTCGCATCAGACCATGGCCTCGGCAGCGGCTCTTCCATGGGATGGCAATAGCAGAAGGGGGGAGGGACTCTTTGATTCATGTTTTCAGTAACTAGAACTTTCTTTGATTAATGTTACTAGTAAATTAGGATGTCTTTCAAGTAACAAGCAAGCGCTCTACGAGGAATGTAGCGTCTGATAAGAACTGGTTCAAATTGCCAAGAACAAGGATTCTCCTTTATTGTACATAGACTTGAACTTTAGTAACTTGCAAACACATCACCTCCTGAATACGAGGATGAGCCTTAACAAGATGATATGTAAGAATATTAAGGAATGCTATGAAATGTTATAGCATGCTACCTACTAACGCTATACACCGTTCACCGATGCGTCAAATGATGTTAGCCAATGAAAGAGCTCATTACAAACTCAATATGTTTGAACTGAATATAGAGTGATTCTCCCTCTTTTGAAGGGGTCCTCTTTCCTCTTTTGGGCAAGGTGCCCCTCCTTACTTGTTTATATAATAAAGGTGTTTTTAATTTACATTTCTGGCTCGGGTGCTCTTTAGGCAAGGCCCACTGGGCTAACAGGATCTGCTGAGGTTTATGGCTAACAACAACATCAAAATACCTACATTGCTGATTCTGTTCCAGACACTCTCATTGCTGGCTTGATTCCACCCAGTCTGGACACAGTGATCCAAAGCACCACACTTGATAGCTGTCATTAAGTTGCTGCACCAATACGCTGCTCCCTTGGCACATTCATTCTGGATCTTGCTGGTTAGGACTGGGAAGGGAAGGAGAAGGTCAGCTTGCTATTGATCATATGCAGTGAGGACAGAAGAAACAGAGTGCATTCAAAACAATTTTAGCCTGTCCTTCTGTTCAGGGCAAATATATATTATTTCCATAACAATTCTCTAAAATAGGTTAAGTATAAAGATGTTGATTGGCTCAAGGTTGCACAATTCATTTCATGGGACTTTGTGTCATCTCCCACTAATGACTTAAGTTACTTTATTGTCATTGCACCTCCTACAACGAAATTAAATGCCATCTTCAGTGTACATTATGACTATAAAAATAAAACACAAACACACATCCTTCACATTCTATACAATTGCATTGAAAACCCATGATATTGCATTAATATTGCACTATATACAGTAGAATTCAATATAATTACTGCCCTGGGATAGAAGCTGTTTTTCAGCCTATTTGTCATTGTCTTTATTGTCCTGTACCAACTGCCAGGTGGTAATAGCTTAAAAAAAAAAGGGTGCCCAGGATGAGATGGATCTTTAAGAATGTTTTAAACTTTTTTAAGGCAACGGGAGCTGTAAAGCTCTTCCAAAGAGGGGAGAGTTAACCAATGATCCTCTGGGCAATGACGTTGACCCTCTGGAGTGCTGTCCTATCTGCCACAGTGCAATTGGCAAACCATACACAGGTGCAGTATGTTAAAATACTCTCTATGCAGTGGTAGGTCTGAAATAAAAGGTCTAACAATCTTACCCCAGATGCGTAACTGAAATAGATCAAGTGCATTTTAGGGGTAGCGCATTTTGTCACTCGCGTCTAAAGGAGTAGTTTGCAATCTGTTCTTTTCTTTGCAAATATAAAAGCCCGTGATGAAGACATTGAGACACGGAATTAAGGATGAATTCTATTGACCTAGAAAACCTGATGGCGGCTGGGTGAACTTGTGAAGGCAAAACCTGGTGATGGACGTAGAGAGGAAGCAGGAAGCATCCCCAGTTGATCTTTGACCAAAAATGGGCCAAACTCCAAGGGCCCCTCTGCCCGTCTCCCGCCTGGCCTCAGAAGTCAGAAAATCACCCCTTTGCTTTCCCGAATTAAGTCTTCTACTGAAGGGTCGGATCAGAAAATGTTGGGGCAATATAAAACAAATGTCACTCGCCCCACCGCCTCTCGATCTTTCATGAGGCCTAGGAGGGTCTTATGACTGATTTCCCCCCTCTCCTCCGCCTTTACTGCTTTATAAGGAAATCAAGGCACTGAGGATACCTGATCCCCTTCCTCCTCCTCCTACTTTCCCCACCCTGACAGCCCCCCGAGAGGTGGACGGCACAAATGTCACCCAGGCAGCGGCTTCTAGCTAAGGGCCAGGACTTCCTCAGGCTGAGGAGCCTCTTCCCAAATGGTGGCAGGCCGGGGGGCTTCTCTCACTCAATGCCCCCCTGCCCCCCCTGCTTACCCAGGCCTCCGGAGAGCAGGCTGAGCAGGATCAGGGGCCACATGGCGAGCTGTCCGGCATGCATCCCAGGGCTGGGCCGGGGCTCTTTTTATTCTTCGCTGAGTGAGCAGGGGCAGCCAATGGAGGGGCTGATGGAGACGCAGTGCCTCCTTGGCACCTCCCAATTCATTCCCAGCCCTGCACGATTCCCCTAAGGAGGGCGGCTGCCAGGCCCTCAAGATGAGGCGTCTCCAGAGGACGTGGGTTTTGCAACTTGGGATGGGCGCTTCAGGTGCTCTGTCACCTGGTGCTCCCTTTCAGCAATGGCTTGCCTGAAACGGAGCATGTTTGCCCCAACATCTTCAGGATGTCCTGAGGATGAGGGAAGCTGGCAAGTGCTGAGCTGACTCTCCCTCAGCTGAGCCCGGGCATGTCCTGAGGCGCGTTGCCCTTGTCTCTTCCGCATGTTGCAGTCTCCTGGTGTGCCACACGGAACCAGTCTCTTAGCGCATGTGCCACGGCTCTGCTGGGACCCCTCGGAAGGAGACCCCCTCTCAGCCTTCCTGCAGAACTGAAAACATTTATTGAAAATTGCCACCGTTCCTCTATCGACATGTAATCAATATTATTTATTAATGCAATTTTGTTAAATGTAATTTTAATAGTATTCACTAAAATGTAGAAAAAATAATTTTCTCAAACCCTCCTGCAGTTTTGCTATGGCAGTGAGGGGCTCCTAAACCAAGAGGAGTGGCTGGGCCTCCATTTTGTGCGCAGGTATGCCAAGGTCCCATTGGGGGCCGAAGAGGATCTGCTCCCCTCTTGGGATGGCTTTTTGTGGCAGACTGATTGCCTTTCGGTCAGGTGGGTGTGTTGGGCCTGGCCTCCCTCTTCATTAAGTAGTGAGGCAACTCTTGAAATGGGTTAAGCCCCCTCTTAAGTGAAGCCCCCTTGAAATGGGCTTATGCAACTGAGCAAACACCTTCTGAATGGACCAGTTCATCTGTCCGTCCGTGGGTGGGGAGCCAGGAGAGGGTCCTCCTTGAGAGAAGTGGAGGCACTCGAGGGAGAGAGGCCTTTCTCCTCCTACGGGAGAGAGTGCCAAGGGCGGGGAGAGGCAAGGGCTTAGTTTTTAAACATTTAGTTACATCTATGTACTTGCATTTAACTGAACTGTACCTCAAGTGGTCTTTGGGGTAATGATGGCAATTGGGATTTATTTATTTTTTTTTGGCTTTAATTTATATGCCGCCCTTCTCCGGAGACTCAGGGCGGCTTACAATGTGCTAAGCAATAGCCTTCATCCTTTTGTATATTTTATACAAAGTCAGCTTATTGCCCCCACAATCTGGGTCCTCATTTCACCTACCTTAGAAAGGATGGAAGGCTGAGTCAACCTTGAGCCTTGGCGAGATTCGAACTTACAGTAATTGCAGGCAGCTGGTCTTAATCACAGGGTGCTTTTAGTCTGCTGAGCCACCAGGCCCACTTAGCCTGAATTGAATCAATTCAGGAACCTGAGGGAGTCAGCAGAGACTCGCCCCCCCCAGGACCCTCCTCCCCCCCCCCCTGCAGCCCCTCTGTCTGCCTGCCTTTTGGGGCGGAGGAGGTCCTTGTGGGGCCACTTTGGAGGGTCCTGCGGGGCCTAGTGGTCTATTATCCGGAGCCCCCTCGGAAACGGCGGGGGGGGGTCGTGCCTGCAGGTGGGAAAGTGGGGCGGGGGTCGCCCTTGACCTCCGCGGGGGGGTGGGGAAGGAGGGGCTGCAGCCGCCACCAAGGACGCCCCGCCCTCTCGCCGCGAAGGATCCCGCTCGGCGCTCTCGCGAGACTCCTCAAAGTTGGACCCGGAAGCGCAGGTCCCGCCTGAGTAGGTCACGTGACGGGGCAGAGGCGGGGAGTCGCACCGCCGACCAGATCCAAACAGGAGAAACCAAACCGGACGGCGGCCCCGCCCCGATTGGCCGCCCGGGGCGGGGGCGGGGTCGAAGGCGGCCAATGGCAGTGCGCGCGGGCGGTTGGAGCGGCGATGGTGACCTGGGCGCTCAGCCGCGCCGTGCAGTGAGTCCCGGGCGGGGGGAGGCGGCTGGCGGCGGCGGCGGGTCTCGGGCGGGGCGGGAGCAGCAGGAGCAGCAGCAGCGGCGTCTCCCGGGAAAGCCGGCCCTCCCTCTGTGCCGGCCATGGTGCTGAGCTCCCTGAAGGCCGCGACGCTGCGCTCCGGGCGGCGGGCTTGCCTGGCTCTGCTGGCCGGCGCCTACCGAGGCTGGCCGGCCTGCCTGACGCCGCCCTTCCGTTACAGGCTCCTGCTGGGGACGCTCTACCCGGCCTACGCCTCCTACAAGGCCGTGAGGAACAAGGACGTCCGGGAGTACGTGAGTGAGGGCCTCGGGGGGGGGAACCGGGGGGGGTCTTCTCCTCCTGCCCGGCAGCAGCTCCGACTCACCGGCCCGCCCTCCGGTGGCTCCCCCCGCAGGTGCGCTGGATGATGTACTGGATCGTCTTCGCTCTCTTCATGGCCACCGAGGCCATCACGGACACCTTCGTTTCCTGGTGGGTCTCTGCTCGCCCCCCCCTCCGCCCCTCCCCCTCCATTCACCCCCTGCCTTGGGGAGGGAAGGGGCTTTGCCCACGAGTCCCTTCCCTCCCCTCCCCTTCCCCTGTTGGCCACTGACAGGGATGGAGAGGCGGCTTCTGTTCTTCCTGTTTTGCTTGACCTACTGACAGAACCAGTTGGCTGGACCTGCCACATTCCAGGGTTTTGTTTACCGAAATTGTCACCCTTCGAAGTATATCGTTCACCTTTTTAAAAAATTCATTACGTTTGTGCTCCCCTTTCAAGGTTCTCCCAATTTATACCTCATGTAACCTTTTTGAGTAAATGAGGCCAAGCGGGGGAAAAATAAGTCAGCTTAGTTTAAATAAGCCACAGTTAATTGGGTTACCACCCTCTTAAATCCTGAGTCGACATAGTATTGCTTAATGTGATGTGGTAATTCAGCCAGTGAATTTGCTGGGCAGAGCTGAAACCATTTTAACCGGTTCTGAGCAGGTCTAGAGGAAAATTGGACCCAGGAAGATTCAGTTGGGGGATGGGCTTCAGAGAGAACCCATCCAAGGGATGTTGGGGTTTATTATCTTGCTCTGGCTTTTCTTGTTTGGGAGAGTTCACTTGATTGGACCAGCGTCAAAACAGTAGCTTTAATTGCCAGCTGATTGATGCGAGGGGCCAAAGGCAGTCACATGATCGTTGGATGCTGCAGTCAGTTGTAAGTGTGAACCAGTTGCCAAGTGATTGGGGGGGGATTGTTGGGTTGGCCAGAACTCCTAAGGCCAGTTATAAACACAATTCATTCAGTGCCATCAAAACTGGTCATTGAACAAATGGTTGTAGGCCAAGAACTACCTACAATAACTGAACTGATTGTTGGCAGACAGCAAATCTGCTCCCAGGGTTAGCAAAGGAGAGAGCTGGGATTGCTTTCCTTCATCTCTGAGTTTGCAGGAAAGGCCTCCTCCTAACCCTCCTTAGCTCTGAAAGCAGCCCACGTGGCCAGACAGCCGTTGCTGAAGTCACCTGAGCCAACCTGTTGGGCACTGCTGGCTCCATGGGCGTCTTTTTGGTTTCAGGTTTCCCTTCTACTATGAGATTAAAATGGCCTTTGTGATATGGCTCCTGTCTCCTTACACAAAGGGAGCCAGCGTGTTGTACCGCAAGTTTGTGCATCCCATACTGTCCAGCAAAGAAAAGGTAAGGATCTTCCGGTCCCCAGGCCAGTGTTGTTGGCGAGTGGACGGCAGGTGCCCATTGCCCTGTTTCCCCCTTTCTAACCATGAAAAAAACATGCATTCCTGACTTCACCTTTAAAGGGCTGTGGGCTCTGAGCCTGCATGCAATTATGCCAACTTAGAATGGGCTGCCTGCATTTCACCAAGGCAGAACTGGGAGTCATAGTGGGAGGCGGCCTTTGGGAAAAACAGGTACAGGCAGCAGCAGATTGAGATCTCTAGTGATCACACCAGAGATCCCAGAAATAGCTGCCTTCTTGCTATGCAAGGCAAGAAACAGGAGGGAGGGAAAGATAAGTGGCTTTTTGGGTGCCAGCCCCCCCCCTTCCTGCAGCTGAGTGACAGGAGCACTTCCTTATCCTGTGGCAGGAGATGCATGGGGAAAACCTGCAGGGGATGGTTCCTTGGGTGCCTTTCCTCTGATCCTGTCAATTGTGTGTGAATTCCTGCAGGAGATCGACCACTTCATATGCCAAGCCAAAGAACGTGGCTACGAGAGCCTTGTGAGCTTTGGGAAGAAGAGCATCAACGTGGCAGCCACAGCAGCTATCCAGGTGGCTGCAAAAGTAACCTGATGTTTCCTTTGCTCTGACCTCTTGGCGGGACTGGTCCGGAGGCAAGCTTGGGCCTCGAGGAGGGGAGGTGATGCCATTGGTATATTCCTTCCTGTGGGAGCAGGTTTCTCACCCCCAAATCATCTTTGGTAACTAGACGGCATTGGGCTGCTTTCCCCCATGACTCTATGCCCTGTTTTCAGCTTGTACCATATGGGTAACTAATTTATTCCTCACCTTCTCCACTACGTTTCCTCTCTAGCTTATGCAGGCTTCTCATACATATTCTTTGGGTTAAGTATTAGAAACTCTGTGCTTGACGGATGGATCTTTCTCCTCTGAAATGCTGCGATTTCCCACTCCCGAAGCAACCCCTTCCTTGATTCCCAAGTAAATCCCTTTCCCCCTCTTGTCCTCCCTGTTAGGGCCAGGGAGCCCTGGCAGGTCGTTTACGCAGCTTCAGTATGCAGGATTTGCGCTCCATGCCAGAGACAGCCATGGTGCATTACTCAGATCCCCTCTATCTGGAGGAACAGGAGCTGTGCCGGCGACCGATTGGTAAGGAAACCTTCATTGTGGAGCAAGATAGAAAACCAGCGAGTGTTTTTAGAATTCTCCAAGGGTAGGTTCCTTAATATGAGGTTGGGTCACTTTTGAAGCTCAGCATTTTGTGTCTTAGTATAGGACTTAGAATAACTTTATTATCACTTTGAATGTACACTGACCGGCATGCATTAAAATGACATTTTGTTGCATACAGGTCTCAAAGGTATCTAGTATCTTCTTCTCTAGGCCAAATTAAACCATCCTATGGATGTTTGTTCAGGTATCACAGTTGTGCCACCAATTTTATTGTGAGGCAATAATTCCTTTTGGGTGAATCCAACCTTATAGAAGCGAGTTTGGTCTAGTGGTTAAGGCGCCAAGCTTCGAACCAGGAATCTGAGTTCTAGTCCTGGCTTAGCCATGAAAAGCCCTGGGCAAGACACACTTTTTCAGTGCACCTCACAGGGTGGTGGTGGTTGTGGGGAAAATCGGAGGAATGAGTACCCTGTTTCCCCCAAAATAAAACATTCCCTGATAATAAGCCCAATTGGGCTTTTGAGCACATGGCAATAAGGCCAAGTGCTTATTTCAGCTCAAGTGCTTAAATATAAGTCTTATTATTAAATATAGGTCTTATTTTTTGGGAAACACGGTATTAGGTATGTTATCCTCCCCCTTGAATTATTTAATAAAAGTATTTTATTATTTAATAAAAAATTAATAAAAGAGGGGTATAAAACAAATCACTTGGTCAAATGTAATAGGCAGTTTGGTGGCATCTAAGGGCCACACGTGCAATGCTTCGCTCTGTCAGGCGTCCGGAGGTTGAGAGGTTGCTGCTTTCTGAGTCTTCCTTTGGCCTGCATTTGTGCAGGGCGCAGGCCAGCAGTGCAGCAGCCGGGCCCTGACAGCAACGAGGAGGAGGAGGAGGAGGAGGAGGACTACTGGTCGGACACTGAGCTGTCTGCCCCCTCCAGAGGCCGCCGCAGGGACCCCGCTGTTCTTAAGCCCTTGGCCAGGAGCCAAAGCCTTCGGCAGGGGAAGAAGAAGCTGCCACCTAAAGAGGTAAGGAGGCTCTGCTGGGGGCCTGAGTGAGAACCCACTGACCTGCTCCAGCCAGGAGAGGAGAGGGAAGGCCGGGCCTCTTCCTCGCCAACCCTGCTTGCTTCCTTCTTTCCGCAGAGTTCTTCCCGGGGGGTCCGAAGTCGTTCCCGGAAGCAGATGCAGGACCAAGACCGCTAGGCTCCCCTGGGGGCATGGCTGCCAAGGCCCCCAAGTGTGCCGCACCACTGGTGCTGGGCTGAGGTTTTGGGGTCACACGATCTGCTCATATTTCCCCAGTGCCAGAGCACATGTTGCTGCCTGGGGACCCCTGGACCAGCCGCTCCCGGTGCCTCTCTTCCCCTGGGGGAGCTGCCTATTGGGAAGGACTTGCCCAGCCTAAGGACGGATGGGGCGCTGGACTGCTGCCTTAACCGTTGGCCCAGGACCTTTGCAACCATGGCATCTTTGGCCAGAGCCCCTCTCTGTCCTTGCCTGCGGCTGGCTCCGCTTGCCTGCCCCACAGTGCCTGCTCCTCTTCCTTCGGGGCTGCCGCTGCTGCCCCCTTTTTAGTCTTCCAATAAAGGCGTTTTTTCCTCTCGTGCTGCCTCCTGCCCGTCTCTTTTTTAAAATAAATTTTTATTTTATTTTATAACATAAAAATTCAATTCTAGTTAAACTGTGTGTTTGGGTACAAATATTTTTAGGAAATAAAGTGTTTACAGCAATATTCATTACCTTGATATTCTATAATACAATAATAATAATTGCTTATCCATTTTAACCAATCTCCCTGGTATCATTAGTCCTTAGATCTAACTTGTTTTTGCCAGGTAGCCATTGATAAAGTAAGTCCCATGTGCAGAAGAATTCAGTTTCTTCCTTTTCCTTAACTCTGTGAGTCCTGTCCTTTTCTAATATTTTTTAATCACCTTTCCATCTGCAGGGACCTCTTGCCTTTTCCATTGTTATATGCAAATGCGATTCTACCTGCAGTTAAGGCGGGGCAAATCAAGTCCTCTCTTCGGAGGGAGGGAGGGGGCGGGGGCTGCCGCGCATGCGTGGTAACGGCGGCGGGATGGCTGCGGAGGAGCTGGGGGCGCTGCTGGGCGGGGGGGGGCTGGCCGGTGCCCTCCGTGGGCGGCTGCGACCCGGGAGCCTCGGAGCCGGCGCGCCTGCGGGGCAACGTCTGCTACGTGGTGCTGGCGGTGCTGTTCAACGAGAAGGTCCGCGGAGGCCGCCCCCCCCCCCCCCCCCCCCCCCCCTCCCCCCGCCCGGCGCCCGCGGGCCACCCGTTGACGCCCCTTTCTCTCTCTCTCCCCCCCCCTTATTCCCGGTGGGGGCGCGCAGGGCGAGGTGCTGGTGGTGCAGGAGGCGAAGGCGGAGTGCTACGGGACGTGGTACCTGCCGGCCGGCCGCATGGAGCCCCGCGAGACCGTGCTGGAGGCCGTGCGGCGGGAGGTGCAGGAGGAGACCGGGCTGCAGTGCCGGCCGCTGACGCTGCTGGCGGTGGAGGAGCGGGGGCCCAGCTGGATCCGCTTCGTCTTCCTCGCCCGGCCCACCGGTGGGGCGCCCGGCCCCGGGACGCGATCTGGGGAGGGGGGGGTCAGCTGGGGTGAAGGCGCCAGCCCCTCCCCCACTCGAGGGGGTCTCCCCTGGGAGCCCTTCCCTTCCCTCCTTGGTGGAGCCAAGCTTCCTCCCGCGGCCCCACCTGCCCCAGAGACCCCGGGGCCTTTCGGCTTCCTAGCTCTGCTGTTCCTCTCTCTAGGCGGGACCCTGAAGAGCGTGCAGCAGGCAGACGCCGAGTCCCTGCAGGCGCAGTGGTGGGACCGGGAGACCCCCGCCCTCCCGCTCCGCTCACCGGACATCCTGCCCTTAATGGACCTGGCTCTGCAGTACCGTGCCGGCCCCCGCCACCCTCCGATCCTGCCCGTGGAGCTGCCCTGCGCGTCCGTCTGCCAGCGGTTCCTGCTCGTCTTCACAGGTGGCAACCGCTCCCTTTGGGTGCTCCTGGACACAACGGGGGGCCCCCACCTCCCCCTGGCAATAAGCAGCCCGTCTTCCTCCAAGCCGGGCAAGAGGCTCGTGGCGGCCCTTCAGCAGCTGCTCCAGAGATGCGTGGCCCGGCCCGAGGTGGCCGTCCGCCTCCAGGGCCTGCTTGGCCTGCAGCACCTGGGCAAGGATCCGGGCCAAAGCGACGGCATCTGCTTCAACGTGGTGGCCACGGTCGGGAGCGATGGGTCCCAGCAGCAGGAGCTGGCACCGCCGACATTGCAGGAGCCGGCTTTCAGCTGGTGGGAAGTGGAAGACGCAGCGCTGAAGAGCGAGGTGCTCCGAAGGCTCCACACCGCTTCCTTCCTCCCCATTTACAGTTAGCGTCTCCCAGGCGAGGGCTGCGCCAGAAATCCAAGCCACCCCGAGTTCTGGCAGGGATAGAAACGCCCCGAGGTCACCGGACGCAGAACAGGTCTGGGATGCCTCTTTTCCGAAGGATGCCGTTCTACCCACCTCTGCTGAAAGCAAGACGGGCAGGGAAGGCCAAGCAGCCCTGGCAGCCTTTGGAACATTTACAGCTATTAACAGGCAGCTGAATTAATAAAAACATCTATTTCATTGTGACTCTGCTGTGTTTCTTGCAGGAAGAATGTAAGATCCGAAAAGGTTCCCAGGCGTTTATTTGTTAGACGCAGAGCCTCTTTTTCCTGCAGGGGCTCAAAGCGATGCTGCCACCGTCTCTGCTCAGCAAGGCTGGTTTCCCTTCGTTCCCTCTTCATTTCAGGCCAAAGATCAACTCCCTGCAGAGACCTGGGCAAGATGCCGGGACGGAACAGCCCGTCCCCACCGACTTCCTCAAACATATTCATGGACTAGGAGAACTTCGGGACAGTCCGAGGGATGAGATGGTCGGGAGGCTCCCGTTATCTCACCACAGCAAGCTCTGGGTTCAAAAGGAAACCAGGGGTCAGGTGGCCTGGCAGGATTAATCTTTAGACGGATGGAAGACATTGCCAAACTTAAGCCCTGGCAGAGAACCTTCAGCCGAGTACCCACGCCAAGAGAAGGGGGCCCCTTAGCCGGACAGCCCCACACAAAGAAGGAGAACAGGCCCTGGGCAGGTGCCTTCCTTCTTTGGCCTGGGCTCTGTGCTGCATTTAGAGAGGATCCCAAGTGCGATCAGAGTAGCAAACATAAAAGGAGGCAAAGTTATAGCAACAAATCCCCAAATCCACACACCACAGAAAACTCTTCTTTTACAAGGACCATGTTTTAATCCCGGTGGTTAAAATAAGATGAAAACAGCCCTATCTTGCTACTGTTTTTTAGAAGATAAAATCCAGGCGCTTTATCTGGAGCTTTCTGTTCTTGAGGAAGATGCCAAGAAGACCTCCGTCCAGGTTATGAGGCGCCCCTTCTTAAAAGACGGCAAGGCCAGAGCGGGCAAAAGCTGGGCCAGGCACCAGAAGGCAGGGAACAAACCCTAACCCAGCATAATGACGGAAGTTCTTGACAAGAGCTGAGCCGGGGCTGCTGACAAGCAACCAACTGCTTCTCATCCCAACCGTCCTTCCTTATTTGCAGCCACTTTTATGCCGAGAACAAGGAGGAGGCTGCTGCACACAGGAAGCCGGCAGTGGGGTTGCTCTCAAGTGCCGAAAGCCTCAGGAAGGAGGCAGGGGAGCCAAGGAGACCCCGAGCTTTCAGCTGGGTGAAGGAGCGTGCGGCTGGCTCTGCCCAGGGGGGTCCTTGAGGGCAGACTTGACGAAGACGATGGCAGCCAGCTCTTTGCAGAATTCCTCCAGCACAATCACCCCCTCCAAGAGCATCTGGTGGCCGATCCTATGAAGAGATTGCAGGCAAGACAAGAAAAAGGGCAGTTTTCCTCCTCTTGCTCTGCTGCCCTTCCCTCCCCCGGCTGACAAAGGCCTCTGGGCAGGAAGAGCAGGCTTAAGGCTATCATGACTGCTCTTGCAGCGGCACCGGAGGCCTCGGGCTGTGCACGCTTTCTCCAAGGCAGCTCACTGCTGTTTGAAGACCTCTGCTGCCACTGAGGCGACCGTCTCTAGGCCACAGTTCCTGTACACCGCAGGGGTGCTTTGTCTTGGCCATCAACTTTGGAAGCCATGCAGGCAAGTGCCCGGAGGGGCCTGAAAGGGCTCCAAGCAAGCAAAAGCTGAGCTCTGGCACGAACCAAAGAAAGCACCACCCCGTCCTCTCTGGCCCACTTACGGGTGCTCATCTGACACCAGCCCCATGAGCTTTCTCCGCACCAGCAGCAAGTTGGCGGAGAAGTCTGTGATCCGATGAGCTGTGTGCATCAGGCTGCCAATCACCTGGCAGGAGAGAAAGGGTAGAGAGGCCGGTGGAGGGAGGAGCCAAGAAGCTTCTCAGGGAGGACATGGCTGGGCACCCCTGGAATCGCCCGCAGAAGCTCACGCCCCCCCCCCCCAGTTTCCCAGCCTGTGCTTGGCACACCAGGCCAAGCCTTACCCTAATCAGCACTGAGAAGAGGGTCCTGCAGCCAGGGGCCAAAGGGAGGTAGGGGTCCAGAAGGTACTCATGGAGGCGAGGGTGAGGGAAGAGAGCCAAGCGGGACAGCATCGACGTCACCTGCAGGTTCAGTGCGTAGGGCTGCCGTGGGCAGAGAGACAGAGTTCACTAATGCAGCAGTTCATTCACAGCCAGCCACTGGCCGCAGCTTCCATCCACCAGCCACGAGGACAGGGAGCAGGAGGAAGTTGCTGCCTGCCACGGACGCCCAGTACAATGGCTGCACTGCGCCAGGTTCTTCACCTAGGAAGGGCCGGAGGACAGGCGTGTCCCAGGACCCCTTGTCCTTGAAGCTGCCTCCCCGCAACAAACGGGGGCCTCTTCCTGCCTTGCTGTCACCGAAGCATCCTCCTTATTGGAGATGCTCTCCCAGGCTGCTCCCTCAGCCTCCTACCTGGTGTAAGATCTGGGACAGCCGGTCGAAGAGCACCTGCAAGAAACGGCCCTCATAAAACTGGGGTCCCGCAGGGCTGGTCTTCTGAGGCGTTTGAACCTGGGGCCACGTCCAGTGCGCAACATTTGCACAGCATTCTTGAAACTGCAAGAAGAGAGAACTGATTGGATTTTGGATAGTCTGGATGTTTATTCTTTTGTAACAAAGTTTTATATTTTGCCCATTTCTGTATGACTTGAAAAGCTTTACAAAATTTTAAGTGACCCACAAAATGCAGAACGGTGCTGCACAGCCCAGAGGCCGCCAGAGAACCCTCCCTGCTGCTTGGCCCCAAGCCCTTCATGTGAGTTGGGAACCCACATCTTCAGGAAAGAGGCCAGTAGAAACTCAAGAGCCAACACTTCGAACCAGACCTGGAAGCTACTGGGCAACCAGCTCAATGACTGCAACACTGCATTTCGGTCGTCGTTGGAAAGGACACCAATCATTACAATTAACACTGGACTGCTGGAGTTCAGAAAAACAAATCAATGGCTTATTTAGGATGCAGCATGGGAAGAGTATCAAAGGACTCACCAGTACTTTAGCATCATGGACGTAAGTGTCATATCCTGCCTCCTCCAGATACGGCGAGGTCTTCACTTCACTTGGTACTAGGCAAAGGAAGCTGGATAAAAAAAAAAAATACGAAGAAAATGGCGGTCGGAGCTCTGCAGAACTGTACCTCCTCCCTGGTCACCCTTCATCCTTTCTGCCCAAGTAGAGGGAAGGCAGTGTAATGTTTTATCATACCCAGAAGAACTTTATGGGCTGTAAAGCACCAGTTCTGTGACTGTCGTTTTCCAAGCAGACATAGGTTAAGAACTACCTGTAGACCAAACTGGCTCTTTCACAAACTTATGCATAATACACTCGGATGTTCTTAAATGCAGAGACCCAAACTCGGTAACAGAGGCAGTACGTCTCGACCATCTTGCGTATAGAGGTCTTGCATCTTCATACTCCAAATAGGGATGCAAGCAACTCCCCAGAAGCCATACCTGCTGACTGCCTCCTTCACATCTACAGGCCCCTCTGGCTGGCCAGGCCCTTCCTCTGGAGCCAAAGGGGCTGCTTTGCTCGGCCTCTGGAGCACAGCTGCTGGGAGTCCATCTGCAAAGTAAGGATCTTCCTCTAGGTCTCTGCAGGGAGAGGAAGAGGCCAGCCTTGACCACACTTAAATGAGCAAAAAATACAATATTTAATGACAAAACTTCAGTATTGCTGCCTCAGGAAAGGGGAACAGACTGGCAGCATGTGCCCTGGGGATCCAGGCTCATCAGCTGCTGCTTGAGCACAAAGATGATGAGGTCAGCCCAATCCAAGAGGACCATAGGAGGTCCTCTCTCCCTCCCTCCTTTCTCCCCTGCACCCTTGCCTTAGACCCTAAGGTAGAGGACAGAGAACTGTAAACAAATGCCAGCTGTGTCACAGGACTGCAAAAAAAAAAAATGATTTCAATCCATCAAAAGTGGCTCATACTAATGGAAAGAGCCAGCCTGAAGAGACTTTTCCTCCTCAATTGCAAACATGGAGGCCACCAGGTGCCCCCTGCTCCTTCCCCCCGTCACTTACAGCCCCTCTTCACAACACTCTTGCTCAGGGACAGCAAGGTCTTCTTGACCAGGTGGGTTTCTCAAGACGTAGCTGCGCTCCTCCAGATGGCACAGCACCAGGCTCTGCAAGATGCGCTGGTCAGGAAGCCAAACCAGCTCCTCAAACAGCCGTAGGGTGGCCACGCTGATCTGCAGGAAGGAGGAGAGTGTCAACAGCTGGCCTTGGGGAAAGTGGCCTGACGGGTTCCAACAGCCGAGCCAAGACAAGACACTCGGGCTGCAGACACCACAGAGGAAAACCAGCTTTTAGCTAACTTTCTCCTCATGCTCTGCTGCACTTTAAGTCGGTAGCAAGATCCGGGCCACAACTCCCCAGAGTTCCCAATTCTCAGGGAAAAGGCACAGCAGACTATGGTTAAGACTCCCCCCACCCCTACAGAAGGGCTTCCATTTCCTTGCTGACCCTGGGAATTGCGAAGCTGCTCAAATGGAAAACTCGGCTCTCGTTTCAAAGCCTCAGCGGGGAGAAAGGGTGCTTTGCAGGTGCTGTCAGGTACCTGTGGCAGAGCTAATTCCAGATATTCAAAATACCGATGGCTCTCGCAGAAGGGACATGGAACTGGCGAGAAGCTCACCTCATCAGACGGATGGCTGCAGTTCTCAATCAGCTGTGAGCAGAGGTTGGACCTCTGTTGCCGGCAGGCTGAATCGCTGGGCCGGACGGGATCCATTTCTGCTCCCAGCAGAAACCCAATCAGCTGCTGAAGGAGGGCAGGAGCACGGATCCGCCTCACCAGGCCTGTCAGGATGGCTACTGAAAAGAGAATCCCAGAGTCTGACCTGCCAAGAAAGGACCCACTGAGCAAAAAAGGGACTGCTTGGCTGTGCTCCCCTTCAGAGCTCCCCGGCAACCAAGTGTCCACTCAGCCCAAACTCACATTTGCAAGAGTTGAGGCCGCAATGTGTCCAGGAAGAGCCTCCGGCCCACAGTCGTGCTCAGGGCGTCTCCAATAACCTGATGGGGTGCACAGCCACAATTAATCAGTCCTCCCAGCCCACCACACCCCAAGTGGGCAGCCACAGCCTTGAGGCTAGGCCAAGGAAGAAGAGGAAAAGGGCCCAGAGGGAACAGGGGAGGTGGTTTCTTACGGGATGAGCCTGTTTCGTGAGGCAGTCACAAAAGTCCAGCCAGCCGAAGAAAGCCTCCAGGCTGGCTTTTCCTGGGAAGGAGCTTTCCTCAGCTGAGGGGTCACTCTGAAGCCTGCAAGTTCAAAATAGAGGCGGCTCAACCCAGGGACACCTGATCATGCTGGCATCCTTTCGCTGCGAGGGGGAGAAAAGAGGAACCCAACTCGGAGAAATGAGAGTGGTTGTGTTCCATACTCCTGTTTGCCATGCTTGCCAATATATTCCTCCCTATAAGTGCATTTGTGTGGCTGCCCCTCAGCCATTCTACTAAGATAGCTTTGCACTCCTTGTCTGATCTCAAACCACCACATTACACAATTTGTCCTTCCACTTGGATTTGCAACACAGATAAGTGGCTGAAGAACAAGATGCAAACCAGAAAGGTGAGAAGACCTTGAATAGGTGACCATGTAATTTGTCTCCCGATGTAATTCCCCAGATAAGCAGTGTCTTATCTTGACTCTTGAACAGGAAAAAACAGAAGCCAGTCAGGTCAGTTATTATTTAATAGAGCCCCAGGAAGCCCTAAAGAAAGTGGACACATTTAGGCTTCCTATCGGTAGTTCTCAACTTACGACAGCAATTGGCACCAGAATTTCTGTTGCTAATCAAAGCGGTCGTAAAGTGCAACTCAGCATCACTTAGCAACACCAATCCCTGCAGTCCTGGTGGCTGTCCTTAACTGAATTCCACAGTTAGATGAGGCAACTTCCTGCCAACTTCCCAGAATCACAGTCAGTGGGAAACTGGCAGGAAGTTGCAAGTCCAAGGCAGGCTCAAAGGTAAGTGGTTGTTGCCAGCTTAGAGACAGCAAGGGCAAGCGTGAGGGGCAGAGGGTATATAAGTCTGCAAGAGTCACAGCGAGGGTCAAGGAGAGTAGGTGATTGCGCAATGAGGGTGAGGGAGGGTGCAGAGCAGGCTGGAGAGGGTGCAGGAGAGGGTCAGGGAATATGTGGAAGGTGAGGCACAGGTTGGAGGAGGCATGAGTGGGTCTGCAACAGGTGCAACATGGGTCACAGAGGGTGCACAGGGCTATGGTAGGATGTAGCATGGATTGGGAAGGATTGTAGCACACAGATGATCAGGTAAGAGTCAGGAAGATGGCAAAGCGATGCGAGTCAGAAGGTGCAAGAGTAGAGTATGGGTTGGGGAATGTGCAGGGAGGCTCTGCGGGGTGTACGAAAGGTGCAGTGAGAGGTTGGGAGGGTTGAGGGAGCAGCACAGGTGCGAAAATTCTCAGGGGCTCAACATTTTAAGAGCTTTGTACCTCCACTGGACTGGTGGAAGCGTGGCAATATCAGCAGGGTTGATGGTACCAGGGATGGCATTGTACAGGGAGCAGAGGTAGTCGGATAGCAGAAGGCACAGCATGCTGTCTCGGGCCAAGGCCTGGGCAGCCCTTGGATGGTCCACAGTGGTAAGAAGCAGAAGATTCTCTTGGGCTTTTTGCACAACCTTCTTGTTCTGCAAGGAGAAAAAATAACACAATTCCTGCAGCCTCCAGTCCTCCTCCTCCTCCACTCAGTGTGTGGAAGGGAAGAGTCAGGGAGAGAGAAGCTCATCCTATCTGCTCTGCAGGAGGCATGACCTTCACCTGCCCCAGGGCTACCAGAATGATGGTTTCATACCTTGCTCTTACATAAGCCAATCAGAGAGGTCACCAAATTCAGCACGGAAGCAGTGGGGGCCCCTCCAAGTGGTTTCTCTGGACACAGCTCTCTACCCTCTTCTTCAGAAGGGGGCATGGTCTGGCCAGAGGTCATGCTTGGCCTAGCTGCCAATCCCAGCGAACCAACCTTCTGGCCCTTGAAAGAAAAGGGGAGAGGAAGGAGATTGCAGGTCAGGTAAGATCTACTGACAAATCAAGCATTTGGTTCTAATTTTATATAACTCTTGTAACTGTTTTTATATTTAATTTTTTATCATTAGTAAGCCACTAAGAGTCACCTTAACAGTGAGACAGAGTGTCATACACATTTAATAAATAAACAAATACAAATAAGCTCAACAAGATACAATACTCTGGTCTTGCAAGAATGATTGGACACTGAAACCCTCCAAACAAAATGGGCCAGTTCTAGCTCCTAAGACAAATCACCCAGTAATCCCGAATCCGTACAACCAAAAGAAAAAAAAAATATCCAGGCAATTTGAGCCAGAATGCACACGCTGAGAAAACATCTGGTCCTTCCAGCACAGAAGAGTCAGAGGGACACAAAAATCCAGTAAAGCCCTTTCGGATCGGAAAGAAGCAGACAGTGACAACCAAGAAGCCTTTCTAATCCCATGCTCAGTTGCACAGCAGTTGTGCCCTCTGAAGTGCATAATTTGACACTGCCTAAGGCTGCCACTGCAGGAGCAGGAGGAGCTGTAGCCCAATCTTGGCACCAGCAACCAAGCCCTGCATCGTCTGTCCCTGTAGAGGAGCAGAGAAGTGAATGTGGAGACCATGAGCAAAACAGGGAGTTGGAAAAACAGGACAGAATGAGAAAGAAACAAATGCTTTGCCTTGGCTCTCTTTGGTATAAGAGGGAGGGAAGAGAAAATGCTGTCAGGCATTCGAAGTTCAGTTGTTACAACCTGTCTCAATAAAATAGAATTCTAGTTATTTCTTGTGATGTTTGTTTTCTGTCCTGGCCTAGCCTGGCAGGGCTGATACACAGTGTGAAAAGGATTAGTGCACCCAACAATCCCTTACCTCTAGGACATATGGCAGGAGAGCAGGTTCCTGCCTGATTTTGGTACACAGAACAGCAATAAACTGCAACACTTCCTTCTCGGGCTCAGGGCCCAACGCATCACCCTGAAGCTGAATAAGTTTCTGCAAAAAAGATTGAAAGGTGGGGCAAATTCAGTAAGCCTCAGAGATGCTTTAGAAATACTACAGAGCTGTTAAAGCTGGACACATTTTCTAGTCACTAAGTAGCAGCTCCCTTGGCAGACTGGTCAAACTTCAAAATGAACACACAAATTGCCGAGTTCCTAAAAAAAGCCCTTACCTGAACAGGCCGGTAAACATTGAAGTAATGCATGAGAGGACTCTGCATCTGCCCCAGCAGGCGACTGAAAAAGAGAAGCACCTGAGACCTCATTCCTGGAGGATACTGTAGGAAGCAAACAAGGTTCACATTAGGAAAAGTTTGTTAAAGCTTTCCATCCAACACTACATTACTTGGCTGTCTTGAATGCTAATGGAACACAGTGATAGTCTGGTGAACATTAAACTGAAAACAAGCCTCAGGATGTAGGTACAGGTCAAGCATAATCTTCACAGAGTCTAGTGCAGAATAATTGTTATCAGTCCTACGGTTCTGAAATAATTTCTTTTCTTGTCTGATTTGGGGGCCATCTTGTACAAATGTTAATTGTCAAACCTACCCCAGCTTAGACATTTAAAAAATACCCTTGACTCTGTTTGGTTGAAGTTAATTGGTTGCAGCGAAAGTGAAGCTAGATCTGAGTATTCCCGTGCAAAGATTACACTTTTCCCCCTTTCCTTGGTTCTCCCCCCTGACCAGTCCATCGGTGTCCAATAGTATGCCTTTTTGATGTTTTGGGAACTGCTTTGATGCTTGGCGCCTCTCTATATAGTTTTGCATTCTGTTCCCAGGCCAGGTGTCCTTGGTGGCCAGCTTATTTGGGTTTAGCCCCTCTTGTTCTTGTCATCCTGTCTCCCCTCCCTGTTTGTTTTCCCATTCCCATGCCCTAACTTTACTTCCCAAAATCCTGCCCTCCTCCCCGCATTTTATGGCAAGGTGCCAGAGAAATGAAGAGGCTGAAGACGGCAGACCTGACATTATCTTACTCTGATAAATGAAATTAGTACAAATACGACTTTTTAAACCAAACAGACAAAAATCCAAACAGAGCCACAGGAAAGGATTTATCTTCATGATTCCTTTGGAAGAGAATCTCTTTAGAGAAACGACTTTGGAAATTATGCCAAAGAGGCCAGGATAAGAAAAGGGGCATTTCCAATGGGGGGGAAGGAAGGTCTGGGTTCAAGTCCCCCCCCCCCCCGGTGCCGCTGTCATCCCCGCCGCAAGGGAGGAGCCACCTGGGCCTTCCCCAGAGTGCTGAGCGTCTCCAGGATTTTGTGCTGCAGCAGGTACTCCAGGCAGGGCCCCGTCTCGCCTTCCGGCTGCTGCTTCTCCTCGTAGACCAGGATGTCCAGCATCTGCTTCAAGCGCCACGGGATGTCCGTCTGCTGGGCCGGCTTGCTCTCGTCTGCGGAGAAGGCGGCGGCGGCATCAGCGGCTCCGGCCCCCCTGGAAAGCCCCGCCAGAGGCTTCGCACCCGCCACGGACCCCTCCCCCACGCCCCCTCCCCCCTCGGGCCGGCCTGGCGCAGCAGGGAGGAAGCGGCTCCTGCCTACCGGAGGCCTCCAGGTAATAGTGGGTGACGCCCTTCCAGTGCTCCGTGAAGGCGGCCGGGAGGTCGAGGCGCGGCTCCTCCTGCAGCGGGAGGGAAGAAGGCCCCGTCAGCCGACCCCCGCCGTCCCCCCCCCCCCCCCCCCCCCCCCCTCCCCCCCCCCCCCCGAGCACCCACCGCCTCCACCGCCCGCTGCAGCAGGGACCCCAGGCGGCCCAGCAGCGCCATGGCGGCCGCGCCATCCACCCGCGCCTCCCACGTCATCAGCGCGCGACGGGAGGGAGGGAGGAGCAGAGGGCGGGGTCTCGGTCGCCGCTGCCATGTCCTTGGCTGCGCTGCTGCTCCGCGCCCGGGGGGGCCGCCTCGCCGGGAGGCTGGTGAGGAGGGGGGGGCTCGGCGGGGGGAGGGGCGGGGGGGGCTGGGCAAGGCTCTCCCGCAGCCTCCGGCCTCGGTCGCCCTCCGAGCTCGGCGTCCCCCTGCCCGCTCGCTGCCCTCCTTCCCTGTTGGCTCCCGGCGGCTTCGAACCGGTGGAGCCGAGGAAGGGAAGGAAGGCCTGGACCTGTTGGGGGGAGTTTAAAGTGCGGGGGGGGGTCCAGTGCAGCCATTCCCCCAGGCAGGCTTCAGCCCCTCCCCCCCCAGAACAGGCCGAGTCCCTGGTGGTCTTGGGCGGTTTGAAGCCCCTGAGGGGAGGTCCAGGACACTGGTGGGGGCACCTTTGGGAGGGAGGAAAGGTCCAGGGGACCATCGCCTCCCCCTCCCTCATTTCCCCATAGCTGCTGTGGGGAGTGAGCAAGGAGACCCCCAGAGGGGCTGCTCTTGAGTGGCGGGACTTAAGCCCAGCCCTGTCCCACCTCAGGCCCCATAGACCCCAAGGCCATGCCTCCCTCCTCCAAAGCCCAGCAGCCACAATGGCCCTCTGCTACCTCCGCGTCCCTGGCGGCCAGCGGCTCTTAGGCTGGATAATAAGGCTCCTGCCCTGGAACAGGGATACCACGGCTTCCCCTTGGCAGGCACGATAAAAGGGCCTTTCTGTGTCTGAAGCGAAGGTTCAAGCCCTTGCTTGGATCCTAAAAACTGATGTACAGTCATTCACTCTCTCAGCCCAGCTCTCCTTCCAAACGGGGCACAGCCACAGAGATGGTTTGTTAATGGATTCCTCTTATTTCCTGAGGGCGGTAATTCTTGTCGTGCTTCCTCTTAGGGGGCCAAAGAAATACTGACTCTTGGCTGAAAAGAGCCTTGTAGCCATTCAACCCCAACACCTCACCACCCTCTAATCTAAGAGAGCTTTCCTAGAGCCAGGTGACCTTCTCTCTGAACTGACCCTTTTAATCCTTTGGTCAGTCAGGTTGTTGCAGAAGAATTTCCAGCCATGCTGTCGATACTAAGGATGCATCTTAGTAACTGCAATACAACGGTTTAGAAACACTTTTCTAATTTCTATTTTAAAACTTGGTGGTTAGTTTGAAATGTCATTTCAGAGTATTGGTGAGAATTATGCTGTCAGCTCCTGATCTTTATTCCTCCCAGCGTGATGGTAGTTTAAATTTAAATGCTTATAATGTGCCTCTTTTGAAGCTGTTTTGTATTTGAAGACAGACAAGTCTGCTGACTATCTTTTATTATTCAGGGTGTCTCACTTTTTATGGATTGTTTTTTTCTGTTTATGCTTTTGATTAAACCATGATATCCAAACCTCTCCTTGATAGATTACAGGTAGTCCTTGATTTACAGCAGTTTATTTACTGACCATTCAAAGTTATAATGGTACGGAAGATAGTGACTTATGACCATTTTTCACACTTATGACCATTGCAGTATCCCAATGGTCATGTGATTTACATTCAGAAGCTTGACAATTGACTCATATTTATGACAGTGGCAGTGATTCATTTAACAAATATTGGCAAGAAAAATCATAAAATTCACTTAACAAATTTTTCACTTAACAACATAAATTTTGTGCTCAATTGTGGTTGTAAGTTGAGGACTGCCTGTATTCAGTGTGTGTGTGTGTGGAATATTGTAAATAATTCTATAGAGAGCAGATATGTGTTTGACAGACATTCTCCTCACCAGGGAAAGATTCCGGTCAGTTCCCACAGGAACCTTCAGTATGGCTGGACAGCATATTTAATGGGAGATAAAGCTAGCGCAAAATTCACTGAATACAGCAAAGTCTTCACAGTGGATGGTAATCTGCATGCTGGCACAGCGAAACTCGCCCAACAAGTGGCAGAAATACTGGGTATGTAATGGGCTGTTGGATATTGCTAAACTGTGCGGTATACAGGCAGTCCTCAGGTTATGAATGTAACGGAGCCTGCCAATTACATCCGCAACTGGAGGATTCGTAGGAGTGAATCCTGTAACTTGAACGTGATCGCTCCCTGCTCTCTCTAATCGAATGCACGGGTCTTTAAGTGCACGAGGTATCTCAGGGTGGGGAAGGCCATTGGGGGGGGGGCGCTAGTGCTTCCGGCCACCCAAGTGCGCCTCCCCCAACCCACTGAGATATCTCATCCTGCCTGACTGGTTCACTTACCCTGCATAGACCTTGATGACCGATGGAGCTGCCTCCTCTCCAGCCTCTCTACCGCTGTTTCGCCTTGAGCAAAGGCCTGCAGGGATGAGCGATGGCCTCTCTATATGCTCCGATTGTCTTTGCAAAAAGCCTTTTTAGCCCACAAGAATGGAGCTCGGATCGGTGGGCGTGTCCCTTCGGGGCTCCGTCCTCGTTGGCAAAGGCCTTTCCTCCAGTCAATAAGGCAGAGTAATGGCCTCAAGCTTCCAGGCATAAACATGCGGCTGTTGCTTTCGTAATAGAATACAAGCAGCCCACGACCTCAACAGTTCATTTAGTGACCGTTCGAAGTTACAGCGGCACTGAAAACAGTGACTGATGACCATTGTAGCATCCTCATGGCCACGTGATTTACACTCAGATGCTTGACAACTGACTCATATTTATGACGGTTGCAGTGTTCAGGACTCATTTTATGACCTCCTGACAAGCAAAGTCAATGGAGAACCCAGATTCGTCTAACAACCATCGCAAAAGGTGGATCACATGACCCCTGGACACTGCAATCGTCATAAATATGAAGCGGTTGCCAAATTCTCTGAATTTTGATCATGTGACTGCAACGGTCATAAGTGAAAAACGGTCACGAGTCACTTTTTTCAGTGATGATGTAACGTTGGACAGTCACGAAATGAACTGCTGTAAGTCAAGGACTATCTGTGCTCTTTTTCAGAAGAGGCTTTTCTTCCTCTGAACAAGAAGAGGACTGTCTCTTCAAAGAAGATAATTTCACCTGAATCTGGGAAGAAGTTAGTTTTCTTCATCAGAAAATATTTGCCCTTTTTAATGTTCTTTGCAGGTTTGCGATATTTCCCAGAGGCCACCATTCATCTGTTAGACCAATTAACGGGAGATGGAAAAAACCTAGATTTAAAATATAACGGCAGTTGCTCTGTGAAGACCTTCTACAATGAGCCTAAGCATCCAAATGGAAACTCTTACCGGCTTCAAGCTTGGATGTACGGTTCCCGCTTCCTACAGTATGCAGAAGCTCTCGGCCATCTCTTGAGGACAGGTAATCTAGCAAAATTCCATTAATGTCAACAAGTGGAACAAACAACAATCGGGGTTCCTGCTGTGTACCAGCCTTCCGGCTATGTAGCAGTGTCACTGCCTCAGCCGCCCAGTTTGTGCTCAGGTTGGTGTACTCCAAAATGATGGTCTCAGGGAACTTTAACCTGCCTTCTCTGGGAACGGGGTCAGAGGTAGCTTTGGAGCTCATGGCCACCATGACAGCCATAATAGGACTGTCCCAGATCATCCAGATGTTGATCCTCCCGCAATCATGGATTCAAGGGAGATCGTATTTCTCCCCTATCATGGTCAAATCACTGCCTAGTAAGCTTGTGGGTCTCTGGCATCAACCCTAGTGTATGTAGGGAGGTTAGACTGGTTAGATTGGTCCACCTCAGGACTCCATGGGTTTCAGAGGGAGCTCGCAGTTGCTCTGGACACGGTCATACTTGTGGACATGCTGCACAAAACTCTGGTGGCTACTTGTGACTTTGAATTGGATTGCACCTGAGCAGCCTCTGCAGCCATGGATCCCGGAAGGCCCCCAGGTTTACGGAAGAGCAGAGGGAGATGAAGCAGGTGAACAGATACCTAGAGCTCTGCAGGTGGATAACGAGCAAAGAACCAATGCAGGGCAAAGCCACTTTTAGAACCTACTCCTTGATGCTAAGAGAAGCTAAATATATCTATTTCTCCACTCCTTCTGCATCCCTAGATACCCTTCTTTCTTGCACCTTCTTTTGGGTAACCCAGACCATCTTAGGAAGTGGTAGTTCTGCAGTTCAGCTACATGGTTGTTGTGAGGACCATGCTGGGCACCTGACAGATAAAACCACGTGGATTTACTCTGTGTTGGGCTCCAGCCTTGAAGCAGGCTCAGCGGAGGATGCCTGGGCTAGATCTTGCATAGTTACCTGTGAAGAGTTTGATGCCACCTCACCTTAGCTTGGCCACCTCTGTAGTGACTCCATGTTTCTCCTGGCTGGTTCTGGCTTCCTGGGAAGGGACTTGGGATTGGGTTTGGGTGGTGGTTTATTCCTCTTTCCTCTTGCTCAAGGGGTCATCACTGAGCCAAACTTGCCTGGACAATGTTCATCCTTCCCCTTTTAGGGCAGGTGTAGAGAAATGGCCACCCTGCAGCTTCGGTAGACTCTGGATGAAATGGCTTTTTTGGTAGATGAGGTTAACCCCACCCGCTGGCCTTCCTCAGAGCCCCAAAGATCTGATTCTGAGCCTCGGTCTCCGGCTCTGCGTAGTGGTTAAAGATTATTGTGTTTCTCTTGTGGGCTATGTCTTTGAATTTTTGTTACTTTATTTTTAATATTGTTCGCCAGTCAGAAGTACTTGTTGAGATGGGCAGCCGTAAAAATTGATTCAATAAACCCTAGGAAACCTGCTTTTCCTAAAAAGAAACTGGGAAATGAAAGAAATGCTCAGAGGGGTAAATGAGTCGTCTCAGCAAATCAGGGAGTGCAAAATGTTTAAAAGCTGAAACTGTGATCCAGGCTGAAGTTTTATGGCTTGTGATGCTCCATTTCAGGACAAGGAGTCGTGCTGGAACGGTCCCCCTACAGTGACTTTGTTTTCTTGGAGGCGATGTCAAAGCAAGGCTACATTCACCCAAGGTGTAAGTAAGGCTCCCTTTGACCAAGAAGCGATGATTGCTTGTGTCTTCTTAACAACCTTCTGTTCCTCCAAATTTTTATAATCCTACATTCAAATTCCCCATCCAATTCTCAGAGCTCTATTTCTGTTCCCACTGAAATTTCCACTAGGGTTTATTTTATGGTCAGTGACAAAATCATGTGGTAGATTTTGTCATGGATGTTAGCTTGGGATGATGCAATTGGCTCCTCAGTGCAAGAAAAGCTGGTGAGTTTTGATTCTTGGTACAATTTATATTTAGCGCAAAGCTGACTTAACCCTGATGGATATGTCAAAATAACACAAAACATTTAAAACAGGATTCCTTAGTTAGAAAACCACATAAGTGTTGCCTTAACTTATGAAACATATTTGTACACTGCTGCAATGAAGCTTATATTGAAACAATACAAATAACACAACCACCTGCCAAACAAACAACAAAAAACACAACAAACCATCAAGACGAGAAAGAAAAGATGATGAGCTTTAGAAAAGACAATATGTCGTGTATCTAAGCATCATCGTCGTCATCAGCCATTCAGTCATGTCTGACCCGGAAGATTAATTTTGAGTGGAAACAGAGTAAACTCTTCCTGCATGGGCAGAATTTTATGGACTCCTGGCTAGAAGGAAGGTGATCCTGCAAAATGTCTCCCTTCCATTGTGAGGTTGCTCCCTCCCCACTCAGAAACAGCCAGTTGGGGCCAGGGAGGGGCCTCTAGCCTGGTTCTGTGTGGCATCGAGCTTCTTCTTTACAGCAGGAACCTATTGAGCTGTTAGCTTGTGAGAGTTTCATGGGGAAAAGTTTGAGGGAGCACCGCCTGCTGGCTCAATGGGTGGCAACTTGAGTTGGCCAAAGGGGACCCAGCAGACATCATGTCAGGCATTGGGACCAGCACAGGTTTGTCAAAAACATGTCATGTCAGGCAAGGCTTGTTACCTTCTTTGACAAAACGACTAAAATCGTGGATAAGGGAACTGCTGTGGATATAGTTTACTTAGTCTTCAGTAAGGCATTTGACAAAGTAGACCACAGTCTATTTCTTGGTAAGACAGAACAATGTGGGATAGATGGCATCCCTGGAGGTTTTTAAGAAGAGATTGGGCAACTATTTATCCGGAACGGTATAGGATTTCCTGCTCGAGTAGGCGGTTGGACTAGACCTTGAAGGTCTTTTCCAACCCTGTTACTCTAAGAAAGGAAGCCTAATGCTACAGCCGTACGGCCTGCAGGTCTGCTTCTGCTTCTGCTTGCTTTCCTTGAAATACATTGCATCCTTAGGTGAATAAGGCATTTGCGTCTGTTTGCTCCTTTTTTTGTAGGTGTGAAACACTACTATAGGATGAAGCATCTTAGTATTTGTGAGATTTTGCCTCCTCACCTGGCCATTTATATTGATATTCCTGTCTCAGAAGTTAAGAAAAGGATTGATGAGATAGGCGAGGTAAGGCTGCATTTGTGTCTCTGTTTGTGACCCGGATTTTGCTCCAGGACAGGACAATTTGTTGTCTTGGACTGTTTCTCTGTTGCTTAAAGCTGAAGTTGAAGCTGTTTGGCAGGGACAAATTAACTTTAAATACAGCCGAAGTCTTCCAATAGCTGTTGCTCCTTGTTTTTTATGCAGCAGCTCTGAGGTGGATTGGTTCTTACCTTCTCTGTGGAAGAAGCTCCCTGCATGTAGTAAATAGATCCCTTTCAGATCCAGCTGATCTCACCTGAAGTGTGTGATCAGCTGGTGATGAACCTCCAAGAATCCACCATGATTGAGGTGATGGGTACAGGGAGGGAGGGAGGGAGGAAGGAAGGAAGGAAGGAAGGAAGGAAGGAAGGAAGGAAGGAAATTTGCTCAAAGATCCTTGGGTTTTCCATAAGTAATTTAAATTCAAGGGCTAAAGGATACAAATATGATTGAATCAAGTTGGGTAACAGAATTATTCTCATGAATTGTATTTTGTTTTAAGCCCTATGAAAAAAAAGTCTCAGCAGCATATCTTCAAAGCATTGAAGATACCTATAAGAAATCTTTCCTGCCACAGATAAGGTCAGTGGAATGTGGGACGTACCTATTTTAAATAATCACAATTCTATGGAATACTCTCTGAGCTTTTTAATCGAGTTATGCTTTTTAAACTTTTTAATAATGACTGTTGGTTTTATTGTTTCATATTTGGTTGAAACAGGTAAGTCAATGGTTGTGCACCATTCAGTCACCTGTAGTGAGAAAGGTCTTTGTGTGAGATGTGTGTGTGTGTGTGTGTGTGGTGTATAGCATTCCAACAAAAGACTACAAAAAGATTATAAAAATAACATTGTAGTTGTTCTCTGCCAAATGTGTGGTGTCTTCTCACATCCTGAGATGCATAGTTCCAGGAGCAATAATGAATTCTTACTCCGGTTTTAGAAGATTTGGTGTTCCTGTATTTTCTAAATCAAATGACATATTGCTGCTCTTTTTTCTTTTTAGTGAAACCTCTGAGGTCTTGCAATATACAGCCAGTGAAGTTGACAGCCTGGAGAGAGTAAGTGATAGGGGCCAACACCCCTCCCTTGGGTATAAGGCTTTGCAGTAATATATTAGACCTCTCTTGCCGGCTTTATGCCACAAAGAAATCAGACTAAAACAGACCAAAAGAAGTACAGTTATGCTAAGGGAAAGCAGGGATTTAAAAAAAAAAAGTTGAAGGAACTAGCGTTTAGACAAACAAAAGATGGGGTGTGTTGCAAAGGTAAAAAGCTGTGCAACCATTTAGCATGAATGTGAGAAGCAACAGCAGAACAATTTTTTTCTTTCTTTGAAATCAGATTAAATTTGCAAAAGACAAAAGCAGAAATTTTCCACTTTTTATGTTGAGAAAGTTGGACAGGTGGGAACTTTATACCATGAAGGCATTGGGTTCAACCCTTCCCTCACCAATTAAAAGATTTCAGTTTGTAGGGTTATAGGAATTAATTCTCATCTTTTAATTTCCAGATTATTGAAGACATTGAACTGCTGAAGTTTGATAAAGGGCCTTGGCTTGAACAAGATGATATTACCTTGCATTACCTGAGGCGTCGGTAAGTTCAGTCCTCACGATTGAGGGACATATGCTGATTTTGGGAATTTAAAACAGGAATCCATCCACAAGAAAGTGGCCTTCTTCCCAAGAAGCCCTTGTGGGGTTTAGTCTGACTGGTGTAATCCAGAGCTGTGACTCCTGAGAGGGATTTCTGTATCAAGGCCTCATCCAGAGAAGATGCCCAGGAATTTTGCTTGTGAAGCTGAGGTAGGAAGCAAATCCTACAAGACGCTTGGGGATTTCCATTAGCCCCTTACTTTTGGCTTCAAAAACTAGTTACATATTTCATTGTACATACAATATCTACACCTCTCCAACCCCAGCACAAAATTTGGAAATTGTGGCTGTCAGAATGATTAAAACAATTTCCAGGGTTCATAGTATATGTGGCTCAGTTTATAAATGCAAGAAGCTTTGTGATATGCAAAAACTAATGTTTGTTTTCCATTCTTTCACACACACACAACAGTGGTGGGTTTCAAAAATTTTTACTACTGGTTCTGTGGGCGTGGCTTGGTGGGCTTGGCATGGCAGGGGAAGGATACTGTAAAATCTCCATTCCCTCCCAATCAGCTGGGACTTGAGAGGCAGAGAATAGATGGGGGCGGGGCCAGTCAGAATTTTTACTACCGGTTCTCCGAACTACTCAAAATTTCCACTACTGGTTCTCCAGATCTGGTCAGAACCTGCTGAAACACCCCCCACCCAATCATTTACCATTCTCCCCCCTCCCCGTATCCTGCCACATAGAGAAAGTACAGTGTGGCAGGTTTGGTGAAAGCTTTTTGGTTGCTCCCCAGTAAGAAAAAATGCAGAGTGTCAGGATTTATTGTAAAGAGGCACAATCTAAATAGCCCCCTTTGTGGAAAGTGCTGGGGATGATAATGAGGTGGCCCTGCAGTGCTTGTCTGCTCTGGGGCTCTTGATGAGGTTTGTGTGTGTGTGTGTGTCAGATCCACTCTGCCATTCCTTTCCCAGCAGGGAAGTGGGAAAACTTCCTTTCCCCCCCAATGGAAACGCCAGGAGGCCTCTGCGCAGGAAAGGGGCAGGCCGGGTCCTCCCATGCTTTCTGTTAAGAATCTCCATGCTGGCTCACACCAGCAAAAGTTTCTCTTGTGCTTTTTCAAGTTACGTCCAGCAAAGCCAGCTATAATTTGTCCCCAGCACCTAGTCCTCAGGAATTAGTCTGCTCCTGCCCGGGGGCAGGCTTCATTTGATCATCAGAGATAATTGCCCTGTTACTTTTATTATTTCTTCCTACCCTTGTGCAAGTCATACATCTGCCAACTCTTCCAGGCTGAGAGCGACTGCCCAGCTAGGCTGTTGCTTCCTTTCTGTGGGATGGCAGAGAAGTCACGGAGACGGTGCTCCCGTCCCTTTGGTCACCTCAGAGGAAGTTTCTGCTTTCTATACCCAGCAGTCCTAAGCCTGACTTCAGGGGCTTTGCTGAGCCATAATAGAGTGAAGAAGTCCACAATAGGTCTGTTTCTCCTGGTCGCTTCTTGGTTCCTTTGGCTCCGTCACCGTGACGAGCTTTTTTTTCCTTTCAGTGTTAATGACAAGTCAAAAATACTGAGTCCTGTGGCGGTTCCCGACTACGTTCCCGAACTCACCGTAGGAGGCCTTGATGCCGACTCCATCTTCCACACTTACAGGGAGGTAAGAGGATGTTCCCTGGGGAAACCTGCGTGGCCATTCAGAGTGAACACTGAATCAAGGGTGCCCCTCGGCCAGGGCCTTCAGAGACCGGCCGTCGGTCCCTTTCGCAGCTCATTTTTCTTGTGGTGAATCTGCTGCCATCCAAGTACTCCTGTTTGGAGGTCACTGATTTGTTAGACTGATAGAGTTAGAAAGGAAATACATTTTATTATTGAGACATCATTTTTATGATTTTATTTAGTAATTATTATTATTTTAAATTTCAAATCAACTGATGCTGGACCAGTTGTTCTTCTCACAAAGCCCTGGAAACAGCCACTTGGAAGAAAGCAGAGAATTCCCCGCCAAGGGCCAGTTCCCAGGACTTCCTGAGGAGAAAGATCATCGGATACGGGAATGTTTCCTTAATGCTGATGCATCTTCCCTGCTTTCCTTTCCTGGTAGCTTCCTGGACGCCTGTTTGCCCCTGGTTACAACGCTGATGTGGGAGACAAGTGGATCTGGCTCAAATAGCCCATTTCTTTGGAAGGATGAAGTTGGCCACAGAAGGGCGATGCTAAGCCGCCAGCTGTAAATAGGTGACATCTTTAGCAAAGGTGGCAGGTCTTCAGCTGGGAGAAGGAGCCAACAATAAGGAAGGTACCTTTAGCGTTCAATCAAGATTCTTCTGAGCAGAATCCCACGAAGGCAAAGAAGGGATACTGTGGCAAGCTCAGTGAATAAAATAGCATCTGGAGCTTCCTATAGCTGAAAACCTGAAGTTCCTCAATATAGTTTTTGTCCGTGTCTTTTGTCTTAGTCCCCCATGCTTCACTTCCATCAGTTCCAGCTTCTCTTCCCCAAGGTCTGCTTGTCCCGGGCAACGCCTTCCTCTCTGGGAGACAGCAGGAGCCTCGGCTCTGCCATGTCTGCTCCACACGGAGCGCCAGAGCAGAGGCCTTGAGGGACTCCCACAGTCATTTGTGGGAAATACGATCTCAGAAACAGCCCGGTTAGCTGGAATGCTTTAGAACCGTTTCGGCTTTGCGACCGGCGGAGCGGGGATAGTTCCACACAAGCGGCGGCAACCCCACGCACACGCTTGTCTGCTGTTCGCACAAGTGGGGAGGTACCCACTCACCCACCACTTCCGCCACCTGGTTCTGAACAGCCCAAGGCCCAGAGGGCCCCCTCCTTTAGAATTCTATCAGCCAAGTGCATGGAGCCACCTACCAACCCCGGTTCAAGGAAACACCAGCCCAAAACAAAGGTTTTGAATAAAGCTGCTTCACATTTAATTAAAAAGGGGGAAATTGTCACAGATTTTAACATCAGCAAAAGTAGGTGAATGGGACTGAACTACGGTAAGAGGCCCATATTTAACAACATTCACATAAGTAGCGCTCTACATTTGCACAGAGTGGAATGACAGGAGGGAATGGCGTGGTGGGCAGAGGGAAGTGGTGAGCTGAGTTCCAGGCAGTTCCCACCAGTCTCTGGCACAGCTTCATTCTCAGGCAGCCGGATTTCAGGTGGGACACTCAGGATTTGCCATTTTGGGGGAGCTGCCGCTTCCTTCACGTCCGTCCCAAAGTGCCAGGTTCCTCAAGAGGCCATCAGGCGGCAGCCTCCTTTCTGCTGGGCATGGCATCCTGTGGAAGTTGGAGAGCCCCACCCACCCCCACCAATCTCAGTTGCTCAGAGTTCCTATTGGTAAGTGAACTTTGGGCAGGTTGCTTCTGTTGCCTGATTGCTGCCTGCAGTGAGGAAGGTGGTTTCAGCCTTGTGCCCGTCAGCGTAATTGGAACGAAGATCCCCCATCACTGCTCTCCCTCCAGCCAGCAGGGGTCGGTGCAGCTCTCCTCCAGGCCCCGCTGTCACCAAGCTCTTGCTGCTCAGAGCAGCCGGTATGTCCGTGTCCATCTCTACTCAATCGAATGCCTGCTTGCTTGGTGGGCGATGGAGGCAACGGGGTCTCTGCACACACAGCTGCTTGGGAAGGTTCAGCCGCAGACCAGTCACTCTGGAATGACTTAAACTGTCCCAGAAACAGTTAAGGTGCAGGGTGATCTTAAGAGGGGCGTTTCTGGGGAAGGGGATGCAGAAAGAGTGCCATGGGGCCTCGCGCATCTCCCCCTTTTTGTGGGGGAACCATCCTCCCCCCTCCAGAGGCCGGACAGCCAGAAGCCAGCTGCAGCCTGGACAATGACCTGTCCAGGCAGGCTGCCCAGAGCCCCACCTGGAAACCCAGACCAACTCTGCACTAAGAAGGCCCAACAGTCCACCGACTCTGAAGAGAGGAGGGCAAGCCTGGACAATCGAAGGTCCCAACTGCCTGGGGGGGGAGAACAAAGGCAGCTGGGAGGGAGACTGGCCCTTTCGGGGTGCCTCTGTTTTGGGGTGCCAGCTCCACAAAGCAAGGCTGTTTGGCCACGGGGACAACTGCCTCTGAAGTGCCAGGGAAGCAAGGGAGGCCCCCCCCCGTTTCCCATCCAACTGCTCCGGGTTCTGGCTCATGCTCGGGGGTGGGGGGGGGCGGCTACACACTCCCAGGCGGCTCCTTTTCCCCTGCCTGACAGGCCGACGGCTTCCTCGTGGCTGGGATGGGGGGAGGAGTGTTCCTTGGCGCCTGCCGAAGAGGCGCCCTAAAGCCTCTGCGATGCACGACACACGCGGAGCTCACGCTGGGCAGGGTGGCTGCGAGGGGCTCAGAAGAGACAAGCCTTCTTCTTCAGCTCGTTCCGCTTCCACAGGGCCAGCCGGGAGAACTCCTCCGGGGGCATTTCAAAGACCCGCTGGAAGTCCTCGGGCGACAGGTGCCGCTGGGGAGGGGGGAGAAAGGCGGCTGCTTTGGAGGGCTCTGCTTGGCCCAGCCCACGGCTAAGCCCGGTCTGCCCGCCTGGGCCACAGGGGCAGGAGGGGGCACGCCATACCTCAAGTCGCGTCCGGTCCACTCCTGGGGGCAGTTTGACTCGCCCTCGGTTGGTCACCAGCAGCATCTCATACGGATAAATCTTTGGCGAGGGAGAAGCAGAAAGCTAGCTGGTCATCAGGCCTGGCCCGTGGAGGAAGGAAGGCCTGGCTTTGCGGCCTCCCTCCAGCCCCCCCCCCCCAGGTGGGCTCTCTCTCACCTTTTGCTCCAGCATGCTGGGGAGGGAGCTGCCTCTGTCCATGCGGCTTCTCTGGCCATTCTGCAGGGGAAGAGGCACAGGTGGCCCTGAGCTGAAGGCAGGGCTTCCCATCCATCCCACGGGACCAAGGTGTGCGGCCCCTGCCCCCTCCTCAGGCCTGCCCCTCCCATGTCTGGGGCTGCTGGATGTGGGGACAGGCGTCTGTGGGGCCTCTGTGCTGCTCTCTTCCCCCATCAGGGAGCCTGCTCACCTGCAGACCTGCAAGAGAGAAGGGTGAATGAGGCTGGGCCAGGGCCGTGAAGGGAAAGGGGCAGAAAGAATCAAAGGGGGAGGGGAGGGGAGGGGGAGGCCTGCAACGGGCAGGAGCTTCTCCTACCTGGACTGCCTTTTTCACTGCTGCCGGTTCCAAACTCGGTCGACTGCAGCTGGGGAAAGAGAGGAGCAGAGCACGTCATCCACGGATCAAGGCGGCTTCTCTCGCCTCCCACCAGGCTGACTACGAACAAGGCAAGGCATGAGCAGCTGCCAGAAGGCTGGAGCCACCACCCAGGCGCAGGGGTGGAGTGGGCAGGCATGGCAAGACAGGCACCCCATGGGCTTGCTCAATGCCAACCTGGCCGGAGGAATTGGGGCAGGACGGACGGCTGAAGAGAGGGAGGGCAGGGAGATTTGAAAGGGGTGGGAACCACTGCCCAGAACATGCTCTGTTCTCTTTCGGATGCTGAGACCTTCCTTCCAGCCTTCCCCTCCCCTCCCCATTTCATTTCATTATTTCATTTCCATCTCTGGACAATCAAGATCAAGATCCCATTTGGGGGTGGGAATCCAGGAGCACCCTTGCAAGATAGCCTGCCTGTTCCTCTTCCGTCCTTGCTTGCCTTCCAAGTGCCCCACACTGCCCCAGGGGGTCTCCCCTTAGCTCTAGTCTATTCTAAAGCTTACCCTGGCGAGCGTGTGTCTCCCAGAGGCATGAAGTGGTGCTGATTTTGAGCTTCCTCCATGCGAAGCTGGAAGAGAAGCAGCCGGTCAGTGTGGGGCCGTGCTCCGGAGGATGGACTGGTCAGTGGCTGGAGCAGGAGCACCTTTGGTTGGGACAGGCGAGGGGATCTGGCCGATGGGGAGGGGGACCTCAGAAGCCACTGCTGGGCTGATTCAAGAACAAGGAAAGGCCCAAAAACTTCTGTGGCCGATTTCTAAACTGCGAAAGGCCTGGATTGGGATTAAAGGGTTTTACAAGCCCAGATTGCTCAGCATTTCTAGCCTCTTTGGGGAACTGAATGAATCGCAGACTTTTTCCCAAGCGTCCTGCCCTGAAGGCAAGGAGACCAGTGGCCAAGGGCAGGGGTGCAGCAGGGTCCACGGGTGGTCAGGGCTGAAATGCCAATTCATGGCGGCGGCAGCAACTGCTCTCTACAGCCTGCAGTGCCCTTAATGGGGATCTGCCAGCGTTAATGCCAAAGGGCAGCCTCGCCCTCCAAAACAGCTGCCCCCTGGCCAGCTCTCGTCCAATGAGGGGACAACCTCTACACTCGGGTGCTCATTGCAAGACCGTGTCATGCAGCTGCACGAAAAGGAAAGGCCAGGCGAGACCATATTAGCGGAAGGAGCACTCCAAGATCGGAAGCCCCCTGCGCTGCACTGGTCCTCCTGCATGTGGCATCGGCTCTGGACACTGCAGTGGATGAAGACTTCTAGAAGAGAGCAGCCAGGTCAAGGGCAGGTGACTATGGCACCCAAGTACCCCAAAGGCCCCCCCGTGATAGGATGGGATGGTTCTGTAGGAGCTCAAAGGCAGGAGGAGAAAGACTGGGTTTTAATCGCAAGGCAGCCGATCCGTCTGGCCTTCAGGATGAATGTCCCCCATTGTATGAGCCCAGGGCATTCTTCTGGGACGCAGCTGTTGAAAGAGACTTTTGAGAGCCGTCTCATCTGTTGGGGCAGATTAGATCCTCTCCAAAGTCCCTCCCAACCCTTACATTACATTCTACGGTCCTATGCACACAGCCCCCCCCCTCCCCATGCTCCTCCTCAGCAGCGAAGTGGGGGGGCATCACTCACAGGCGTGGAAGGGAGTTCGATCTGGAAGAGAGCGGGTCTTCCTCCGGATTGGGAGGGATTTCTCCATCTCCTCCTTCAGGATGAGTCTGCCCAGATTGGAGGCCACCTAAAGTGGTGAGAAGGCACCTTAGGGCTGGGAGGAGCCCCCGACTGCCCCCCCTCCCCTCCACCCCCCTCTACGGTGCTTCCCGTTACCTTGCTCAGCTCTTGTTCCTGCAGCTCCCGGAGACTTTGCATTTCTTCCGCATCTTCATCCACCTCCTCCTCCCCTCTCTTGGACGCCTTTTGCCTCCGCCACTCCGTCTCTGGGAGGGTTGAATGTTACCAAATTGAGCAGATCCTTGAAGGAAGATCTTACAGTTCTCCATATTTCAAAGGAAGCTCGGTCTGGAACTGGGAGCTTTGTGTTTCACTGAGCAACCCTGGAGGGTTTCAGAGCCCCCTGAGGGTTTGGGGAGTCCCATCAGACTCAGCCGGGGAGAAGGCATACAGTCTCCTGCTTGGGCGGTGGGGGTGGGGTGGGGTTGGACAGTCTGTTCTGTTAAGGAGAGGCAGAGTGGTCCCCGTGCACAGGTGAGGGGCTCCCTGAGAGAAGGAAGCTTCTGGGCCCCCAAAGGACCCAGGCTCCCACCAGACAGTGTCCTCCTCTCCTCTGCCTCTCGGATGGCCCTGCTCTTCCTCCGCTAGCATTCTGATTCAGCCTAATAAAACCAGCAACGACTTTTCCATTTTTCCTATGGATCAACACTGATGCTTGTCTCTCTTCTATAAAACGGAAGGGCCCCGAGGGAAGACAGCGGAGGAAGACGTTCCCTGGAGCCTGAGCTGTTGGCTGTTGCTCAGGGCAGCAGATCTACAGCCAGGGCTGCCTGGGGAAGAGCACCTACCTACAACTGCCAGGGAGGGCGGGCAGGGCCAGTAGTCCGTCTCAATCTTGGCTGGCTGGCTGGGATCTGGCGGCTGAGCAGCGGGGAATTTGGAGGATTCAATAATCAGGCCCTCAATCGGCCGCTTGTTCTCGGGAGTCGGTGCCAGCCCAGCCTCTGGAAGAGGTCAAGAGTCATGAGTCCCAGATAATGCTACCCCCATCCCACCCCCGCCCCTCTCACAGGAGCAGCTCCTACCCCTCTGCTTGTAGATGGGGGGCTTCTTGTAGATGTTCATCTCCGTGGTGTTGCTCTCTGGGGAAGGAACAGAAATGGGGAAGCACCACCACGCAAAGATGATGGCCGGGTCCTCCCCGTTCCCTCTCCGTGGGCCTCCCTCTCCCTCTCTCGATGGCATATTTGCAGAGTAACCCCACTTTTTTGGGGGGGGTTAGGGTTAGGGAATAAAACCAGCAGCCTCTGATGCATGATAGACCACCTGCAAACCTCCAGAGGAGGAAAATCCAAAGGCCTTGGACTCAGGGATGGCCTTTGTGCCGCTTCAGAAATGGCCCCAAACTTTATGGAAACAAATCCCTGAGCCCCTCTGCAGCTCCAGGTGAGGAAAGGCTGCTGAGCATTTGGACCAGACTCGGAAAGGTGCCCCGGCAGTCGGGAACAGGAGGGTCTGACTGGTCCCGAGGAAGGCCGTACCTGGATGATGGAAGTGCTGGAGTCCAGAGCGGTTTCTGCTGCCGGCCCAGCGCCCGGAGGCCTTGCCAACACTTCCTGGGGATTTGGCCTCTGCCCACTCATGGCTGACCTGAAAGCAGAGAGCACATCGATCGAGGGGCACCGAGGAGAAGGCCCTGCTGCCTCCTCGGCCATCTCCCCAGGGCTTCGTGTCCCCTCCTCCCGAGAGCGGCTCCTTCCTTCGAAGCTTCCTCGCCAAGGGACAGCAAGTCCACAACCTAAGCAGATCTAGTCTGAGCCCCCCTCACCCCAAGGGCCACCAACTCCCTGCCCGTCCAACCGCCCATCGGAGGAGCACTTACTTCTGGCGATGGGGGAGGAGAGAGAGACGTGGGCGAGAGCGAGGGCTGCAAGAAGAACAGCCGGGAGAGGCGGACGTTACTCGACCTACTGTTACTCTGCCTAACACCCCTCACGATTGTGCTGCTCTGACCATTGCGGGGAACTCGCTTGTAAGTTTGGAAGCGGTGCAACAGCCTGGCTGTCCTACACTCCCCCAATAGGCTGGACAGCCCCGTCTGACGGGGGCATGGTGGGTGAGGACCTCTGCCCCAAAACCTGCACGGGGCATCCCTGAGGGCATCCGGCGTCTGGCCTGGCTCGAAGGCGGCTTCCCTTTGCAATGCCGGCCTCACCCCCTGCAGGCCTCACCTCTCGGCTCCCTGGCCGTTCCACGTGGTCCAGGAGGGAGTAGGTGAAGTGGGGCTCATAGATCATCAGGTCAGGGCGCTCGATGTCCAGGATGGCCTTGTCCCTGGGGATGGCCGCCAAGTCTTTGTAGCCAAGGACCTCGTCATCCATCCTGGCCTGGGAAGAGGAGAGAAGAGGCCGGCGGGCGTTTGAAGGATGGAGACGGCACAGGGCGAGAAAAGCGAGGGGCTTCCAAGCCTAGATTGAGACCCCTCTCCCAGGGGAACTGCTCACCTTCTGTTGGGACTTAGGGAGCAGAAGCCAGTGCCAAGGTTGCCTAGCACCTCCCCAGTGTGGGTTCCACCCAGCTCAGTTTTGTGCACATCGATACTTTGATGCAACGAGAGCTGGTTTGGTCAAGTGCTTAAGGTGAAGCAGGAAAACCCGAGTTCGAGACCTGCCACGGGCACAAAGCCAGCCCTGCAAGGGGGCATCTGCTTGCACTCTCTCAAGGGGACCCCAACCCTTCACAAGGACACCCAAGTTTCCTCCTTGAGAGCCAGAGGCATCTGTGAGATGCTGAAGCACCCCAGCCTCACTCGATTCCTAGGCTTCAACTACCCCCCCCCATCCTAGTGCTGAAGAGCCCCACCTCAAGTATGGGGGAGGGTCTGGTTTCCTTTGCCCCTCCCTCAGAGCCACTGTATCTGGGGTGAGAGGCGAACGGGGCAACCCCACTCTTTTGCCCAGCATAGATCACCCCTCCTCTTCCTGGCTCAGGGCCAAGGAATCTTTGCTCATCCCTCCCTCTTCCCTCATTTTCTCTGCTCCCCCACAGGGCCCCTTCCTTTTGCCCTCTGCTCTCGTCGTTCTGCTTTTCCGCCGGCCAGGGTTTGCCGACAGCAGGGCAAGTGGAGGCCAGGGGTCCACAGGCTCTCACCATGATGCTGGAGGGAGATCCAGGGGGCCCCGAGCCCCGAGCCGAGAGGACGATGCTCCTCGGGGATGTCAGCTGCTGCAAGGAAAAAGGAGGCGGCTAGTCAGGGAGGCCGAAGGAGGCCTCTGGCTGCCTTGCCTCTTCTTGGGGAGGATGGTCTCTCCAAGCGCTCGCCGGCCTCAGAGCGATCAGCTTGCAATGCCAGCCTGTGGCTCCCATCAATCCGGCTCCTCCTTTTACCGACCTCAGGAGGACGGGAGGCTGAATCAACCTTGAGCCTGTCAGAATTGAACTCCTGGCAGTTGGCAGAGTTAGCCAGCAATACTGCCTTCTAACCCCAGCGCCACCAGGGATCCTCCCTGCCGTGAGAGCGTTGAGACTGATCCAATGGCCGGCACAGAGCTTTGCGGAAGAAACGCTAAGATACGGCACGGCTAAGCAGGCTGTGCTGCAGCCTCTTCTGTTTTATGAACGGGAAAGGAGCCTCTTCTGCTCATTTGGAATGACCGAGGGGGCCCAGGGCCACCTGGACAGTGCTGTCAGGGCGGGGGAAAGCAGCCACGTGGCCCCCCTTCCCCTTCTCTGTCCGCCTCCAGCAGCAGGAAGGACCCAGCACCCGCCTGCTTCCACCCTTGATGGCTCTTTCACAATGGTGACCAGTCAGCAGTCACACCTGGGTCTCTTTGGCAGGGGCCACTTCTTGTCCTGGCAACAACTGATGAACCTCCAGCCTTTCCTTTCCTTTTCTGCCTGAAGTGTGGGGAAGATGGCAATCTTGCAAGAGCCACTTACTGCTGCTGCTAGAGCCTTCTCTGCTTCCTGTTGGACCCCTTTGCTACGAGTAACTTCTGTGCAGGCAGGAGCAGCCCTAAAGCAGAAGGTCTGTAGCTCAGGGTTGAAATCAAGGCTCCTTGGTGGCTCTCTGAGCTGGTTTCCTTTCAGACGTTTCATGACCCAAACAAGGCAACGTCATCAGTGGTAGAAGGGAGAGGGGTTTGCTCACGAGCGCCCCCAACAGCACTGATGATGTTGCCTAGTTTGACAATGAAATATTTGCAAGAAAACCACCAAGCTCAGAGAGCACCAAGGACCTTCAGAAAGGAATACGGGCCATGTGTTCCAAATCTGCTGAACAAACAAGACCCCCCCCCGGACCCCCCCCCAGAAGTTACCTTCTGCAACTTTTCCATTCAGCCTCCACGCTGGCAGCCTCGGCTGGCTCACTCAACAAGTTCTGAGAGGGAAGAGAGGAGGCAGGAGGTTAGCAGAGAGTGTGTGTGTGTGTGTATGTGTGAGTGTGTGTGTGTGTGAGTGTGTGCACAGATGTGCTGGCAGATTGCAGCCCTGGAAAGGACCTTCAACCTGGGCAGGGCTGGGGCTGAAAGCTCAGGGAGGGGAAGGCATTTCCCCACTTGTGTGATGCAGGATTCCCCTCCACACACACACTCAGTCCCTGCTAATTCTCCAGACTGTGACCCAGGAAGACACCATGAAATCTGTCTTCAGCCAGAGAAACATTCTCACATACAGCCTGACCCAGAACTCGAAAGGCAGTGTGAATGCAGAGGGAATGGAAAGGCATCACCAGCAGGGCCCACTTCCCACTGACCCTCCCCTGAAGACAACCCCTCAGCCAGAGCCAGCAACCCCTCTCGGAGGCTCTTGTGGGGTGTGGGTGCTGATTGGTGCCTGGGGAGGTGGGCTTCCCAGTTTTGACAATGAAAGAGAACTGCTGGGGGTGGAAGCCGGCAGATCCTGTACATCAGCCTGTTGCTTGTGTTGAAGGGCAGAGATTCCCTTCCTGGAGCGGGGGGGGGGGACGGGGAAGGGACAAATGAAGTCACCCCTGCTGGGATGTTTCCCACGGCTGTGCTGGCAACTGGGCACCTGAGCAGGAACCCCAGCTCTGAGTGGCTTTGCGCGACCGCCACCACTCCTCAGCTCGGCCAGGCAGCGGCTGGCTTCTGCTCTGGCCCCAGACCCTGCTGGGAGCTCGGTAGCCCCCCACCCACCCCCCAGGGCCCAGCACATGTCCCCCCCTGGCCCCGCCCATTGATGGGCTGGGCTGCTTGGCTCCAAAGGGTTAAGCGACCTTTCCGGGAAGTGGTGGCTGCCAGGAAGGGCTCCAGAGGCAGCCCTGGCAACGGAGCAGCTGCGGCTCCTGCGAAGGGAAGGCACTGCGGCAGCCCCGAGGAGGAGGAGGAGGAGGAGGAAGAACAGTTCCTGACTTTTGCTCCTGCCGCTCCAGGGGAGAGGGATGGATGGAACCTGCCCCACGCAGGGCTTCTGCCTTTTCCTTCGCAGCTCTTGGTTTCCTTCTGCCCCCCCCAAAAAAACCTGGCTGCTTCCCCCCAAGTGAAGTGCCAAGGGACAACCCTCCTCCTCCCCGGGTGCCGCCTGCCTGATGCCGGCTTGTTGACTCGAGCAGAGCCCTGGGGTCAAGGCGGGTGTTGAGGCGGAAAAAACAATAAAACTGCTGCTACTGTTCCGTTGCTCCGTTTATTTATCATTCTGGAATTTGTTTTGAATCAACAAGCAGGGAAGGAGAGAAGCTCCACTGCAGCCCCCATTTCAGGCAGGCAGCCTTCCGAAGGGCCCCCCCCCATAACAGTCCTTTCCTGTGACCAGAGGGAGCCTCCAGGGTTCCTGGCCCTTGAAAGTAGCCCCCAAGCCTTCTTCCAACCCTCCCATTTCACCCTAGAGGGAAACTCAGAGCTCGTTGACCTGTGGCAGCCACCAGTCATCCTTCAAGAATTAGAAGAATTTAGCATCCAAAGTCATAGACTCCAGAAAAGCATTTGGGTGCTGAGCAACTTGCCCGTTTTCTGGATTTCACCCCGTGCATCAGGGATCGGGCCCATCTCTGAATAATGCAACCAGGAAAGACCCTGGGGGAGGGAAAGGGGCCCCGTGTCTCCAAAGCCTGGTGGGAAACGGGCTGAGCTGCTGTGAAGGGAAAGAAAGGCCCTCAAAGGCAACCTGTTGCTGAGCCCTTGTTAGGACCAAAGGCAGAAGGAGGACCAAGAGGGCCTCTCTCACCCTGCTGCAGTTGGGGTGCCAGGGGTCTGACCTTTGGGGTGCAGCCAAAGCCCAGACAGAGCAGATGAGGACACTGCTCCTCCCCCCGCCTCAAAGCCTGCTCTATGTGTAACATGGAACATGAAGAGCCCCAGATAAGGCGGCATTCTCTGGCTGGGCATCCGGCAGCCCTGAGCTCACATTTTCCACAGCGCAGATGGGTGGGCTGCTGGCCTGCGGGGAGGAGCGCCTTTGTCCTCCAGAGGGCTTGGGCGGCAGCCGCTGCCTCAAAAGGGGGCTCTGGAGGGGCAGCACCAGCTAGTTCCTTCCCAGGGGCAAAGGGGGGCCATTTAGACGTTCCTTCTTCCACACTGCAGCCCCTGGACCAGCAGGTGTTGCAGCTACAAAACTCCCTTTGCTGAGTCGGTGTGAACATCATTTCCAACCCCCCACCCCCCAGGCTCTTGGGGGGATTGAGTTAACCGAGTTAACAATCTTCAGTGGATTGGCTTGTTTTCTTTTGTCTTCTTATTTTTATTAGCCACCAGGGTCACCTGGAGACAGGAAGCTTTAGAAATACGTTTAATTGCATGAATACAATACTTTCAAGCTAGGAATGGGTTTGCCCTTTGGCAGAAGGGCAGGGCAATGATCCAAATAAACTAGTTTTTGTGGGATTAATTAGGTGGGGCAGACCACACACATCCCCATTGCTGCAGGAGGTGGGTTTTTTTAAGGGTGCATCAAGCCTAGAGGGTTGCTTCTGCCTGAAAATGGCAGGCGGGGGGGGGGGGGGGCTGGAGTTAAGCTGAAACAAAAAGCCTAATCAGAGTTTCCAGCCTTCCCGTGTTGGGGCCCAGCCAAAAGGGAAGAGAAACAAGGAGGCAATGCTGAAGCCCAAAGCAGGCTGCCCAGCGCTCCAGGGGAGCCAGCGCAAGGGGACCGGGGCCATCTCAGAGCCCCTGGAAGCAGCCCACGGAGGTGCCAGTGGCTGGAGGAGCCTTTTGCCAGGAAGGTGGGAAGCCCTTGTCTCACTCTTCAGCCTGCATTTGCAACCCAAAGACAATCAGGCTTTGCTTTTGCATCAAATGTTTTATGCTTGGTTGAAGTAGGACCTGCCTGAGCAAAACCTTGGATACCTGTACATTCTCTTAGCCATCTAACTCCCACCAGGTCTTGACCAGCCCTTGTAGAGAGAGCCCATACTCACTCTCCTGTTGCGCTACTCCTCTTCCTTAGCACAAGGCTCAGCAGATCAAGCCGCCCTTTGGACACAGCACCCACCAACCTCAAAACCAGAGCCATCTTTTGAGGCTCTCATTTCGGTGGCCTTGTGAATGCGCTGCCAGGTTAGTTATTGAATTTCTATGCTGCCAACTTCCTGCAGAGTCAGGCTGGCTTGTAGAAAAAGCCAAACCTGCAGACCCACAAACCCCAATGGGCCGCTGCCCTCCCCTCTCGCCTGGAGATCTGCCAGCACCAACCCCAAAGGCTGCAGCAGCAACTAGGAGGGGAAGCTCAGCCTCGGGAAGCCTTCCAGCGCCTCCTCCGCGGAAAAGCTCCTTCTCCGTCCGGCGCGCTTATCGGCAGCGCCCAGCGGGGCCACGCCCGCATCTGCAGCCGGCAGCGGCCCCTCCGGCGCGGCCCGCCTGCAGAGCGCAGATAAGGGAGGCCCGCTGCCTGCGGAACCGGCGGGACGGAGGGAGAGAAGCGCGCCGGGGTCCCAGGCGGCCGAGTAGCGCAGCCCCGGAGCCCGCCCGGACGAAGCGGGGCCGCCTCCCACGAGCCGCCGGGCGAAGCTGCCTGTGGCGGGAAGGGGCAGTCCCCGCGGGGGCCCATGGCCTCGCCCTGCCGCCCCCGCCCAGACAGGGCAGCCTTTGGGCACCGCGGGGGGACGGAGGGGGAGGCGAAGCCGGCAGAGCCGGGCCAAACGCAGCTGGAGCGACGGAGGCTCCTTCCGTCCCTTCCCTCCAGTCAGCGTCCCCACTTTATCTTGCAAACACGCTGCCCCTATTTTAATTCCAAGCACGATGGGTCTCCTGTGCCAGGATGGTGGCTAGGCAGCCTGCCCACCCCCACAGCTGACCAGGAAAGCCCCAAAGGTGGCGCCCAGCACCCCAAAGCTGCATGGCAGAGTCCGAGTCTGTCCTTAAGCCAAGCCCCCCCCCCCCCTTCCCCTTCTCCTCCTCTTTTGCTCCAGTGGAAACATCCTCCCTTCCTGGCCCAGTCATGTCTACCTCCCCCCCCTCCCCCCTCCCGGAAATGTTCACCAGAGGCAGCACAAACCAACAAGGGATTCCAACCACCCACTGGAGAGGATTTGCTTGGGCTTCCTCCAGTTTTATATGCACCTTCCTGTGAGGAGATTGTCCACCACTCCATTTGTGAAGACCAAAGACTTGAAACAGCTTAAATGTCCATCACCATTTCCTTGTTAAAGATTTATACCATCATCTCTACTTGTCCAGCTATTGTTGTGACAAAACAACCATGACGTGGACAGGAATTTTTCACTTCAGTTACAAATACAGAAATCATCTATGTAAAAATAAGGGGAGCATGAATTTCTGATTGCATCAAAGAAAGGAGGTTCTGGAGCACCTGCCTCACCATCCAGGCAGGGGAAGAGGCTTCTCTTCCCATAGAGATCCAGCCAGCCAAGCCCCCTTGCCTCTAGCAACCGGCCAAGGCCAGCCAGAGAGCTCTTCCAAAAGCAGCTTTAAAACTGAGGGCTTCCAGGCGGGAAAAGGATGTTGTTTGTTCATATGTAGAATGAACTCAAGAATGACCAACGTAAACAATTCAGAGCAATCATCCTTGTTAAAAGACTGCACCATAAATACATTCTGTTGGAAAAGGCTGCGTTTGTGCATTGATTTCGGCTTAAGTCCACAACGTGGAATGCTTAATGGCTGAGCAGCCGCTGCCTCCTCTCCTCTCCTCCAGCCAAGTCCACCACAGTCTACGAGACCCTCCGCAGTTCCACCCTGGAAGCTGCCATGCAGGCAGACAAGGAAGAGCAGCCACAGGTGGGAAGGAGGGCATCACCTGCCCATCGCCTTTTCGAGACAGAGTGCAAGTGAGGCCTAAACATTCCCCGAATGAGACAGGCATAAATATTCCAGCCAGCCATCTCCTCACTGTGCTGTACATGCCATTTTCATCCCAGATGGTTCATCCTTGCTGAGAAGACCACTGTGATTCTGAAGCCCAAACCCAAGAAGAAATTCACTGGCCAAGCCTGGGCTTCATTTTGAATCCACCTTGGTTACTACAGTGCTCTTCCTCTTCTCTCTTGTTGTACCTCAAGCTGCATTCCTTAGACTGGCATTCATTTGCACAACTTTAAACATAGGGATGATGTCCAGAAGAGGCCACTTCCAGGCTTCGGAGAAGAAACCAGAAATCTATTTCCAGTGATATAAGTTTCAGTGATCCACAGCAGATGGTAGAACTGCACATAGTCCTGGGATGCCTCTCCCCGAGTGTGGCGTAAATTTAGTGGGCCAGGGACAAGCAGTGTTCTGCTTTGTCATCACTGAAGAATTCCCTTTCTGTGGCTGAATCTGGTGGCTGAATCTGGAAGAAGAGTCTTGGGCTCTGTGATTTCAGGGAGCTGTTGCTGCTTTGCTGTGCAGCCCACGATCCAGCAATTGCCAAAGGGGAAAGGTAGAGGCGTGAGTGGCCTTCTGAGCACCAGGATGAGATGGCAGAGAAACGGAGCAGGCAAGGCTGCTCCGTGGGGCTCCTGCATCCCTGAAGTCCACTGAGACCATGGGAACGGTAAGAAAGCCCCTTTCGTTTCCTTGGTGGCATTCTGTGAACAGGCCCCCACTGGATAGTTACCCAGAATCGGAAGTCTAGAAGCTTATATGCTCTCATCATTTAGCACTGATCGGTGATGACAGTTTCTTTTCTTCTGTTGTCTCCCAAATCTTCCCTCCTCGGTGGAACTATTCCCCGTGAACTTCCAGAGCTGATAAATGGCAAAGGTGATACGGGCTGTCCTCCTTCAGCCAGAATCTTTCTTTCTTGATCCAGCCAAGGGCTGCAGGGGGCTCTGTGCTTGGCTCCAAGCTCAGCAGACCATGTGCCTAATTCCAGATAAACTACGAAGGGCGCAGTGGCGATAAGTCATTTTGGTAGAAACACCAAATGTAGCACTTCAGTCTTATAGATTTTGCTGAAAGTGGCTTTGCTTTCTCCTGGAGGCATTTTTTTCCTGACATTCCACTGCAGCCTATCATTCTGTAACATGAATGTACTATTCCGCCTCTTTCACTCTCGGTCTAGGTAGGACAAGAGGAAGCAGGTCTGACATTTCTTTTTAAGAGTTTTGAAGAGAGCTACATCGGTGGGCCATCCACTGTTTAAGGAGCTGTCACCAAGCCAGAGAGCCTCCAGCTACCTGGCTTGGATTTTCATTTAACCGAACGCATTTTCATTTCCTATCAATATGGTTTTCTGTTTATTTCTGTCTAGCTGTGTTCCAATTATCTGACCTATTTTTGTTTCCTCTGAAAATCGAATGTGCATCCCTTCCCTCTCGCCATCAGTCATTAGCATAAATGTAGGGCCCCCACGACCGACACCCCAGTCCAGTTTCATTGATCAGCATTTGGGGGCCGAACCCTTCATGTCCAGCAGCTCACAATTCAGTTGCTGAGCCCAGATTGCGCACCCTTTATTAAAGGCCTTGCTTGCAATGTCTACAACCACAATCCACAATCTCTTTCCCGTTTCAGGCCATACTTGGGATACCCTATTTCTTTTTTCCTTTACAGATTTCCAGGAAAGCTCTTTGGGCCTCTCCTGCCACCAATCAAATTAAGAGGGAAACTATTGGATTCGGCCACGGGAGCTGACCAGGTGACTGGCAAGACCCCCCCCCCCCAGAGGGAGAATTCTGCTGCAGGGCCAAGGGGGGCAGCCTCGCCCTGTGCCACCCTCGGAGGCCGCCTCGCCTCAAAGGCCCGGGCGGGGGGGGCGGGGGGCTGAAGGCCAGCCGAGCCAAAGCATCGCCGCGGAAGGGGCCGAGCAGCCGGAGCCGACCGACCCAGCATGCGCGCTTCGGCCGCCGCCACCTTCCTCTCGGCATGAAGCGCGCCCGGCCTCAGCCCGCTGCTCCCCCGCGGCGGCGGCTCCGGCCGAGGGCATTTCCCCTGGGCTCTCCCGGCTCGGCCGCCTCAAGAGCCAGCGCCTCTCGCCCGCCGGATCGCCTGCCCCGGCACCGAGCCTGGTCCGGCTGGGGAGGCCGAAGAGCGCAGCGCCAAGGCCGCCCCAGCAGAGGAGAGCAGCGCCCGGCGCAGGGAGCCCGTCGGGGAAGGCGCCCTCGAGCGCGGCTCCCCGGACCCGCCAGTCGCGCGGGGCTCGGCGTCCCCCGGGAGGCCCGGCCTGCAGGTGCAGCGGCGCCAGTGCCCGCCCGCAAGAGCCCCCCACCGCCTCCCGGGCAGGGAGGGCCGACTTACCGGCGGCGCTGGAGGCGGCGGCGGAGCAGAGCAGGCGGGGACGGGAGGCGGCGGGCAGCGGGCAAAAGGCGCGCCCCGCCGAGCCGCTCCCTCTGCCCGCCCCCTGCGGCTCCGCGCCTGGGCTGCCTGGGCGGGCGGAGGGGAGACGAGCCGCGCCGTGACGGAGCAGGACTGGGCGCGCCGGGCGAGGCGGAGGCCTCCCCGCCCATCGGCTGCGGAGCCCCCTTTCGCCCCCGGAGCTGCCCAGCCTTCCCTCCCCCCGAGCGCCTCAGGCCCCAGGCCCCTTGCCGCCCCGCCGCAGCTCTAGCGAAGCGCCGCCCGCCGAGCATCGGAGGGGACCTGCCTGCCCCTCGCTCTATAGTGGCGCCCGGGCCCGCCCCCCCTCCGCCCCCGGCCTACCTTCACCGGAGCCGCGGGGCTCGGCCGGGAGGGCCGCTCCGTCCTGGGGGCGCCATCCTCCCTTCGCCGCCGCCGCCGCGCCCGTCACCTCCGCGGCTGAGCAGATGCCGCCGCCGCCGCCCCTCCGTCGCCCCCGGCAACCTGCGCCGCCCGGAGCCCCCCGCCTCCTCGGCCGCCTGTCATTGGCCGCGGGCGCTCAGGGCCCCCAATGGACGCGCGCCTCGCCCCCCGCGCCGCTCCCGCCCGGGCGCCGCCCAGAAGAGCGCCGCGCTCAGCCGCGCGCCCGCCTCGCCTCGCCTCGCCTCACCTGCTCTGCCAAGGGCGGCTCCCCTCCCTCCCTCCCTCCCTCCCTCGCTCGCAGCCCCGGCGGCCTCGGGCGACCCGGGACCCTCGGCGGGCTCTGGGCGTTGGCCGCCTTTCTGGGAGGCGGGAGCGCGCAGCGGCCGGGAGGTCGCGCCTGCCGCAAGTTTCCTGCCGCGCCCGCGAGAGCCGCCGCGCTTCTGGGGTCCTCCGCGGTGCTCGCAGGGCCTGAAGGGCCGCCTTGGCTCGCTTCGCCCGGGCGGAGAGTCGCCTTCAGAACGCCTGAGGGAGAGAAGAGAAGCCGCCCAGCCTTTCCCGCCCAACTCTCGGATCCTGTCCTCAAGGAGAGAAAGGAGTCCCGGGCGACCCCAACTACCAGATGTCAGCTGTGAGGCAAACTTGGCGTCTAGTTGGAGATGGAGGTGAGCCCAGCTGGCAGCTCCGTCATCCCAAGATCAGAGGAGGAACTAGAGGGTCAGAGATACCGACCCAAATCTTACTAACACAGAAGGAGTGATAGGAGGAGCTGAAGTTACAGGAACTTTGTGGGACGGTGAATATAAGGCAGACACAAGCAATAGAACAAAATCAAAATAGTGTCTTAGACTTTAAGAGAGCTAATTTCAACACATTTATGGAACTTGGGAAGGGAAAAACAACTCAAAAAGTTTGGGAAACAGAAATGAGATTCTAAAAATCCTGCTTAGAACAATAACACTGAAAAATAAGAGATGCAGGAAGATACCAGCATGGTTGCATAAAGAACTCTCTAATAACCCGAAGGATAAAAAAGACACCTATAAAAGTAACTAAGCAGAATATCGGCATATAGCCCAAGCCTGCTGCAAACGTGAAGGTTGGACTGGTTTTTTTCCCTTTTGTGTAAAGATAGATGCAAAGAATGCATTGAACGGTTTTTCTTTCTCCCTGCTGTCCATCACCTCCTTGCCATCTTCCACTAGTGGATCGATCGTTTCCTTGACTTTTTTCTTATTTTTTTTTAATGTTTAAAGTCTTAGCTCATTCTGAGCCTTAGTTTCCCTGATCATGTTTGCAGGTTGAGGTATTCCGCCTCTTTCCATTTTTTTTATACGTCTCCTTTTTATCTTTCAATTTATCAGAAAGATTTTTGTGCAATCATGCTGGTTTCCTCTTGGATTTGTTGTATTTCTTTGTCAATGGTATTGTGCTAGACTGGGCTTCTGTGATATTTTTCAGACTTTTCCATGCTTCTTGAGTTGTTTTCCCCTTTAGGATTCTAATCTATAGAATCTTTCCTAGGCTCCCTTTGAGTTTGTTATAATCAGCTCTTTTAAAGTTTAAGATACTGGTTGGAGTATGTTCCATTGCTTCTGTTCGCATTATATTAAAATCCAACATGATGTGATCACTCTTGCCCAAAGTTCCCGCAATTTTAACCCCTTCTTTTATTTCATCTCTATTAGTAAGAATTGTTCCCTCCTTTTGGATGACAAAGTGGTCAGCTAGGCTCATAAGGAACCTGTTTGATCTTCCACTAGATGCAGAGTTTGTCTCCCAGTTGATGTCAGGGTAGTTAAAGTCCCCCATTACTTCAGTGCTATGTTTCCTGCACACTTCAGTTAATTGATTTAGCAAAACGTTCATCTATTTCCTCTGTGCAGTTGAGTTGCCTGTAGTACATACTTATGACAATGTCATTCTTTTTTCCCTTATACTTTAACCCAAATGTATTCAAGGAGAAGGCTGTTAGGGCATCTTGACAGGCAACTTCTCTATAAATCTTACAGTAGGGAGAGCCCCCTCTCCCCTCTCCCACCCCGGAGTCTGTTGCATTGGTGAAGAACTCTTAATAGAATAGAATAAAAGAGTTGGAAGGGACCTTGGAGGTCTTCTAGTCCAACCCCCTACTTAGGCAGGAAATCCTACACCACTTCAGACAAATGTTTATCCAACATCTTCTTAAAAATTTCAAGTGTTGGAGCATTCACAACTTCTGCAGGCAAGTTGTTCCATTTATTAATTGTTCTGTCAGGAAATTTCTCCTTAGTTGTAAGTTGCTTCTCTCCTTGATTAGTTTCCACCCATTGCTTTTTGTCCTACCCTCAGGTGCTTTGGAGAATAATTTGACTCCCTCTTCTTTGTGGCAACCCCTGAGATATTGGAACACTGCTATCATGTCTCCCCTAGTCCTTCTCTTCTTCAAACTAGACATACCCAGTTCCTGCAACCGTTCATCGTATGTTTTATCCTCCAGTCCCCTAATCCTTTTTGTTGCTCTTCTCTGCACTCTTTCTAGAGTCTCAACATCTTTTTTACATCGTGGCGACCAAATCTGAATGCAGTATTCCAAGTGTGGCCTTACCAAGGCCTTATAAAGTGGTATTAACACTTCACGTGATCTTGATTCTATCCCTGTTTATGCAGCCCAGAACTGTGTTGGCTTTTTTGGCAGCTGCTGCACACGGCTGGCTCATATCTAAGTGGTTGTCCATTAGGACTCCAAGATCCCTCTCACAGTACTACTATTGAGCAAGGTATCACATATACTGTACCTGTGCATTTTGTTTTTCTTCCCTAAATGTAGAACCTTTTTTCACTGTTGAATTTCATTTTGTTAGATAGCACCCAATGTTCAAGTCTGTCAAGATCCTTTAATGTTAAAACACTTTTCCTGAATGATAATGTAACAAAATATACAATACTGTAATAAAGTTATTTATTGCCCTGGCTTCTGGAACAATAATTCTGCCCCATCTTCCATATGGCAACCCTTTAGATTCTTGAAGATAGCTATCTTGCAATCCTCTTAAGGATAAATATACCAAAGTTCCCCAATCATTTTTCATTCCGGTTGGTCAGTGTCCCTCCAATATGTAGTGTCCAGTGCTGGACATATATTCTATGTGAAGTGAGATGCACAGGGAGAACAATGATTTCTTTTGATCTTGCCTTTATTGTTGATGCATTTTTCTTTTGCAGCCGATTCATTCGGAGTCTGTGATCATAACCTTTTCGTACATGCTACTGCTCTCCTTAAGCACAAAGCCCCCTGGGTGACCTTGGGCCACTCACTTTCTCTCAGCCCTAGGAAGGAGGCCGTGGCAACCCACTTCTGAAATCTTGGCAAGGAAACTGCAGGGATGAGTCCAGGCACATGCAGGATGATCATTCCCTGCATCTAAAGTCACACCTTTGGTTTATCCTTCTCAAATGCAGGGATTGTCTATGCTCTGGTTGAAATGCTGCCTATTGCTCCAGCTGGTTAACATCCTTCTAAATCATGACCTTACCTTCTCTAAGGTATTTGCTATTTTCCTCATATTTACATTGAAACTTTGTTCATTTTTATTTTAAACATATTATTGAAACAATATATATGGAGTATCAGTGGTGATCCAGCTTTTTTTTTTATTTGATTTATATGCCACCCTTCTCCAGAGACTCAGGGCGGCCTACAATGTGCTAAGCAATAGCCTTCATACTTTTGTATATATTATATACAAAGTCAGCTTATTGCCCCAACAACTGGGTCCTCATTTTACCCACCTTAGAAAGGATGGAAGGCTGAGTCGACCTTGAGCCTGGTGAGAATTGAACTCACAGTAATTGCAGGCAGCTGGATGTTAAATGCTGCCTTAGTAGGAGGCATTAGCCTCCTACGCCACTCAGGCTTACATTAGCCTCCTACTCCATTCAGGAGGCTCGTCAGGCCTGACAGAGCTGTTGACGCTATTTGGGCACAATGGTTCAGTCAGTTCTGTAGCCATCTGATATAGCTCAGCATGGCCCATCTTCTGTCTGGTAGGACACAGTATGTCCACTGCATTTCTTCTCCCCAGTGATTTTTTTTCTTTTGTTTTCTAAACAATTACTCAAGATGCCTTGTTCTTTCTGACAGACGTAAAGTGGCTTGAGAAGGTCAAGTCAGTGCATTAGATGATTAGGGAGCTGGAGGCTAAAACATATGAAGAAGAGTTACAATCAGAATAGACCTGGAAAGGACCTTGGAGGTCTTCTAGTCCAACCCCCTGCTCAAGTAGGAAATCCTATATCATTTCAGACAAGCAACTGTCTAGACTCTTCTTAAAAACATCCACTGGTTAATTGTCCTCACTGTTAGGAAATTTCTCCTTAGTTCCAGGTTGCTTCTCTCCTTGATTACTTTCCATCCATTGTTTCTTGTCCTGCCTTCTTTGGTGTTTGGAGAATAAATTGACCCCCTCTTCTTTGGGGCAACCTCTGGGATACTGGACTGCTGCTCTGATGTCAGCCCTGGCCCTTCTTTCCTCTCGAGGAGCCAGACCCAAATCCTGCCACGGTTCTTCATAGGTTTCTGCCTCCAGGCCTTTGATCGTCTCCGTTGCTCACAGAGAAGTTACTCTCCAGGGCCCAGGAGGGCAGAGAGAGCCAGCCTAGGAGGAGAGGCAACTTTTCCTACCGGGAGAAAAAATCAGTCCGCTGGGCAGGTTTCCTGGGGAAGCAGCGGCGGCTGAGGGGCTTGGAGGAGGGAGCGAGAAGCCAGTCGGCGGGGCCGGACTAGAAGACCTCCGAGGCCCCTGCCTGCTCTTCTCAGAAAGGGCCGCTGCGGGCGGAGAGCTCCGCGTCCATCGGGCAGGCAGGGAGGAGGAAAGGGCTTCCCTTCTAGGCCGCCGAGCGAGGGAGGCCTCGCTTCCTTCCAGCCCGGCCTGGGCGCCGCGCTTTCCCCGGAGGAGGGCCGGGGGTCCCAGGCAGGCGGAGCCGGGGCGGGTCGGGGCGCTCCCCTTCCGGCCTCCTCCTCCTCCTCCCTCGAGCGGCGAGGCCGGCATGGCGGCGGCGGCGACGGGTCCGGGGGCGCTGGTGGTGAGCGGGGCTGCGGGCGGGGGCTGCTGGGTGGGCCCGGCGCCCCCTCGCCGCCCCTCCAACTCCTCCTCTCTCCCCGCAGGGCGCCCGGGAAGCGGCCGAGGCGGCCCACGTGCTCTCGCTGCCGGCCGAGGCCTTCGGGAACGACGTGAGTGCCGGGCGGGGGGCGGCGGGGCGGGCGGTTCGGGGCTCCGCGCTCACGGCTCTCCTTCCTTCCTTCCCTCCCTCCCTGCGGCAGCCGCGGCTGGAGGCTGCGTGGGCCGAGCGCGCCTTCCAGCACGCCCACGTCTACTTCCACGTGAGTGCCCGGCGGGGCTGGGGCTGGGGCGGGGGCTGGGGCGGGCGAGGGGCGTCCTGGGCCACCGCTGACCCTCCGGGCTGCCCCGCAGCTGCTCTCGGCCGCTGACCCCGCGGGGCTGAGGCTCACCCGGGCCGACGACCGGATCTACGCGGCCTTCCGCCGGAGCTTCCCGGACCTGCGCGTCGACCAGCTGGACGTGGAGGCGCTCAAGTCGGAGGCGGCCAAAGAGGTGGGTATTCGGGGGTTGGGGGGGGTCTCCGAGGGAAGGACAGGGGTGCTGACCGCTCCCCCCTCCCTCCCTCCCTCCCTCCCCCGCAGAAGTGGCGGCCCTTCTGCCTGCAGTTCGAGGGGGCGGTGGAGGACTTCAACCTCGGGACCCTCCTGCGCCTCGACTGCCGCCGCGGCTACTCGGAGGAGAACTCCGTGCTGGGTGAGCGCCGGGCGGGCGGGCGGGGGGGGGGGGGGGGGGGGGGGTTGGCCGTGACGCCCCCTCCTCGCCTGCCTCTCCTCCGCTCCGCAGCGCCGCGCATCCAGTTCCTGGCCATCGAGATCGCGCGCAACCGCGAGGGCTGCAACGGCGCCGTCTACCGCCGCGCGGCCGCTCCAGAAGCCGAGCCCGACCCGGCCGGACCCCGCTGAGCCCCACCGGACGGGAGCCCGGAAGAGACCCGTGCGACGAAGCGGTGGGGGGCTCTCCCTCCCCCAGGAGTGGCCTAGAAGGGGGGGGCTTCGGGAAAAGAGGGCGGGCGGGGTTCCTCCCCCAGGGCCGCTGAGCAGCCCCCTGGCCTTCACTTCTGGCGGCCCCTCCCCCCCTTGGCCTTGGCCTTTGTATGGGGGACGATTGCGAGGTCCGCCTGGATCCTGGCTTGTAAACAACTGTTGCAAGATTACCGTTTGTGTCACTGGTTTTCCTTTTTTCTCCCGCAGGGGGGCCCCTCCGTTGGGGACCCTGCGGCTTGCACCCCTGAAGAGTAACGCTCGGGCCTCAGTGCACACAGTTCAGTAGAAACCACTTTAATTTATTTGCAGCCACAATGCTTACACTGTATGCAGCAAACATCCGTACAAATCATTCAGCAACCTGGTCGCAGAAAAAGGACCCAGCACACAATCGCCAGAGGAAAGAATTCTCCCCTCCCCTCCCCTCCCCCCTCCAGGAGATGCTATTTGGGAAGAGAAACCGGGGCTCCAATTAGATCTGGGCTTGTGGGGGGGGGGCACAGAAAACTAGCAGCAAAAGGGCAGGGCGGGGACAAGGGAAATCCGTCTCCCCTGTTGTTTTCGCTAAATTTAACATTTAACAAAGGTTCCCACAACTTTCGTGGGAAAAGAGATTTGTCTGAAGGATTTACGGTGCACTTTGTGGGAGAGAAGCTGCTAGAAGATGCTCCGTGAACAGGGCTGCACTGAGGAGTTGCTCAGAGATGCTGCTGTGGCCAAGAGAGCCAAGCCCTCCCATCTCCCAAGATAGTGCAGGGGGTGTGTGTGCGTGCGTGCGTGTGTGTGTGTGTGTACTTGGAAGGGCAGGAATGTGGCATGGCTTTGAGCTCCTAATGAGGGAAGGTGGGGAGGGATGGTCTAAGTTGAAGGGGCAGATAAGAAAAATATACATTTGGAATTTTACACTTGTGCCTCTACACTAGTTACTAAATATAACTCTGTCCTCTCACACCCCTTGCCCGGGAATGGGGCAGGTAGCCGGGAGACTCTTCACTCGCATACCACCCTCGCTCTAGCATTGGTGCACTATGTAAAAATTTCAGTCACGCTTTTTTTTAAACTTGAGTCAATATAAACCTTGTTCAAAATGTTATGAAAAAATGTACATGTTTATACAAGGCAGGCTGTGGCAGGACACAGGGTTCCTCTGACATTCACGCAGGGAGGTGCCAATTGTGCCTCCCTCCCCAAGGAAAAAACCCCTCTCCGAATGAACCTTTTACGCCCCCCCTCCTGCAGCCTAAGCCCCAAGGAGGACCAGCAGGGATCGGAAACGCCCTTGTGTCTTTCCATCGGAAAAGTTAACCTCCTCGGCCCAGAGAGCAGCTCCTGGCGAGACGTCAGCTCATCATGTCGTTGCTGTTTACCCCGTAGGTGGAATTTTTCATGGAATCGTTTACTTCTCGACGAAACGCAGAAAGATTCTGTGTAAACCTGGCAAAGAAACAGGCGTTAGGATGGGGGCAAACGGAACTGCCCGTTTGCGCAACAGCTGGATGGCATCGGACGGAGCTGCGCTCATTCTCGGGGAATCGCATGAGAATCGGCCAAATCCAACTTCCGGCAAAAGCTGAGTTTTCTAATGCTCTGAATTACAGCTTTGAAAACATGGCCACAAGTGAAGGGCAAACCTGATATTCCTTCAGCTGCTCCCAATTTTTCCTTCTGTTTTCTTGGAGACTTGGATTTTGAACACAAGCAAAGTGCAAGCTACTTCATAACTTTGGGAAGGAGCCAAGTAGGTTCCTTGCCCACAGGGACCGAAGCCTTCTGAAAGGATAACTCTCCTCCAGTATTCAACTGGGGGCGGTGACATTTCTTGTGTTCCTCTGAGAGGGAAAAGTAACGGGGAAATAGCTGCACCAGGCTGAGTGAACTACTCAAAGGAGAGAGAGAGAGAGCCTTTGAGCCAGAGAACCATATTTAGGTGGTGGTGTTTTATCTTTTTGAGTCTGTTCAATTTAAGAGAGGATTTGCAGCCTGCTCAGCACAGGGACCTATTTTGCTAGCACAGTATTTCTCACTGTGGGTCAGAAGAGATGGTGGAGCCACCCTGACAGGGTGCATGTGGTCCTGGCCTACTGGGCAATCCCTCCTGTCCTGGAGTTCGGGTGCTAAGCGATCCCGCAGTGGTACGTCTTCCTCAGAATGAAACTACCGTAATAAGAACATTGGAGTTCGGCTGTTCTGCTGGCTGCATTTTGTGAAGATACTGACCTATCACGATTCTTCGTCAGCAGATTGCGCTCAATGCCTTCCATGAGATTTTCAAAGCAGAGATGCATAGCTTGTTGCTTCTCGGGGGGCTGGCTGTTTACTATGCTGTTCCTTAAATCTGAAAAATACTACAAAGGAAAAGTCCACACCTGTGAGCTATCCAGGATAATGTGCCAGCCGACAAGTAACACAGCACCCTACTCCGGGGCCTTACCTTTTCATTGAGTAGTATCAAGCCAAGCAGAGGCCGTGACATGGACCACTGGTTCCGGCAGTCTTCAAATATGATGATATTCAGGACTGTGGACAGCATCTGGAAGGATCAAGCACAATCCAGTCAACTGTACAGGTCTACCGAGCTCACATTGGGATGCTTTCAGGGATTATGGGGAAACGGGGAGCGCAGTGGGCGAGACGCAGGACTGCTTATCTAGTGAACAGCAATTGGGTCAAATAAGTTTGGGGGGAAGCAATTCAAAATATCCAAAGAAGCATTTAATCCCTACAAAAGAGTGTGAGAAATTGGGAGTGGGAACTGAGAATGCCTAGTCTAACAAAGAGAAGGACTAGGGGCGACATGGTGTGGCTGGAGCTGGCTTCCAAAGAAAGAAGCACCAAGATCTCACTCTCCACGAGTCCAACAGATAAGAAAATAGCAAGAGCCCTTAGACTTATATGCTGCTTCACGGTGCTTTCCAGCCCTCTCTTAAGCGCTTTACAGAGTCAGCCTATGGCCCCCAACAACCTGGACCCTCATTTTACCCACCTCGGAAGGATGGAAGGCTGACGCAATCTTAGTAAGTACTTAGTAAGTAAACAGCAAGAGAGTCCCACCTATTGAATATTCTCTGACTTTGGGCTATGTAGACCACATTGGCTACAGTTCTTAAAAACATGGGCCTACTGGACCAGCTCATTTGCAAACTAAAGAATTTGCATGCTGAGCAGGCAGCAATGGCTGGAACAGAATATAGAGTAACTAGCTGCTTCAAACGAAGTATATCAAGAGTGCATTCTGCTACCTATTCCACGACATATTTTGAAAAAAGCTAGACTGAAAGGAAAAAAAAAATTGAAATTAAGATTGTTGGAAGAAATATTCTGAGGAATGTTGCGAGATGCAAGGAATCTCCCGGGCGCAGCATATGGCTGCGAAGGTTGGGCTACTGATAGGATGAACAGAGAAAAATTGAGCCCTTGGAACTGAAGAAAGGGATGGGGAGTGTCTTGAGCTGCCAGAAGAACAAATAGTTGGAGCAAAGCCACACAACTGGCTGGAAGCATTAAAACCCCAGTTAAAGCTTAAATATCTTGGAAGGCGGAAGGCAGCGCCTCCGATGAAGGCCACCCTGAAACGAGACACTGATTGCTGGGCACCATCATTGGGGCCAGGGACATGTGCTTGCAAGTGGTTGGTGGCAGATGATCTTGGCACACTGTTGGCCTCTGGGCCAGGAAGAGTCCAAGGCAGCTAAGCATTTTCTGCAGAATAGTCACTTCACCCTCAAACAGGGATTGAAAGTGAGGAGATGAAAAGTTCTGCCGTCATTTCCTGGGGGCAGAAGAATCGCTTCTTGTGACCCTCTGTGTGTGCAGAGGTGGGCGTCACATAATGTAACAACCGGTTTCCCCAGGACCGAAAATGTGAGCGTGCGGCCTTCCGCGCCTGGGCATGGCTTCAAAAACACGGCTTTGACCCCGCAGCCGACTTCAGCAATACCCCCCTAGTGCTGCCCTCCTTGTCCTGACCTGTTGAATCATCTCGGGGTGCTGCTGCATGATGTGGAGGAAGCGGTCGCTTTCCTGGGTCAACGGGGCAGGCCTCTTTTTGGTGCTGCGGGACAGCTGCTTGAAGAGATACGTGACAATGTGGTCTAAGCAGGAGCAGCATCCAGTGCAAACCATGGTATCTGCCAGGAAAAGAGAAGGCAAAGAGGAATGAGGCCGGAGTTCCCCTATTCAATTAGCTGGATCGCCTCCTTGGTGAGCAAAAGCAGCCTCAGGCCGACCAAGCAAGCTGTGGCCATCGTGGACACATATATATATATATGACTCTTTGAGAGAAACCCAGAAGTGAATTGGTCTCGGGTGTTGTGGAATTCTCATGAAAACGTTTCTATGATCAAATCTTGCAAGGCTATCATGCAGAATCAGGGGTGGCTCCACCAGCTGAAAACCCACCCAAATGATCAGCGTCAACCCCTCCTGAAGGGCTGATGATCAGCCAGTCGAGGCTGCCAAATCTTCCTGAGAAAGCGAATGGAGGGAATAAAGATCCAATCACTTGGGATCGCTCCGTCACCCACTTTGCCCATTAAGGAAATGGCCGTCTTTCCCAAAGGCCAATCTTTATGTCAAAATGAAGACACCAAACCAAGAACTACGAGGGAATTAAGGGAAGGTTCAGATGTTCTACTGGGTATTGTATCTGAGCCCGGTAGAGTTGGCGTCTACATCCCTTTGATGCTGCTGGAGAACAACAAAACCACCGAGCCCTTCCTCAAGAGGAGCCCTCAAACTTCCCAGGAACGGTTCCTGCACTCACCTAGTGCTGTGAGACCTTCTGAAATGGAAGACAGAATATACATGATTACATGTGGCTCCAGGCTAGCTATAAAATTCATGTGATCTTGAGTAAGAACTTCCAGTAATGAATAGTAGGACTGGCTGAGTTTAGGGTAATCCTGAAAAAAGATAAATGAAAGAAAGGAATCAGGAGAGCTTCCAAAGGAGTTTTGTGTCACTTGGGTTTGGGGACCATTCAGACATTTTACCTGCCCCCCCCCCAATGCAATCTCACTTTCAGAAGCAGTGAGTTTCAAAACTTTTTACTTTTATGACCACCAAAGGTACAGCTTCCAATTTATTGGATTATCTGTAGATAGTGTAACCATTCTTTAGATGAATTCCTAGGCCAGAGAGGAAGAGCTGTTATCGTGCCAGGCCCTCATCT